TGCCCAAATCTATGATCCAAAACAGTGGCTATACAAAGACAGAAACTATAAAGAGCAGATTCTTACTAGAAAGAGTGTCACTATATGATAAGAATTGCGAAATATGGTAGCGCAGTTCAAGCAATATAACCAAAAAGAAGCTTTCATATGCTTACTTTCCCTCTAATCACATTCAATCAGTTATTGCGACTATTTAGAATCTTAGACACAGAACCACTAGCATCCATAATTCCAGTATCCATTGGAGATCACATGTCAAGAAAAGCAAGCTCCTCTCTAACAATATTTTTGTGAGAGCAAGAAAATGGTCAATCACAAAAGAAATGAACAGCTACACCCTTTACCCGAGGTAATTGATTTTCAGCTTTATCTTTTGAGTACGGGCAATACTACATGATGAGGGAATCTAATTTGCCAGCAAATCGATGAGAAGCGTAGTCATTCAATGGTAATATTAAGAAGGAATTACGGACCCAAACCAAGTACATCCACATAATTCGACTTTAGCAATTCCAGAAAGCAATATCTTTGCGGCATCAAGTCATGATTAAATTACTCACAATAAGACTAGTCATTTTGATGAAAATGAAGATCAAATTGGGACAAAGTTAGATTAGAAGAACAGAATCTAGCAAAGCATTCCACTGCAGTTTTACTAGAGGTGATCATGGACCTAGTAGCCAGTCGAGCCAATCTAGGGCCGGTCCACCCAAAGGGAAAAATGAACGGGTCTAGCCAAGCAACTCCCTTCTTGAACCCAACCCCCCAGGCCTGGTCAATTTAATGGCAACAAAAATATTGATTTATTTTTTATATGGCACGCCTGGAAAAGATTTTTAGGCTCAGCCCGCGTATTAATCAGGTCTGGTATCCAGGGTATATTTTCCAGAACCGTGCAGAATTCAAACTTATCTTCAAAACCAACAAATTTAAGTTTACATTGTTTTACTAGATAAAATACTCTCGATTTCAAATAAATGCAAGCCAAAAGTATTTAGGAAAATTTTGCACAATATTGCTGACTGCAGCTCCTAAATTAGCAGCCTATACTTAGACAAGTGCAATTCACTAGGAGGTTGGTCAAACTATAAGACAAGGAGCCATGTTCATGGCAACTAGAGAGTAGAGAGAAGTCTTGAAACTAGACAAAGGCTACAGATTACACTATATAACAAAAGCATACCAAAATCATAAGCTAAAAGAAAAGTAAATTTATCAACAGCAGAACTCAGCAAAATGATCAACGCTACCATCATGTTATTAGATAGATGTACCTTCCAGTCGAACCATATGCAAAGACGGTTGCATTGAGACCTTGAACAACTCCAGCGATTGTTGAAGCTATACATCTCCTGTACACGTCCTGGATATCATTGACAACGTTAAAATACGTTCATAATACGAGCTATTAGGCAAGACACTAAGTACAGATCAACATGCGGCGTAGGCTAAGACGTAAGAATACGAACGGGGGTGCAAATGTTTTTCCAATATTTCATGTCTTAGTTAGTAGCATGATCCTGGTGCCAATTAGTCAGAGAAAGCAGAGACGAAAGCTTGCAAGTACATCCACGTCAATCACGAGCAGCTGAGCAGACATCGAAAGGATAGATAGACAATTACGAATGCAGCATACCCTATTGGAACAATCAGGACCGAATGCATGATCGAAACAATACTTCTTCTCTTTGGTTCGGTTCTGTATGCGGTCAAGGTAGTCCTTAGACAGGTCGGGATCTAGCACAAGAACCTCCTGCATTGCCAATCCACATTAGATTCTCAATGCTAGCATCTAAAGTTAACAACTTCGAAGACTTAGACACGCCAGGCGCACATTAGACCTCACTACTTACTCACCTTCCTATCGCTAACTCTAATGATATCGCGGCCGTAATCTCTCCGAGCAATGGGCCTACACTTAGCAGCAACCTGATGCCAAATGCAGAACACGAGATTCAGTTTATTCGGAAAAAAAAAAAAACAACCCCAAACTATCGCAATCGTCACCGAATCGAACGAAGCGCCCCGGAAACCGAACCGTTAAGGTGGTGGCGGTCCTCCTGGCCGCAGCAGCAGGAGCCTTTAAGCTGGGCATGTTGCACGGCTCGCATCAAATCCCGCTCCTATTTTGCACCACCGGAGCCGGACACCATCTCAACATCCAACGACTGATTGATTGCCCACGCGATCGGGGGGGGCGGGCAAAAACCCCAAAACTCAAAATCGAATTTTGAAAGCTCCGCAACGTCGAAAGAAGAAGAAGAAGGAAGAAGAAGAAAGAATCAAGGAAAAAGATCGGAAGGAAAAGTCGCCGCCAGCTGGCTTTCCGTTTCCGGAGCTGATCAGAGAGAACCCGGCGCCGAATCTCAGCAAAACGATGCGGGACCAGTCCGAGCAGGACGATCGCGGGAGCCAAGGAGAGTTCAGTTCAACGCAAGATTTCCGGGGAATTTCCGCAATGTCGCGGCGAGGGGAGCGTCGCCTTCGAGAACGCGCGCGAGCGATGAGGCTACATTTGAACCCCGGGGGGGCGGAGGAGGACGGAGGAGCGATTCGAAAATTGAACTTCCAGACACGAAAAGAGGAGGGGAGGAAAGCTCCGGAATCCGAGAATGTGGAGTCCGAGAGAATGCGAGAAAGAGACGAGGAGGAGGAGGACGGAACGGAGGAGGGAAGCGCGCGGTTGGTCGAGCTGAATATTAAATTCTCTCCGTCCTGTCCGTCTGTTTACAAGGAGAAGAAGAAGAAGAAGAAGAGGGGAGGGAGGATCGGCTGCTTCCGAGCGAACGGTGGGGTGGCGCATTCAATGCCCGTCCGTCCGTCCGGTCCTTTTTAGAGAGAGAGAGAGAGAGAGAGAGAGAGAGAAGAGGGGGGGAGGTGGAAGCGACGAGCAGGAGGAGGAAGACGACGAGGAAGAAGACGAAAAGTCCCCCCCCCGAGAGACGTGGAGCGATGGCGACCGTTGATCTCTGGCTCTCTGCTTTTTTTTCTTTCCTTTTTCTTTTCGGGGTTCGTTGGTTTGGGAGTTGGTTGACGGTGATGGGGGCTTGCTTTTTCCTTCCGTTGTCTTTCTCTTGTTTTCTCACGATTGGTTTTTTCTTTTTTTTTCTTTTTTCTGGATGTTCGACATTTGGAAGAGCGATTATTATTATGGTCGGCAGGGAGGGGATTGGGATTGGGATTGGGATTTGGGAGGTGTGGGGAGGGGAGCACGTGAGTGGGAGAGGGACGTATGCCCCCACGTGAAGGATCTTTGCCCCCTTTCTCATTGAATTGGACTTTTGGGGATGGATCACCAAAAAGTGGGGCGAAATCGACACGGATGATGTCGAGTGGTAGAGGCGATCGATGCCACGGGCTCGGATCGAGTCCCAAATATCGTCCGGTCCGGTCCCTGCCCATCGAGAGAAACGATACGTGCGGAAGAATTGTGCGGGCCGGGCGGGCTGAACCTTATAATTAAAAGCTCATGTCTGGGCTTGCGTAAAGCTAGAGGGCCGAGCCTTGACGGGCCTATGAGCCACAAGGCCCACGATCAAGTCCAATGTTAATTTTTTACTTTTTTTTTATAAGAGAAAAGGGTGGAGAGGGGCAACAGGTGCCACCATTAAAAGTTAGTGGTTCCAAGTTCCTTACAGGTTTCACATGGAATCTGTAACCTACTCTCGGGTACAAGTTCCCCTTTTTTGGAACCTAAAACCTACCCGTCGAAACCTAAAACCTAAAACCTAAAACCTACCCTGTCACAAGTTCTTTTTTTTATTGCATTTTTAGTTGAATAAAACAAAAATGAACGTAACACTGCTGAACAAGCTTGTCAAGAGTCAGTTCAAGGGTCGATTCCAAAGTCTACTTAAGTTCCGCCTGTATTATTAATTGAACAATTGCAGTAAATCATCACATTTAATAACCACCACTTACTGTTATGATCAATTAACCACAACTTATATTTAGACACATGAAAAATATGAAATATTAACAAGTTATAAAATGAAAGCTCAGACTAGTGGTTTTCAAATCATACATTCATCATCTAATACCATAAAACATCGCAGGATCACGAGAAGATAGGTTCAAGTTCCAGATTCCACCTACCTAGAATCTGGAACTTACCTATCGAAACAAGTTCTCCAATTTTTGGAACCTAGAACTTACCCTGCATACCTTAAAACATAGAACCTACAGGTTCCCATTGGTCAGATTCCTAGATTCCAGGGTAGAACCTGGAATCATGCTCACCCCTAGCGGCTGCCCCTTCTAGATGTTATTTTGAGGGTCCACCCCTGTTATTGAATATTCAATCTGAATCATAACCATTCGATACAGCCAGAGGGGCTCAAGACCATACATTAAGTGATGAAGTAAGTTTTAGCGGCGTTGATTTTGGAATAACGAAACACTTATTTAAATGCATACTTAAAGTTTGTCACACCTAGGCCCGCCCAACGACCCGTGCCCTGGTATTGGCTAGCTCGGGTCAGCCCAAGCCCAAGACCAATTTTTTTATGGATTCGACCTTTGAGACTGAATCCATTGATTGGGCCCATGTGTCCCAGCCCAATCTCTCGATTAATGGGTCTTCAAAGGCCCCAGCCACATCGCTCAACAGTCACAGCTTGAACAATGAGGGCAAGTCTATTTCCACGGCCAAAAATGCTGTGGGCACAGCCTGTTAATTGGAGTGACAAAATTATCCTCCTACAAAAACGCCCGCGCCCCGTCCCTATATATGTAGGATTCCTCTCCAATCACTCGACCTCTAGCTCATAATTGAAATCGCAATTGCAACCGACGTCGAGTCCTAGCCTCCTTTCTCGCGCTCCCACCTCTGCTGGCATCGCCAGCCATCCCGAGCAGCCTAACGCTGCGGTGCAAGTTAGGCATGGGTTCTTTCGGCAATCACCTTTTACACTTCACTGCTAAAGAGGCCAACAACAATGACATCCATGACATTGGACCGACCATTAACAACAACAATGAATTTATTGGCACACAGAAAATAGATACCTTGAAACAAAGAATTACACTACATAAAGCCTTTATGGCCTGTAAATGATGCCTGTTTTTATCGTATAATTCTTCTTAGCAACCGGGCATCGGGCCAATTTGCAGGCACTCTCCGAAGGATTCCCCGATCATAAAGCGGCTTTCTAGCGGTTATCTACTACTATGATCATAAAGCGGCTTTCTAGAGGTTATCTAGTACTATGATCGACGGCTATATATACAGTTATACACCTGCTCATAGTGTTACAACTACTCTACAAGTTCTGTAAAGCTGCATAAGCAGAGATATGTATGTCGCATGTTTCTGCATCCCAGGAGAAGTCCTTGTCCATTGCATCCGCCATCTTTCGCTTCCATTTGGAAGGATTACTCCTCTAAAATCACAGGTAACAAATGTCCAAAAGATACCACTAAGAATAAGATCCACTAGCAACTTGAAACATTTGCGGGAGCTGGTAAATTTAATTTTCTAATCTTAGGGATAAATAGATCTAAACATTTGTGAATATTAGCAAGCTACTCACCATTTCCTCTAGGGCTTTGTTGAGAGATATATTCTCAAATGTGGACTTCATGAACTGTGAGTACTCTGAGAAATCATGGTCGGGATCAACAATGTGCCTGTTCAGAAGCCAATGGTGAAAAATAGTGGCACTTGAGCATGCTCCCAAATTACATCATATGGGTTAATAATGGATCAACGCACGAAAAAGGTCACCTGGATCTATCATCAGAAGAAGACATTGCGACTGGAGCAGCTCCATATTTCAATGCCTTCATCTGCAAAAACTTCAATTGCACCTTAATTATCCATGGATTAAGCAAATTCCACAATGGATTCCTTTGTGTAGAGATAAAACAGCAGCTAGGAGGGCTTTGCAACTCTAGTTCCCATGAATTCTCAAGATCATTTACTCAATAATCGATAAAATATTAGAGAGACCAAGAGACATTTTAGCAACGAAAGCCATCCAACAGATTACAGAAACACGACTTAGAGTAAACTCAAACATGTATTCATTAAGTTTACTTCAAACAGTAGTTGGCATTGTTTGGATAATCTTAAGGGCCTATTTTTAAAAGTAATGCAGTACTATAACCTATCTTCCCCAATGTTAATATTGGCACACAGTACGCTGTGCCAGCAAAAACCAGATGAAAATACAATGTACTAATAGCTGATAAGCTGCAGATGATATCATGCACTTAACGTACCGGCACTTGTAGTGTAGGATCCTCAAAAGACTGACACAAGATAATGTCAGAACCAGCAAATATCAAGTGGGACAGAGCTTCATCGTATCTGTCTATGAATCTCACGTTTTCATCCTGCCCATGAGAAAAATTAGGAGGGGAAGAATTAGCCACTCTGGAAGATCGAGTGCAGTTAAGATACATCCTCGCCCTGATATAACCCTCATACATGTAGCAATATAAGAAAAGAATTGCAAGTCCAACATTACTCCACTACAACTGCAGTGGCCGGGCAGCCTGAGAACCAAGCAGTTGAAAGCAAAACTTTTCTTTCAGCAAAGGAAATCTGATAAGATTGTTAAAGGAAAAGGACAGTGGAAAGAAATTATCTTTTCATGCAAAAATCAAGAAATAGGGTATGTGTTTAGACAGTAACAGCATGTCAACAGAAAGGACAAAGGAAACCAACCGTTCCCGCCAATACCTTCAGATCTTTCACGAAAGATTCAGAGGCCCTATCCAGATTTGTCAACTTGTCTATCCTTGCCAAGATAAGCTGCACAGATTTGTCGATGACATTACAGCATTGTAAATATCTCACGAAGAATTTATTCTAAGTTAAAGCCTTATCAAAATGTTGCATCTGAATGGATAGAACACTTCTATGGTGAAATTACCTTCTTTCCTGTAAATGAGATTTCTCAATTTGCAGCATCTCAAAGCATAGGTCATGGCCAGTTTGCTTAGGTACTTTATTATATAATACTAACTCATTATCTCCTCAAGTTTATTTGTATGGCGGCAACCTGCCACACCTTAAAGTGATCCTCCGGGAGCTGAATTACTAATTCATCTGGTAAACAACAGATAAATAATATGAACCTGGCCACCCCCATGTGTGATGCTCTGGACAACAGTTTTTAGTGTCTTTTGGTCAATATCTGATACTTCTTGGTAGATCCATCCAACCTGAAATAAGGAACTCTGTTTATATTGAGGGAAATGCACAACGAAAAGCATGTTGAATTTTATAATCAAAGATGAACAGAATCTAGAACCATAGTATTCAGAAACTGGGCTCACTAAATAAGTTCCATTTGACATGACCGGCACTACTAAACCAATGATATACAAATCTGAATTACAATATTTGGAAGCTGCTATATGTAATTTCAGAATACTATACAATCAAGTAACTCTCAAGTGATTTCAGATTATCCAACCTGAATATTGGGAAATAGTTCATTTATTAGGTGCTGGAAGGCCCAAAGTACATAGTTGTCCCCCCATTTATTACCACTATGAGCTTTTAGATGTTGAATAAAAAATATAAAGAGAAAGAAACTAATCCATGCCTAGACAGTGCATCAGTTCAATATCTGTATGAAGTGACAATGCAGAAATGTTGCAACCCATATCCCACGTTTTGCCAAGTAGAAAGACTACCTCATTCCCAGAATTGCAAAAACATATATCACATGACAATGAAGGTATCAAATATTCATATAGATTAATATCTGACATTGGATGCAGTATTGCTTGCAAGGTATTTGTAGGATTATGACAGAGAGATATAATAGAATGCAATGACAGCCTGCACAATCTTTGCAGCTACCAAGACATTTGAAAAAATATCAATTTCATGAAATAACTGAAATTTGGATGCTCTATAACTACTCAATGTAGAGTGTCATGCACAGAGAGACCATAAAACAAATGAATGAATATAGATCCTCTATAGTTTTTGATTTCATCGCAATACTCACGAGTGCAACAGAAGCATCCTTAGGCAAACCCACATGCTGCTGCAATGCAACTTTGCAAATTGCTTTACCCTCCAAGTCATCTGCACTGTAGTTTTTGGGAAGAAATTTGTCCTGGAAAGGATCCCATGTGGAGTTGTCAAACCCACTGGGAGCGATTAGCAACTTGTCCCTGTGATGAAAGTATACCCAAGAAAAGCTATCAACTTTGGAATAAGATTACTGACAATATGAAGCACTGTAATAGGGAAAAAACCGGACAAAAGTTGCCTAAAATTAGTTTCTTGCACTCATAGGAAAGGACAAAGACATTGTTGAAATGTATAGTCTACTGATAAAAAAAGAGGTGTGCAATAAACATTACTTGTGAGTTGCCAAGGTGGGCTCCAAACCATAACCAAAATTACGGATTATCCTTCCTTTGGAGTGCATGGATGAAACAATTAAAACTTTGTTCGAGTATACGATTCCACCCTGGAAATTTACCCAAAAAAGGAAAGGAAAAGGTAAGTGATGGTAAAAAATAACTTAAGAAACACAATGGCAATTGCAAGTCCAGGACACAAGCTTGATATGGATAATGTTCGAAGAAATAGGAATAAATTAATCCCTTAAAAAATTCAAGTAAACAAGGTGACTTTCTGTGATGGATTCCCATAATCTTTTTCTGGTACTAGCGATGGCTTTACTATCATTGCCCAAAAGAGCAGTGTGTGCAAAAATTCAAATAATATACTCACACATATATGTATTAAAAGAAAAGGCTTGTTGTAGGATGAGAAAGATTTAGCTTTAAATTTAGAATCTACATAGATTCGTTGAATAAGAGGAGAGTTATGTAGACTCCTCCAAATTATTTTGATGTAGTAATATACGTCATTATTCATTTTATTGCTGGCATTGCTTTATGTGTATTTTTTGGCAAGAGGTGAAATATGTTTTGGCTGTTCTTTATAATTTAGTAAGATTTAGATCCAATAACATAAGACAAAAGATTATGATGTTAAACATAAATAGTTTAAATAGCTCATAAGGTATCATACTCCGGCCCATTGTCACTGCTCATTAAAATCTACAAGGAGGTAATGCCTGATTAGTACTGCCAGTGCATCTTTATAGGATTACTTAAAGAAAGTCATTCTCTTCTTTGCCTGAAAATTAAAACTAATAAAGCAGAAAATCATCTCCCAACTTAGGCATTTATACTCTCCGAAAATCATTTGACAAACAGAGAAAGACTTTGGAAAGTAGGGTCACCCAAAACCAAGTGCATACTAACTAATTAATGGCTGAGTTCTTTCCGCACCACAAGAAAGAAGAGCAATCATAGCAATGCAACAACCATCTGTTCAAACTGATCAAACTGCCTTGAGGATGAGAACCAAAAAGTTCTATCAGCAGAAGATGATCATAATAACGATGGGGAACTATTCTTGTAAGTTAATTGATGAAGGTTTTGGAAGAAACAGTAATTTGAAAGAATGAAAAAGTGCTCTTCTATCATTAAATCAGGAAGGAGAAAAAGAATAGACCTAACAACATTGATGGAAGTATGGAACGCTTTTCTGAATGAGCTTTCTGTATTTACTTGAAGGTTCCAAATTCTACCTAGATCAATGTGTAGAAACTCTCTCTCTCAGGATGAAATTTGTAGATTTTAGACACTAGAATGTAACTTTCTGATAATTGCATAATGGATCTTGAAGACTGGGCTAAGCCCAAACCAGTCTGGATCAAAACGAATAATTGAGGTAGTGGCCAAGTTATGTTGATCGATGTGAAGCTCAGAAATCTCTAACTGAGATATATCGGCCAGGCTTGATATTTAACAGCCAACTACAAATAGCTGTTCAAAGTATATTAATTTGGTAAAATGACAAATAATCCCAATCCAGAGCTGCAGACTAATAGCCAATACATAAAAAGAAAACAAAAGGCTGTCCTAAAGTGAATTTTTTTTCTTTTCCTTGCTTCTTTTTTATAATAAATGAGATCCAGATGCATAAACCACTTGACAAGTTGTAAAAAGAAACTTTCAAACAATAAATTCGGTAAACTTATTTCTAAAATTAGACTTCTAAGAATTTAACTACACTATTATCACATGAAACTGATATGCCAATTTATTCAATCTCTACCTAAAGAAATTTACCTTCAACAAGTTTACAAGGGATGCCCTAGCATTGTCTTGGAAACGATCTGGGCGATGAAGACGAGCAGGTTCTAGTCCACTTAGAGCCAGCTTTTGAGGTTGCTCAAGACACTGATTTCTACCAAATGAAGTCAATGAGGAGGTCCGGGATACAAGGGTCAAGCCAGATAGGACAAATAGCTACATGCCTGTGAATTAAGGTCGTGGCAAGTTAGTAATATTTTTGTACCTTCAAGTCCCTACAAATAAACATAATAAGATTTTGTTAGAAGAAAACATAGACAATGAAGAGACTGCATATAATTAAATGCCAGAATGATGAGAATGGTAAAACCTTTCCATAAGCATATTAGCATGCTGCTATAGCGTACTGACGTTCTCTTATTCAGCATGTTACAATGCTACTTTCTCTTCTATAATGAGTCCAGTGCTTGATGCTGAGCTTTATTTTCTTATAGGGCATTAAAGTAATTTCAGTTTTAAGAAAACTGACCTATAAAACAGATTCAGCAATGAACATAGATGAGGTAGTCACAAAATAAAATGCTTACAGTGGCTGATTATGTGATGCATTAGCCTTACACTTAAAGCCGCATGCAGGTCGAGTTCGCTATTATCTCCAGATGAAAGCAATTACTGTGCTGATCTAATTCCATTTTAATTTAACCGCAGTTTTAGTATAGGAAAACCAACGAATAGACCACCTCACACAGAAATGGTTTTATTTTCTCTTTATCAATAGCAATTAAGCTAATCCTGTTTTGTATTGATACCTTATTCTAGAGAAAATAATTTGCACAAAATTAAAGACAAGGAGGTTTCTTTTCCCAATAAGACAAGGAGGTTTACGAAAACAGCTTCTTGAAGGCAGAGGGCGTTTTTATTCTTGAAGTGTCGATTGTATCCTCATTCAACTATATGCTCCAAAAAGAGGTAGGAGATGGCCTTGGATTTTAACATCACATATACCCACATAAAATACACCTGAGTGCGGAATAATAAAAAATGCAGCTCCCAGCATTACCTGTTTCACAAAAATGTCCCAGAAAAGAGGCCCTACAATAGAAGTTTGCCAGTTGTGTATATGCAAAACATCAGGCTTCTTTCCAGCTTTGACCAAATAATCTAATGCAGCACGGGAGAAATAAGAAAACCTGAAAGTAGCAAGAAGGTAATGTTTGACACATATGGTATTGCTATTTGCTGTAGTATTTAAATTTAAATCACGCTTTCAACAAATAAACTAAGGTTTCAAATATTTGACAGTGGTTTGACAAATGTGGCTTAAAGTATAATCCTTGCCCCTTATAAAAAAAGCAGTCTTTTTCATTTATCAGCTTAAACTTTTGGATTGAATTTTCTAAAACTATTAAAGATGGAAGCAAAATTCGTAAGGTCTTATTCAGAAGCAGAATCAGAAAAAAAACTAAACATGTCTTTAAGCAAAGCAAACAAAGTAAGCAGACAATAAAGGCACAATCACCGGTAAGAATGGAATATTATTCCTAAGCTGAACAAAACATATGACTCATCTAAGGCAGACAAGACACGCAAACATGCACTCGCCGCTCGGTCTAGGTCATCCTGTTCTTCCTTCTCTTTATTTTTGTAAAAGTTATAATCATGGGTATGCCATGCGTAGTCCCTAAACTTTCGAAAATTGGGTTTGATTCCTTCCGTTAAGTAGACCAAAGGAAATTGTTGATGTGGCATCTGAAATCACTAATTGACCATTAAGTGTCCAAGCTGGCATCTTACATGTCCAATTGCACGGTTCAGATGCTTCCACGTCTTCCATTAAGGGGGCCCCCAAGATGAGTTGGCCCACAAAATGCTGAGTTGGTAATCCATGTTAGCAAAAAAGAACATGATTTGGCAATGCCTCTAATGGCAGGACTGCATTGAGCGGATTTTGAAAAACTCAGTAACTAAATTTACAAAAAAAAAAAAAAGATTTAGGGATGATTTTGAACATCAAGAAAAAGTTCAGGGACTACCCATGTCGTTATCCCTCATAATTTCTGCTGAATTTCTAGACATGGGCTCACACCGTATCCTTGGTCTTGTCAAAGACCAGAGGTTTCGAAAAGCACATTATGAAGAAGTGCAACAAATAACAAATATTTTGAACTGACCGCTCAAAGTCATCTGAGTAGCCATATATCTTCTCACGGCTAAAAAAGGACAAGAAAAATATAGGCTCGATGAGAGTAACTCCAATACCACAGACGATTCTGCATGAAAAGAGCGAGAGGTTAGTTGCAATCACAATATGTCCAACCAAAAAGGTTCTTGTGTCCATTTTCAACTCCACATAAAACAGTAACCTGTGAAGTCATTATCAGGAATCCAATCTCTCTAATCAGAGGTAAATACTACTGTCATGAACAGAAAAGATTGCAAACGACTAACCCAGTCCAAATCCTATTTCCATGCAGCTGACCATTATAGTATGAATAGAACTCTGCCTCGATTTCTCTTAGCCCTTGAACCTCTCCAAGGTTCAGCCTTGCATACCTGTTTCCAAAGTAGATTCCTAAATAATAGTATGAGAAGTTCCAACATTTATACCTGAGTCATATCATGCTAGACTTACCAAATCAATTTTCTTTATTTAATGCAAAAAGCTCTAATAGATTTTCCTGAAACGTGAAGGCATTCTGACATGTAGTAATGTCCATGTGTGTATATGTGCATGCACGCTAGCACATGAGAGAGAGAGAAAGAGAGAGAGAGAGAGACAGTTTAGTAATTAGCTCCACGGCATCATTAGCTATCTTATTTTTTGCGGGGACGTGCTTGAGTACATTGTATTGCAGTTGTGAATATTTGCAAGCCAGCAAGCATCTTACTATTGTCTATCAAGGTAGAAATCATCAATTGGAATATCAAAATTATGAATCCTGAAATCGAACCAAATCATAAGGTTTGGTGAAGAACCCACATGCTTTCTAACATAATATAAACTAAGATAATACATATAAGAAGTTTTGAGTAAGACCCATGATTAAAGGCGAGATATATTGATTTCAAGTACATCTGACGATTCCTTTGTGCAAGATATCACAAGAAATTTGTTTTACAATGACAAGTATCATGCTCAGGAATAAACACAAAAACCATATGTGACATTTCAGTTACTATAGGACTGTAAACTAAAAAATCTACATTATGTTGTGGTGAAACTATCACAGTATAATCTACATCGTGCAATATGAGATAGGGTGTTATATCATTTGATGGGGAAAATTAACAAATTACAATATAATAGATCAGTAGAGCATCTACTCATTTGCACTTCAGTATTTTAAGATTCACCTGAAAGATACGTTTAGTTTGAACCTTGAATCCAATGAATATAGGAACATCATTCTAATACCTATGCATACTATAATGCCTACGCAATTTCTGAATTGTTTGGAGTTGACAAAGGTAGCATTCGACTAGATATGGAGATCATAATTTTCTCTGGTTAAGTTTTCCTATCTAAGAGGCTCAAGTCCATCAAGAATGTATGCTTCATTAATGGTGGATTTAGATAGGCAATGCAGGTACTTGATCACTTCCCACTCTATTATTTGAGAAAGCTTTACACAATATACTAAATTTATCATTTATTATCCTCCTCCATGTTTCAAAATCCTCTTCAAACTCAAGGCTTAAGGCCTTATCTTTTACTTGTAAGCAGGTCCTTATTTATCGAAACTTGTAATGTTTAAATTAATTAATGTAGTTTATAGTTTTCGAGAATTATAATCAGAGTTCAACTGAATGACCAGCTTTACTACTCTGGTGATGTGAACATGAACTCTTATTCCATCCTTCCACCAACGTCTTATGTTAAGTATATGCTACCGCAAACGAAAAAGTTTCAAAAGAAGATTTTACTAAGAATTGGTATATCATAAATAAATTGTTGCATGCACTTGCAGAAATAAAGCATGAAAGAGAAGGTCCTTCATTACTTGGGTAAAATAACCTCTACAGTGTGGCCCTTTCTTTGTAGTGCACGGCTCAACCCTGTTACATATGATGCCAAAGATCCAACATAGACCAAAGGTTCCATTTCAGTGCATATCTGAACAATGTGAAAACCATTCCTGAAGAGAAAAGACATCAACTGCAAAATTAGTAGGGATCACAGATAATTGTTGAAAGAAATATGCAAGTCAATGGAAATTATGAGTGTACTCGATAAAGGATTAAAAAGAAAACACATCAAGGGGATGCTATAATTTAAAACAAGAAAAGAATATGGTGCCACATGTCATGATCTCCTGTCCTAGTGATGATGAAATATTTTACAGCACATGAAAAAACCTGTATATATCTCCTAGACAAACCTACCTTTTGCTTCCATCTGCAAATTGGCGAAGTTTCTCAAGAAGCTCTGAATCTCTTTGGTCCAGGACATCAGAGAAGACATAAGCTATACTAACTTTGCCATCCATGATTAGCCTCCTCCAATTGGATGCCTCCACAATATTGGCCTTTTGTGTAAGGACCATTGAGTCTATTCGATGCAGCAACTCCCACAAAATTGATAGCCTATCCTGCATAGATTGAAACCAACATGACATAGAAATCCCTACAAAAGATGATAGCAAAACATAGTTGACCGAAGACTCAGTTGCCTCTAGTAGGAAGGGAAGCTTCTGGCTGTCAAAGAGGGATGAATATACAAATACAAATTGAAGGTAGGAGAGAAAAGGCACAGAACCATGCGTGACCATGAACGGCTAAAATACGTCTTTGTTGCAAAAAGAATTTAAGGCAACAAAATTATAAGTATTCAGTTAAATTAATAATTTGAACGAGCAAAGGTTATTGTTCAGGGGGAAGGCACAACAAGGACAACATAAGGCATATCCAGATCAAATTAACTCTCCAGCCAGAGAAGGATAGAACTTACAGTGCCATTAGCTCTCCCATCAGCAGCTTGATTTCGCAGCTGAAACTGCTCTATCTGGCCAAGCAACAGTTGTTTCTCTCTGTTTACTTTTTCTAGCTCCTCAATGACCAGGAGTCGCTGTTTGTTTAAATACAAAATATCTGAATGGAACCATGAGAAGAATCAGATTAAAACCAATTACAACCAATACATCAGTAATAACTAGTGTTGAGATGTCCGACAGAACTCTTTTCTTTATTATATTTGGCTTTTTGAGATGACAGACGGAATCAAAATCAACAGGAAAAGAGATAAACAGACTTTGTTGAGCTTCTTTAAAACGCCGCCAGATGTCGGCATGTTTTCCCTCTGCTTCAAGATTTGATGGCTGACTAATTTCCTGTAATCAATGCTACCTATTTAGCAGAAGAGCTTATAAGGAAAAAAATTGAGGATTGAGGAATATCACTACATACCTCTGTCATCTGCTCATCTCCCTGATTTTCCGATCTACAATGAAAATTGCTCCAAATCAGACATCAAGATGGAGAGACCACACAAAAATGCAATACGTATTAGATGAAACCAAAGAGCAAAGCAACTCACCCAATATGTGAGGGAGTGCAATATAGTCCATTCACTTCCCCATTTTTCCTGGAATTAACAATAGGCGATAAGATGAACAGCATAACTAACATATGAATTAATAAAACAACCATTTGATTAAAGAATGGTTCACCTTTAATGAAAGGGGAAATAAATCTCAGATACCTCAATAATTGCAAATTTCAGAAAACCGTGATCAGTTACACTGAAGCTAGAAAAATCACGAGCAACAAGAGAAATGCCACCTAAAGTAGACATTTCCCTTTATAATAAACTAATATGCCTACTAGCTCAAGAACACTGCAGAGATGCTGCTGAATTAGATAATGTACATGCGGATTTGATCAAAGTAAAGACGCCACAACATTGTTTCACGGTGTCAAGATATCCTAAGCTTATTCTAATAAAGTATGAGAAAATCCACCATATAAGACATCAAGGGACCCCATAAAAGAACCATTTCGAAGTAAGAATCTATGAGGTTTAAACTCAGCAACCAGATCGATGTATTGAGGAGTAACTAGAAATGCATGTGTTCAACTTCACTTTATTAAGAAATAACAAGTTTTATACCATCAAACTCTTCTAGTCTCTACATTACAGCAGCCAAAACATTCTCATGGTTGAGATGTAAAATTTTACTTTGACTTTTTCTGTTGCTATTCCATTCAATGAGTAAAGTGCTTCCCCAAAACAATGTCAGTGCCCACACAACTATAGAATTCACAAAATGTCATATAGTTTGGGTCCAAGGGAAAATCAAAACCAGATGGCCAACTAATTCATCACACCCTTCACCAAATATTTTTAAATGCCAACCAATAAACACCCACCTCCACTCCCAAGAATAAAGGGGAAAAAAAGTTTCTATTGCTCCTAGGAGAGAAAAAACCAGTGGAAATTGCTTGTTGATCTGGCTTTGTACAGCCAATAGCTAGGTCCTCAAGTTGCCGCTTAATGACTGATAACAGGCGTGGAGGTCCAAATGGTTCAGGGAGTTGTTTAGCTGCTGCAGACTCTGCCTAATCACTGGAAACTACAGAAATGACTTCACAAAATGCCTTCCCCCTTTTCCCACTATCAAATAACATTTTTCTTCGGCCTCCTCAGTAATCTATTTCCAATAAGGATACTGAAACAATTTGAGAGACTCCTCAATCTCCCATAATAGACTTCAATTACGAATTTCATCCCAGCTACCGCTAAATGTTGAACTTCATTCGTAGTTCACAGACACTATATTGTTCGTGTAAACGAAAGAAACAGATTATGAAAGGGTTACATTGCAGGGGCCTTACCACACTGCCAATACTTCTAGGCTCCAACTTGACCTTAAACGATGAAATCCCAGAACTTCCTAATCCACATTCCCATACCCACAAGCAATTAAGTTACCTCGACACATCTCATATCTAACCACCCCTACCTTCCCTTCGCTATTAACACCATCGACGTCACAAATTACCTTCAGTAATCAGTGTAACAGGGACTTTCACCAACCAAGAGATATAGAAGCAGAGCCATCATGACATGCGTAACAAACTCCAACTTATCAATCAATGTTGATCAGTCCAAAAGATCGGGTGATCCGAAGTACTGCGACAAATGGTTGAAGAGGCCAGTAACCGACACATAGTAATCAAATCCACCCTGTCAACCTGCACTGTATTCGCACTAGAAGATCAACCAGTTCGAGATTAATTCCACGCTTCTCTTCGTAGTGACTCCATATTTTTTTCATTTCCCACCATCAATTTCAGCAGAACCCGGCTCTCTTCTTCATATTCAAGTTGGGTTTTTCCTAGAAGCAACGACTCTTGCGGACGAAAAAGCCAGATGGGCTTCCAAAATTAGGACCAAAAAACTACCCGACAAGCTCCGACATCGTTCCCAGATCGTGTTCGGCAAGCACGTAGATGAGGGGATAAGCTGACCAGCACTCACCGAGAGCGACGGACTGAGACATGATTCGGGGGCCTCTGGGTCGCTGCCGAGCGGTTCGGGAGATGAACCGGCGCGGGGATCGCTGCTTTGATCAGCGCCTCCATGCGGACAAGGTAACCTGGAGAAACAGAGAGACACATACAAGAGAGAGAAGGTCATATCACAGTTCTGAACCACATAACGGTCGGACTGGGAAGATAATGTAAATCCGTGAAAATAATTATTTCTATTTATCTAGACTTCTAAAATTAATCCACCATTTTAATAATTAAACTTACTCAGCCATCAGCAACCTAATCTATCAATTTTCCTCCCATTAAATTACAAACTGATTTGGACCTAGCAGACATTGTTTTAATTCATTTATCGGCTTTTATTTGATTATTTCGAAAAAAACTAACCGTTGCCATGATCTATCATTATATATTTTTAGAGTTTACCGATATTTTTAATGATACTAATTTTTATAAAAAAAAATTATTGACAGTAATTTGAGTTTTTTACCAATTTACCGCGGCAAAACTATTAGCTAGTTTTAGTTATAAAATCTATTATCTCGGCCACTTACCAACTTGTATTTTGGCCATTTTGAAATCGTTGCAATCTTTTACTATTTTGTATTTGCGGAAATTATGACGTGTTCAAGTAACTAAGTTCTTGCACAAAATTATCAACTCTTGAAGACTATTTCAACAATCCACCGACACTTGCTTTCGAATAGCATCTCCAACTTGTTAAATTGACTAGTTCTCTTATATAAAATTATCAACTCTTACATTATCAGCATTTAATTCATTAATTGAATACCACCGACTCTTATAATAATTTATCAACATTTATTTACTAACCTTACCAATGTATCGGTAGTTTTTTTTTTTGGTCGAAATGTAGCAGTAGTTTGGTTGCCCACATGTTACGCGGAATTTGATAAAAATTAGCAAAATAAGAGAAAATGTCCTTTTGATAAATTTAGTAAGTATGAATTTTTCCATTAATATGGTGAATACTCTTTTCCTCAATTGTTTTCAAAGTCCAAATTCAATTAGCATAATTTTATTAGCAAAAAGAATAACTCAATCTACATAGATATCTCTGGCAAAAAAAAAAACAATCTACATAGGTATCAAAGGAGCACAGCCTAGTGAGAATTGAAAAATAGAATTTAGTCCAGTGGGCAGAGAACATTTTGTCATTTGCCTTTATTCCATGGACTTTACGGCACATATTAGCATCTTTAAATATGTTAAAAGTAATCATGCAAAGGGCTCCTTCAAAGGGGTAATAATATATGCTGGATATCATGAAAAGATAATGAAATCTTATCCTTGATGAGAAATCAATTTATCTTCATATTTGATTAAAAAGAGGTTGTCTTCATCAAGGTCGATGTTGTGATAATTTTACAATGGCGTTTTGCCGAAAAAGAAAATGACCAAGAAAAAGAAATAATCATGGAGGAGATCAAGTTCTTCAAGTTGACACTGTCATACACGTTTACAAAAAGACTTGACAATAGCACTCGTAGTTGTGGTGAAAATTTGGTGGTCTCCAAATAACCGTTCTCCACGTCCGTGTCCCTAAATTATTAAAGGAAAAAGCAAATTGGTGGTCTTTAGAAGTCTATGTTGTCGTGCTTGAGAAAGAGATCATCCGTTAATTTATAAAGAATTTGAGGTAGAGTGAGAGGAAATAAGAAGTCAGCAATAAAAAAGTCTATTTTGGAATGATTTTTTGGTTGCATTAATAAAACCACATTAAATATTCAAAAGTCAGTTTTACATGATATGTTACTAGTTGTTATACGAAATTACAAACTCTTTTTCAAAGTTGCCAATATGAAATTATCAACTCTTATGTTACACAATTGATTGTTTCGAAATTATTGATTGTTCTTATGGCTTACCAACATTTATTTGCATGGCTTATCAACGTGTCAAAGTCACCAACTTACCAGCTTTTATTTGATCGTTTCAAAAGCACCAATTATATCAATACTTTATTGACAACTGTTTGCGAAGCTTGCCATTGGGCCAAAATGACAAACTTTTATGGGATATCACCAAAACTTTAAAAAAATACTGGCTATTTTAATAATTTAACTACATTTATTTGCGGTAGCTTTAGTTATCAACTCTTTTATGAAATTCTCAACTTTTACTTGAATCAATTACCAATATTTATTTAATTGTTTCCAAGTTACAAACCATTCCAATAATGTACAAACAATTATTTGCACAGCTTACCAACTTATTAGGCTACTACCTGAAATAAAAAATTACCGACCCTTATTTGAGTCAACACTAACGAACATTTATTTGATTGCTTTGGAGGTACCAATGTTCGAATAAGTCTATCAATATTTTTTTGGGAACTTGCTGATGGGTTAAAGTTACCAACTATGTAACATATTATAACTCTTTTTAACCACCAGAAAACTATGTAACACATTATATGAAAATTGATTTCCAGTTTTAATTAGGAGAAGTCATTTCCATGTAATTATAAACTAGAGTTCTCTGTCCAGCAATATCATTGTCCTAGATTAACTTATTTCCCCCAACCAAACAAAAAGGAACATGATGAATTGTTTTTTACGTAAATCATTTATCTCGAAATAAACGCAGCCTAGTCTAATGGAAAGTGCGGGGCCACATCTCTGGAACCAAAATTAGAAAGAACCATTTTCGTATTTAGATATGAAAAGAGCCATTTTTTTTCTTAATCTTAAAATGTCTTTGTTTCATGAAAAACTTTATGTTGAAGGAAATGATTTCACCCGAAATATGTATTCTAGGAAACTGATTGACTTTCCCTTATTTAGTTGTGAGCATAAAAATAAGAGAAAGAAGTTTCAGCTATTTGGTTATTACTTCTGAAAATAGGATAAATTATGCAATGCTATTAAAAAAATATGAAGGAATTATAGATTGTAAAATGAAATACGAAGCTATGTAGTTACAATTGTTGGTACCGAGAAATGTTTGAGTGAACGATAAAAGCTGTACGAATTCCAAATATAGTACTTTTATAGAGTAAATATGGCAAAAAGAAGCTATATAATCTAGTAATCATAACCACAAACATACATGAAAGTAATCATTTTCTTCGTTCTTTTTCTCTAGCTTCGAAATCAGTGTTGGAAAGAAGTGAAGTGGTAAGTGGAATTAAATCTGACATTTTAACAAATATATTCTGCGCTTTCTTCTCCAACGCCTCAAAATAAAGTATTATGGGGAAAATCACATATTGAAAGCATTATTTCATGATAAATGAGAATTCCGGAAGCTAGTGAGAGAGAGAGAGAGAGAGAGAGCTTCGTTGAAGCTGTAAACATGGTTGAACTTTTGTGATGTCCCATGACACAAAAAAACGAGAAACTTAACTAATGGAAACGTTTTCCTTTTTTAAGATATGAGATATCGTTTTTCTAAGTAAACTTAGCAAACTAGCACACCCGACAAACTAGCACACCCTTCTGTGGCTCTCGTGCGGCGTATTTAGTCATCTCGGAGCTTCTGATCAGTCATCTCTGGCGATCGTCTTTTCTGCTGTTCTGTTCAAGGATCTCTTCCAGAGAAGACTCTGAGGAGGCATCACTGAAGATGGCGCTACACATACATGATGCAGCTGCAAACAATGGAATATCAGATCCGGCTGCTTGTACATACGCTTAGAAAGAAATTGAGGACATGGCGGATTCATCAGGATTTGACTACGAGGTGTTCTTGAGCTTTAGAGGATTAGATACTCGTGCAGGTTTTACCGACTTCCTTTATAACAGCCTGATCAATGCGGGAATCCATGCGTACAGAGATGACGAAGAGCTGCACATCGGGGAAGAGATTGGCCCGGAGCTTCTCCAAGCAATCAAGCAGTCAAGAATCTCCATACCCATCTTCTCAAAACGATATGCCTCTAGCAAATGGTGTCTCAAGGAGTTGGTCCAGATGGTGGAGTGCAAGAAAAGCATGGGCCAGAAGATCATGCCCATTTTCTATGACGTGGAACCTTCCGAGATTCGGGACCAAACCGGCCGGTATGGACAGGCCTTCATCGAGCACAAAAGCAGGGGGCGATACGGTGATGGAACTATTAGCGAGTGGAAGGCCGCTCTTAGTGAAGTTGGGGCAATAAAGGGATGGGACCTAAATAGCATGCCCAACAGGTGATTATTTCTAAGATTAGGACTACAGCAATAGCTTGTATCCTTAGAATGCAACTTATTTCTGATCGAGTCCTTGCAGAATTTGTGTTATTTCTAGTATTGAAGTTGAATGCATTTCTTGAAAAATTAGAAATCATTCAGAAATCATGCCAATAGTGGGATGGTTCGCAGGAATTTTACTTTTTCTGAGTTTAGCTGCATGTTATAAGTCCATTTCCATCCTTTTCTTTTCGAATAATATTATTTAGTTCATATGATTTTTTTTTTTTTGGTAATCCAGGGAACCCCGCACGGCCGACAGCCGGGAGGTAAACCCTGGGGGCGACACGTGCTAGCCACCACACACGTGCACCGGTTAAGTCACCCTGCAGCGCCCAGGATTCGAACACCCAACCTTTTGCGAGAGGAAGAGTGCCCTTTCCAGCAGCGCCACCCAGGCGGGTGGTTAGTTCATATGATTTTAATAAGGAATCTATCCAAAAGGGGTGTTAGATTTTCTAATTTGGTACGGCCTGACCATTTGTTGTTCAACCCAATTTTCTAATTCCGTGTGTTTTCAACTCCAAAAATATCATGCGCGAAGGTGACTTAGTGAAAACAGTTGTCAAGGAGGTTTTCAGTGAGTTGAAAAAGGGTTACTTGGTATTATCGGATTGATATCGGATTGCTTGGTTGAAGTCGACAATCACATGAGTGAGATCATGAGAATGATTGGCCCTCAGACACATGAAACACGGATTGTTGGTATCCATGGAATGGGTGGCGCTGGAAAGACCAATCTTGCCAAAATCATCTACAATAAACTTTTACCTGATTTTGAGCATCGTTGTTTCCTTTCTAACATTCGAGAAACTTCAAAGGTAAAGGGTGTTGAGTACTTGCAGAATCAGCTGATCTCCAACATCTTCAAATTGCCATGGAAAGATATAAGCATAAGCAACACAGATGAAGGGATTGAGATGATTAAAGATAGGCTGCGTGGTAAAAGGCTTCTCCTTCTCCTTGATGATGTTGATAGAAAGAATCAATTGAATGCACTTATGGGCAAGCGTGATTGGTTCGGTGAAGGAAGTAAGCTTCTCATCACTAGTAGAAACAAAGAGGTTCTCAACCTTCCTGAAGTGGATTGGACTTATGAACTTAACTTCATGGATTTCGACAAATCTCTTCGACTTTTCAGCAAACATGCCTTCAGAAGAGATCGTCCCTTGGATGATTATCTCGCCCACTCCAGAAAGGCGGTAAGCATTGCTGGAGGTCTTCCTCTAGCTCTCGAGGTTATAGGCTCGCTTTTATCATGCAACAGTAAAGAAAAGTGGGATGTCATACTGAAAAAGTTGGAAAATGTTCCTCATGAGGAAGTCAGCAGTAAGCTGAAAATAAGTTACGAGGCGTTGGATGATCGGCAAAAGCACATCTTTCTCGATATAGCTTGTTTTTTCATTGGATGTGACAAAGAAATTGCAATTCACATGTGGGATGAGACCGAATTTTTTCCAGAAGAAGCTTTGGAAGTTCTGCAGAATATGTCCTTGATAAAGATCGAAGAAAATAATACCTTGTGGATGCATGATCAAATAAGGGACCTGGGGCGAGAAATCATCCGCCAAGATAGTAATATGGTAACAGAGAAGCAGACTAGGGTGTGGTATGTTGATGGAGCATTAGATTTGCTGATGACTAACCAGGTAAATGCTCCCTGCTAAAACTACAGTTTGGCTACTTTCTCTTTTATGATGCCATGAAACACGAGGAGTGACTAATGGGTTTCCTTTTTGGCAGGAAAAGGAAAAAGTTGAAGCTCTCCGTCTCCAGTTTCGCCATTCGGCGGAACACCGTTTTGCAGATGAGGACTTCATGAGACTTCCAAATCTAAGGTTCCTTGTAGTTGATGGCGGGGATGAATATAAATGGATGAGGGAACTTAATGATCAGAAAAAAATTCTTGAACTCGCGTGTGGAGTAATAATGAGGAAATTGCGGCAGCGTTTTCATCTTCCAGTCAACTTCTTCCGGAAGAAGTCGCATCTACTTCAGAAACTGCGATGGCTTTCTTGGTATAATTTTCCTCTAAACTTTGACATAGCCAAATTATCCATGAGGAAACTAGTCGTTCTTGATCTAGCAGAGAGCGCCATTACCGAACGTTGGGACGGTTGGAGCCATATAAAGGTGTGGCATATGGTAGGAACGTCTATCTGTTAAATCCAGAACTTGATGGTTTCATGATTTTTGTTTCCTTTTTGTTGTCGCAGATGGCGAAGAGCTTAAAAGTGCTGGATCTGTCGGGTTGGGAGGAATTGGTTAAAACTCCCAACTTCTCAGGACTCGCAAATTTAGAACGGCTGATCATGGAGAGCTGTACAAGCTTGGTCGAAATCGATAAATCCATTGGTCAGTTACAGCGCTTGGTTTTCTTAGATCTCAGCTTCTGCCTTAAACTCTGTAGCTTGCCACTTGAGATTCGCGAGCTAAAATCTTTGCAAGTGCTCCGTATTCTTGGCAGGAGTGCACGGCACAATAATTTTACATCTAACATTGCGGTAAAGGGGTTTATCGAGTTAGGTGCGACAGTTTTAACGAAATAGAGGTGGGACAGTTTTTATGAAATGGAATCAGAATGGCAAAACCCAAAAGAGTACGGATCCATCTCGCTCACTCCGAGCTCTCAAATCGACGAGGATCCTCCGATGGTTGCTGCCGAGGCCTCGCCAGCTCCGTCGCTTCGGAGGAGCCAAGTCCGTCCGAGACGTTCATATACCGAGCTGCGGGTTTCTGCTCATCCTCTTCGCCTACGGAGCTGCTCAGAATCTCGAGAGCACTGTTGAGTTTGGGAGACGATTGTGTTGAACTGCGGGCTCCAAGTTCGCACATCTTTCTGGGAAAAACGAGAGAAATCGAGGGCACGATTTCGCTTGGGATCTGTATGTGTGCTTCACATTTTGCTCCTTGGCTGCGTCTCTAGGGGGTTCGGACATTGGGCCCCAAAAATGCTATTCTTCTTGGGACTACTGGTTACTGGCTGTTCATAGCAGCGAATTTGAAGCCGTCCTTTCGGTTCATTTTTAAGATTTATAAAACGTGTAATTTGTCAATATGCTTATAGTAAAATCTCGTCCAGGAACTGATTACTCCCGGTTATTGTTTTAAATTTAAGATTTCGCTAGAATAGTATTCAATCGAATTTTGCCGTTATTTAGAGCTCAAACTTTGGTGTCGAATTTCTCGGAGTTTCGGGACGAATTTAATTGGACGGTGTCGATATTATTGAGGCCAGCCTCGAGATTGCTCGGAATATGTGAAAAGTGGATTTTTGACCGGGTATGAATTTGGATAAGTAAACCTCTCTCGTAGTATATTTTGAGTTATTTTCTTTTGGTCCTTTTTTCTATATTATTAATTAGGATTTTCGTGGACTGTTAGATCATTTTCGAGTTTGATCGTGGACCGTTGAATCGCGATGATGATGTTTGACTTTCTTTCTCTCTCTCCGGTGACCTTTTCCCCATGCGCACGTTTCCCCCCTTGTCAGACCCATCCACTTCTCTCTCTCTTCCTTTTCTTTCTTTCTTTTTCCTTTTTCTTTTCTTTTCTTCCTCTCTTCTTCCTCTCCTTCGTTGGTCTTCTCTTCCGCCGCGACAGTTCTGGCCTCCTGCTTGCTGCTCACCGGGACCAGCCCAGCCACAGCCCACCGTTCGCCGTTCGCCTTGCGCTGTCGCCTGACCGAGCCGTACCGCCGATCGTCGCCCGCAACCGCCGCTCGCCGGCCCCGTCCGCCTGTCGCCGGCCCTGTCCGCGCTGCACGCGAGCAGCAGCTTGCCGCTGCGTCCGCCGCGGTCCGGCGTTGCCCAGCCGTCCGCCGGCCTGTCCTCCGTCGCCCGGCCACCCGCGGCGCCGCCGTGCCGCCTCCGGCCGCCGCGTGACCTCCTCTCCCCCTGTTTCTCTCTTCCCCGGCGCCTTCCCCTGTTTCGGCCCCTGGCTTCGCCGCCGCCGCGAGCCGCCGTTCCAGCCGCTGCCGCTCCGCCTCCGCCACCCAGTCTCTCCCCTCAGCCACCTCCGCCGCCCTGCCGCTCCCCCTTGGCCGCCACCACCTCCCTTCCCCTGTTTTTCTTCCTCCCCGACGCCTCCCCTGTTTTGGGCTCTCCCCGGCGCCGCCTCGCCCAGCCGCCGCGCGCCGCCGTTCCGGTCGCCGCCGCTGCTCCGTCCGCCACCACCCAGCCCCCAGCGACCTTGCCCAGCCACTTGCAGCCGCCGTGCTCGCCGGAACAGCCCAACCGCCGCTGTCGTCGCCGTTGGCCAGTCGTGGCCGAGCAGCCCAGGCCAGCCCAGGCCGTGGCCGAGCTCGCCCAGGCCACCGCCCGGCGCCTCGCCCGTCCAGCCAAGCGTGTCGCCCATCCGGCTCGCCCGTGCGCCCTGGGCACGCCGTTCGGCCACCTCGCTCGTGCGCCAGGCACGCCGATCGGCCACCGTGCTCGTGTTGGCCGGCCACCGCGCCCATTGGCCCGCGCCCGCGCCTAGTTCGGCACTGTTCACCCGGGCCATCTTAGACCCGAGCCGATTTTTCCCCTGCCAAAATCAAGTAAGTGACTTCCTAAATCCTAACTAGTATTTTGGGTATTTTATTGACTTGTCTCGGGTTTAGAACAGCTAGGGCGTGTTTTAATTTAATTATATTATGTTATAATTACGCTATTTGAATTGGATTAAATGATGTGCTTGATTTGGGTAATTGTGCGTGACCGACTTGAATGTTGGATTTGTGGATTGAGGTGGCGAATTGTAAATTGGACTGAGTGGTGATTATGGGTTGTTTGATGCAATTGGCATGAAATTGATTTAATTGAGTGGCGTGTGCTTGCCTGTCGATTCTAAGCCCGGATTGATTGGAGGGCTACGGACTTGGGACGTGTTGACGGCGGTCCGTGTGAAGGCATGAATGGCCGGTGTGCCAAATGGATGCGGGCTTGAGACGTGTTGACGGTGGCCCGTTAAAGGTGTGTTGGACCGGGACGTGTTTACGTCGGTCATTAGAATTGAGCCCGGATTGATCGGAGGGTTACGGACTTTGGACGTGTTGACGGCGGTCCGTGTGAAAGCATGAATGGCCGGTGTGCCAAATGAGCCTGAGGCATATTTACGGGGCTGTGAGATTGGGCCTGAGGCGCAGTGGCGCGGGCAATGAGAATGGACCTGAGGCGCAGTGGCGCGGGTCGTGAGAAAGATGTTCGGTCATGCATGCGAATTGAGTGATTGAATTGGCTGGTTGAGTGTGACTGAATTGACTGGTTGAATATGTGGTTGAATTAGTAAGATGGATTGCGTGCAAGTGTGGTTGGCGTTTGAGCAATTGCGATGTGTTATTTAATTACTATTATTGCATTATCACGTGACGACTAACGTGCAGAGTTGGCATGAGCTTGATAACGAGGTAAGTACAATGATGCGAATTTTATATGTTATGGGGTAGATTGCATGTACGACTTGTCTGGGTACGCATTGGCCTACGTTGAGTATATGGGGTTGCTTATTGAGACTCGTTCTCACGGTTATTATATAACCATTTCAGATCCGCGACCGTGATCGATTCGGAGATGCCGCCAGAGCACCACAGGGATTGAAAGATAGATCATTTACCCTGTCTTTTGAGTTCCCCTTTTTGTAGAGGAGTTAAGTTTGTGAACTATTGTCTCTTTTGAGGAATGGGGTTCTGTTAATGTGGCCTAGCTTGGGATTGGCTTTTTGTGAGCGTCGTATGTATCTGCCAAGAGTAGGAATTACAGTAATTGTTTCGTGCTACTGCTACCCCTTGTCCTTATTATTTGTCTGGGTTGTTTCTAATTGTTTCCGCGCGTGCCTAATCTTTGATGTTTGGGTTGGGTCGGCGACGTGCCTGGGACGTCGCATTCAATGATCGACCATCGAAGGGTGTCGCGAGCCCGTTAGGGTTCGGGGCGTGACACCCTTTTGCGTTTGTGAGTTGTTTATGTCACTCAGTCTGATTGCTCATAATTTTCCCGTTCCAGTATTTCAAAGAGTCGGTGAATCTATCATGTACATTGGTTAGGACTTTTTTGCCACCACAATGCAGTATACGAAGTGGCTCCGGGTAAACATAAGAACCTCCAAGCGCCGTAATGAGATGTCGCAGATCAGATCATTGTGTTCTAAACTGCATAAATCTAGTTAGTTCGCAATCACGTCGGTACCTGAGCTGATGTGCCTATAGACCACTAGCGATTGCTATGATTCCCTCGGTCACACGGACTCTTTTGTCGGGTCGCTTGCAGGGTTTTCTTTCTGAATGGATCCCATTTCGGGTTCCAGTTCGTTTCTCTGTGCTTCATGTTCGGTCTGATCCTTGCTTGCCTCGTGCTTCCTGGGTAGGCGGGAATCTATTTGTTTAAGATTTTTCGGTCTGGATTTTAGGGGTTTGGCTCCTTGAATAGTGGAAGTGTTGAGGGCTGAGGGAGAGGGAAATGAGACGGGAGTGCTCATGCTGAATTCGAGCTCGCAAGCAACTTTGAAATGTTTCTAGTCCATCCTATTTAGAGATGTGGTTACGAATCAAGTTATGTTCGCATGGCGGGGGTGGAGTTTAATTAGAATTGTGAATTGTAACTCCCTTTGCTCTTCCTATGCTGGGTTTTCTGTTTTTGCCTTAATTATAATCTTTAAATGGTGGCATTTTGGCTTGAATCCAATCTCATTTTTCATATCTCGAACTGTCTGAATCCGGTTCTTATAGACTAATGGTCTTCACAATGCCTCCAGGTCCTTAGCACAGAAAATTCCGACACTGTTTTGTTTGTTTCAAAAAAATATATGTGATGTAACTGCGAAACAATTTCTAAGAAGTCATTTATCAGAAAAATGGCAATGTCTTCTTATGTTTGAGGAATTTAAAAAATGAATTGGAGAATAATTTCTGGCGTGATTCTAAGTGATATTTCCTTGAGAAATTTGGCAGTTGGTGGGCTTTGTTATTGTGAGATTTTGTGGGGACCAACGCCAACTGTTATAAAAGTTTAAGCTATTAAATGATGACGTGGTTTAATATTTAATTATTCTAACATTTCCCCTTACGCTTATTCTGGCATTTGTATCTAGTACTAAGCATGGAAATATTTAATTAGGGAGACAAATGAGGCATGGAAATATTCGAACTCAGGACCTCCAGTTCTGATATCATATAAGAACTAGAAAAGAAAAATCGAGAGATATCAATCAAAATCACAAGATGATTCTTGGAGATGCTGATTGACAATTCTTGTAATATAATGATCTCTTCATTTTTGAATTTGTAGAAAAATTGACACTTCACGTTCCTCAGATAACCTTGGCAAAAATATTTTGTAAAGCTAACCACACCTCAAAAGATATCTTCAAGTCTACTACTTGAGCAAGAACTTCTTCGAAGAGCGTCGCAATGATCCATCCCTGCAGAAGGCGATTTGACCTTCTCCGTTGTAAAAACTCTGCATTTATCACTTCCTCTGAGACTATAGCTTCTTTTTCCGAATCAGAGGGGGTGACTATTGTTGGATTCGGCATCTGGTACTCGCCATCAATAAATCCTACCAGATCTTGACTTTCATTTAGTGCAAGCATCTTGCTCTCTAGCAAGAATAGTTTGTCTGTGTCAGTTTCAGTGACACAAAATTGCTAATGTTCAAAGATGAGGGGTATGGATATTTAGGATTGGTGGAAGCCAATGTTAAGAATCAATTTCTTTTGAAGAATAGCTCTGATACCATGTGAAATTTTTTTGGAATCACTACCAACTGTTCTAAAAGCTTAAACTGTTAGAGGATGACATGGTTTAATTTTTAATTATTCTAACAGTTATTACTAGCATCTCAGGTCCAATTTGATCTTCCAGCTCCAACCATATCCGTAAAACCAACAGTAGACATGAATTAAATGTATAAATCCATATATCTTGGCCTCGTACAGAAATGGGTAACAGTAGAAGATATCATGGGGCTCAAAAAAATCGGATAACGATACGGAGAAGAAGACAGCACTTCCGAGGCTGGAGCTAGATGAATGTTAGGGACAAAACTCACTTGGGTGTTTAGGGAAAATGGATTTCCAGTTTTAATTGGGAGAAGTTATTTTCCATGTAACTAAGCTAGAGTTTTCTGTCGAGCAATATCATTGTCCTAGATTAACTTATTTCCCCCAAACAAAACAAGGAACACAATGAAAATTTTTTCCGTAAATCATTTACCTTGAAATATACGCAACCTAGTCTAATGGAAAGTGGGGGGCACATCTCGGGAACCAAAATCGTAAAGAACCAATTTTCGTAATTTACATATGAGAAGAGCCATTTTTTTCCTAATCTTAAAATGTGTTTGTTTCATGAAAAACTTTATGTTGAAGCAAAGGGTTTCACCCAAAATTTTTATTCTAGGAAAGTGATTGATTTTCCCTGATTTAGTTGTGAGCATAAAAATGAGAGGATGTAGTTTTAGCTGTTTGGTTTTTACTTCTGAAATAGGATAAATTATGCAATGCTATTAAATTATATGAAGGAAATTATAGATTGTAAAATGAAATACGAAGCTATGAAGTTACAATTGTTGGTTTTATAAAGTAAATATGGCAAAAATAAGCTATATAATCTAGTAATCATAACCACAAACATACATGAAAGTATTCAACTTCTTCGTTCTTTTTCTCTAGCTTTGAAATCATTGTTGGAAAGAAGTGAAGGGGTAAGTACAATTCACTTTAACATTTTAACTAATATCTTCCGCGCTCTCCACTTCAACGCCATGAAATAAAGTATTATGGGGAAAATCACATGTTGATAGTATTATTTCATGATAAATGCGTATATGACTTGTTAATTTATCAATAAGAAACAGAAAAAATGGATTCTCGAAGAGAGGGAGAGAGAGAGAGCTTTATCGAAGCTCTAAACATGATTGAAGTTCCATGATGTCCCATGACACAAAAACGAGAAATTTAGCTAATGGAAAGGTTTTTCTTTTATTAGAAAGGAGAAATCTTTATCCTGATTAAAGTTCAAGTGCTTTGTTAGACTAAAAACGCTTTTCAGTTTACTTGTCATTTTCAATATTTTAAATATTGAAAAATCTAGAAAATAATTCCACAGATATTATTATCAACGAAACAAACACACTCTATAATTCATGAGTTTGGAGCTTAGTGTTATTACATTTTTAAGAATTATTCCAAATGTGGACATCTTCATTTCTGAGACGCTTGAAAATATTGTCATGTGCCCGTCCTAATTTTGATGGATTAATTATATAGGAAACTGATTTTTGTATCCATTTTTCCCCCGGATAGAGGGGATTCTCAACCACCTCGATTGAATTATCGAAAAAAAATTATATTGGAAGCATCCAGGAAATTACTGATAGATGCCGACAAACACTAAACCACACGTTACTGTTTGACTGTACATTTTTACTTTGACCCAGTCAAATCATATGGAAACACCGTGTCTAGCAAACTAGCATACCCTTCTGTGGCTCTCGTGCGGCGTATTTAGTCATCTCGGAGCTCCTGATCAGTCAACTCTGGCGATCGTCTTTTCTGCTGTTCTGTTCAGGGATCTCTTCCAGGGCAGACTTTGAGGAGGCATCACCCAAGATGGCGCTATACGTAGATGATGCAGCTGCAAATAATGGAATATCAGATCCGGCTGTTTCATCGGAATTTGACTATGAGGTGTTCTTGAGCTTCAGAGGGCCAGATACTCGAAAAGGTTTTACTGACTTCCTTTATATTAGCCTAATTGATGCGGGAATCCGTGCATACAAAGATGACGAAGAGCTGCGCGTCGGGGAAGAGATTGGCCCGGAGCTTCTCCAAGCAATCAAGCAGTCAAGAATCTCCATACCCATCTTCTCAAAATGTTATGCCTCTAGCAAATGGTGCCTAAAGGAGTTGGTCCAGATGGTGGTGTGCAAGACTAACATGGGACAAAAGATCATGCCCATTTTTTATGACGTGGAACCTTCCGAGGTTCGGTACCAAACTGGCAGGTATGGACAGGCCTTCCTTGAGCACGAAAGCAAGAATCGATACGATGATGGAACTATTAGCGAGTGGAAAGCCGCTCTTAGTGAAGTCGGAGCGCTAAAGGGATGGGACCTACACAGTATGCCCAACAGGTGATTACTTCTCAAATTAAGACTGCAGCAATAGCTTGTATCCTTAGAATGCTACTTAGTTCTGATTGAGTCCTTGCTGAATTTGTGTTATTTTGAGCATTCGAAGTTGAATGTATTACTAGAAAAATTAGAAATTATTCAGAAATCATGCCAAAAGTTGTATGGTTCACCGGAATTTAACATTTTCTAAGCTTCACTGTATGTTATAAGTCCGTTTTAATCCTTTTCTTTTCAAATAACATTATTTAGTTCATATAATTTTAATAAGGATTCTAAACAAAGGGGTTGTTTTTGGTTTCGCCTGACCATTTTGTTGTTCAACCCAATATCAGGAACGAAGGTGACTTCGTGAAAACAGTTGTCAAGAAAATCTCCGGGGAGTTGAAAAAGGGATTTTTGGTATTATCGGATTGCTTGGTTGAAGTCAACGGTCCCGTGAGTGAGATCATGAGAATGATTGGCCCTCGGACACATCAAACGCGGATTGTAGGTATCCATGGAATGGGTGGTGCTGGAAAGACCACTCTCGCCAAAATCATCTACAATCAACTATTACCTGATTTTGAGGATTGTTGTTTCCTTTCTAATATTCGAGAAACTTCAGAGGTAAAGGGTATTGTGTGCTTGCAGAATCAGCTGATCTCCAACATCTTCAAAGGTAAATGGAAAGATATAAGCACCACAGACGAAGGGATTGAGATGATTAAAGATAGGATGTATGGTAAAAGGCTTCTCCTTCTCCTTGATGATGTTGACAAAAGGAGTCAACTGAATGCACTTATGTGCAAGCGCAATTGGTTCGGTATAGGAAGTAAGGTTATCATTACTAGTAGAAACAAAGAGGTTCTCAATGTTCCTGAAGTGGATTGGACCTATGAACTTAACTGCATGGATTTCGACAAATCTCTTCAACTTTTCAGTAAACATGCCTTCAAAAGTGATCATCCCTTGGATGATGATCTCGCCCACTCCAAAATGGCGGTAGGCATTGCTGGAGGTCTTCCTCTAGCTCTTGAGGTTATAGGTTCACTTTTATCATGCAGCAGGAAAGAAATGTGGGATGCCATATTGAAAAAGTTGGAAAAAGTTCCTCATGAGGAAGTCAGCAGTAAGCTGAAGATAAGTTACGAGGTGTTAGATGATCGGCAAAAGTACGTCTTTCTTGATATAGCTTGTTTTTTCATTGGATATGACAAAGAAACTGCAATCCACATGTGGGATGAGAATAATTTTTTTCCGAAAGAAGCTTTGGAAGTTCTGCAGAATATGTCCTTGATAAAGATCGGAGAAAATAATACATTGTGGATGCATGATCTAATTCGGGACATGGGGCGAGAAATCATCCGCCGAGATAGTAATATGGTAACAGAGAAGCAGACTAGGGTGTGGAATGCTGTTGAAGCATTAGATTTGCTGATTACAAGCCAGGTAAAAGCTCCCTGCTACTACAAGAATTTGGCTACTTCCTCTTTTATGATTGTCTAAAACGTGAGGGGTTAAGAATGTGTTTCCTTTTTGGCAGGAAAAGGAAAAAGTTGAAGCTCTCCATCTCGAGTTGCTCCATCCAGCAGAACACCGTTTTGCAGATGAGGACTTCATGAGACTTCCAAATCTAAGGTTCCTTGTAGTTGATGGAAGGAATGAAGTGAACGGTCAGAGAAAAAACCTGAATTTACTGCAACTATTTCATCTTCCGATCAACGTTTTCAGGAAGGAGTCGCATCTACTTCCTAAATTGCGATGGCTTTCTTGGAATATTATTCCTCTAAACTTTGACATAGCCAAATTATCCATGAGGAATCTAGTCGTTCTCAGTCTAGCACGGAGCACCATTACCCATCGTTGGGACGGTTGGAGCCATATAAAGGTGTGGCATATGCTAGGAACGTTTATCTGTTAAGTCCAGAACTTGTTCGTTTCATGATTTTTTTTTTCCTTTTGTTGTTGCAGATGGCGAAGAGCTTAAAAGTTCTGAATCTGTCGTGTTGCCAGAAATTGGTTAAAACCCCGAACTTCTCAGGACTTGCAAATTTAGAACGACTGATCATGTTTGACTGTGTAAGCTTGGTCGAAGTCCATGAGTCCATTGGTCAGTTACAGCGCTTGGTTTTCTTAGATGTCCGCAACTGCTTGAACCTTCACTTGTCAAACGAGATTCATAACCAAAAATCTTTGAAAGTGCTCCGAACTTATGGCGGAACAATGAACCTCATTACATTTTCATCACCATTTGTTGGGTCTGCTGATAGTAGGGACGTCAACTCTTCGGATCGGATCGGGTTTTTATGCTTTTAGGGCCGGTTTGGTTTGGGCATTGTTGACAGCCCTAGTAAACAGGTGAATCGGATAAGGTCGGCCCATTTTTTAAATAAATGGGATAGAAATAGCAAAGTCAAAGAAAGTATGTATGTTAAATGGATTCTCAGTTTACTTATACCCAATCCAAAGTGTGATTCTCTTTTCCCTCCCTCTCTTTCCCTCCCTCACTCGATCTCGCTCACTCCACACTCTATACCCAGTCGAACAATATTATTCGTCTTCCTCAATCTCTCTGTCTCTGCGCTCTCAAATCGACTAGGAAGCTCCGATGGTTGCTGCCGAGGCCTCGCCAGCTCCGTCGCTTCGGAGGAGCCATGTCCGTCCAAGATGTTCATATACCGAGCTGTGGGTTTCTGCTCATCTTCTTGGCCTACGGAGCTGCTCAGAATCTCAAGAGCACTGTGAACACTGAGTTTGGGAGACGATTGTGTTGAACTGCAGGCTCCAAGTTTGCATTTCTTTCCGGGAAAATCGAGAGAAATCGAGGGTCGTGAGATGAAATCCTAGAACCAGATTTTGCACTTCTGTTTCACTTGGGATACTGCATGCGTCCTTAGAATTTTTCTCCTTGGCTGCTTCTCTGGGGGTTTCCGACATTGGGACCCAAAAATGCTATTCTTCTTGGGACTACTGGTTAGTGACTGTTCATGGCAGCGAATTTGAAGCCATCCTGGTATGCCCTTTTGTGTTTGTAAGTTGTTTATGTTACTCAGTCTGATTGTTCATAATTTTCCGGTTCCAGTATTTCAAATAGTCGGTGAATCTATTGTATACATTGGTCAGGCCTTTTATGCCACCACAATGCAGTATACGAAGTGGCTCCGGGCAAACATAAGAACCTCCGAGCGCCTTAATGAGATGTCGCAGATCACTATGTTCTAAACTGCAGAAATCTAGTTAGTTCATAATGGCTTCGATACCTGCGCTGATGTCCCTATAGAACACTAGCGATTGCTGTCACGCCCCGAACCCCCGTCAAGCCCGCGACATCCCGCCTCCGGTCGAACAGTTGCGACGTCCCAGGTTATCGCCGACCTCAACTAAACATCAGAGATTTAATCGCGCAAACGGAAACCATAAAACACCCGGACAAACTTAAACTTGGGAGAATTGGGAGAATATACATTTTCATTTCTTGTTCAACTTGTTCCACCATATATACAATAAAACAAACCTCTGACTACCAGTGCACACTTTACTGAAACTATCAAAATAAAAAAGGAGTCAATGACCTGACGTTCAACCTCAAAAACGGTTCTCATCCAAGGCAAGCTTTCCCACTTCTACAAACACGATCGTTGTGTGTCTTATCCAGGTTATCCCGTCACCCATCGGAAACTCAGCTACCTCATACTCCGTATGCACTGGTACTCCAAAACGTACTGGTGGCGGTGGTGGAGGGTTCATCGCTCAGGTCGGGGTTCTGAAAATTGTTGGTTTACATAACCATGAGATTATATCTCAGCAAGTACACCCCTAAACCCAACTTAGGCTATCACGTACCTCCAGACAATTACAAAGCACATTCACACGCGCCAAATCTTCAAACAACAGGCATATTACACACAATCACACGCATATGCAATTTCCCACGTCGTGCGTTCCTTTCATTCTCATCATCACTTTCCACATTCCTCGCCAGTGACCCGCGTAAACATACACGCCTCAGGTACACTGCGACCACTAATCACTTTCCACATCACTCGCCAGTGACCCGCGTTGAAGTACATGCCTCAGGCACACTGCGATCATTCACCACATCCGGCCCGCGTACTCGTTCACGCCTCAGGCCCCAATCGCGACCTGAGCATCACACACCCCAGGCCCAATCCCAACTCAGCCCGCACCAAATGCGACAGGCCTACATGATTGGAACCCGAGCTTATGATGCCTCGGGCCAATCCCGGTCTCACCCGAGCTGATCATGCCTCGGATCGATTCTCATACTTGCTTTTTCAAGCCTCAGCCTGTGCCAAATGCAACAGACCTACGTGATCGCTGCCCGAGTTTACGATACCCGGCTCGATCCCATTCTCGTACTATCACACCTTCGCATACTTTCCCACAATCACTTGTCACACCATAACTTCTCCTTACTCATGCACATACTCGATATGCATTTACCACACGCAATTGGCCCATCACATGCTATCCGTGCACGCATCAATTACACACAATCCATGCTCACTCAGCATTCAACACGGTCAATAATAATAATTAAAATAATCTGGCCCACGCGTGCACCCAACAAACATAATTAACTCAACCAATCGCACAATCACACATTTAATTCCACCATCCCAACTCAATTATAATTCAAACGCACAATAAACACAGAAATTGCTATTTTTCTCCCACCAAACGACGCCAAATCGATTCCGGTCCTTCACGGGACTTTCTCACCATAAATTCACGGTTCTAAAAATCCAACTTGCGTCCCGATCGGCCCATCACGACCCCATGAACAGTAAATCACAGCCACTGTTATTTTCTAATTTCCAATAAATAATGCCCGAAATAAATTCTAAGGCCCGCCATAAAATTTCTACTCCTATTTCATGCAATTCCGCATCTAACTTTTACCAGATTTCGTCCAAAAATCGCCCGTCAATACCCGAAGTCCTAAGTTAGGTTTAGAGTGCGACTTACCCGCGTTCTAGACTATCGCGGCTAGAACGGAAAGCGGCGGCACTTAATCGGGGACGGCGGCAACGAAGTACGGCTCCCGGGTGGCGGCGATCGGCTTGGGCGGCGACGGCGCGGCTTGGGCCGTGGCCGGTGGGGCTCACGGCCAAGGAGAGAAGAGATTGGGAGAGAGAGAAAACGGCGAGATGGGGGGTGGCGTGGTGCGGTTCGGCGAGCGGACGGCGGCGGCTTGCGGGCGTGACCGGCGATCGGCGGTTCGGCAGCGGCAACGGCGAAGAGAGAGAGAGAGAAATCGGTGGAGGGGGCTTCACGGCCAAAATGGGGGAGGGGATTTCACGATGGAGAGAGGGAGAGAAATGGAAGAGAGAGAAAAGGTCTTCTTGACCTAAATAGTAATTTTTGACCCCTTTTGGCATTTTATCAAAATGCCCCTCTCTCAATTTTGATCCGACGGTCCAGATTCGATTTAATCTTGAAATCAACGGCCCAAATCGAATCTTGCCACAAATATTCAAGGGCAAAATTGTCCAATCAAAATTTTAGGGCAAAATTATCAAAATGCCCTTTACCCTTAAAGCTTGCCCTTTAATAAATCCTAGGGGTATTTTAGTCACTTCCTCCGTTTCTTGTTCAAATCGAATTTTTCCGAAGGATTTGAGCGCACCAAAAATTCGCACGTGTCACGTGCAACGTCGTCCTAACGTTCCGTTGTGACTTCCTAATTTTCCGGTGTCCAATTTGGGCAAAATTTCAATAATTAAATTTTATTAAACGCAACTCGAGCGTTTCTCGAGCTAACGGGCGGCTTGCTGGGGAAATTCGCAAAAATCGACTCATGACTGATACTGAATCGAGTCACATGCAAGTCCGTTCGGTGCATGACAACCTTGGTTGTCATTAAAATCGCGAAGAACAATCACTTGATCCGAGGGGTACGATCGTTCGGTATAATTTCAGAATCATTCGTCAAGTCGTTTCGTGGTCCAACGGAATCACCCGCGATCCACTACTAGGACAGTGGCAAACTGACCCCTAACTATCCTTGGATCGGCCAACAGTGGCTCAAAATATCACTTTCGCGATTTAACGGTCGAAATCCATTTACGATCGAATTTCCTTTAGTCGCGCGAATTTAATTCCCCTATTAGCCTTTCCCTAATGGTTAGCATTCCCATGAATCATCAGTTCTGGGCGAGAACTTACTACAAGCACATTTCATAAAACTCAGTTATTTCATAATTTTCAATTGGCGGAAATTTCGGAATGTCACAATTGCTATGATTCCCTCGGTCTCACTGACTCTCTTGTCGGGTCGTTTGGAGGGTTTTCTTTCCGAATCAATCCCATTTTGGGTTCCAATTTGTTTCCCTTTGCTTGATGATTGGCCTGATCCTTGCTTGCCTTGTGCTTCATTGGTACGCGGGAATCTATTTGTTTGAGATTTTGGGTCTGGATTTTAAGGGTTTGGCTCCTTAGACAGTAGAAGTGTTGAGGGCTGAGGGAGAGGGAAATGAGACGGGAGTGCACACGCCGAATTCGAGCTCGCGAGCAACTTTGAAATGTTTTAGTATGTTCGAATGGTGGGGGTGGAGTTTAATTAGAATTGTGAATTGTAACTCCCTTTGCTCTTCCTATGCTGCGGGGGTGGAGTTTAATTAGAATTGTGAATTGTAACTCCCTTTGCTCTTCCTATGCTGGGTTTTGTGTTTTTGCCTTGATTGTAATCTTTAAATGGTAGCATTTTGGCTTGAATCCAATCTCATTTTTCATATCTCAAACTGTCTGAATCCAAATCCTATAGACTAATGGTCTTCACGATGTCTCCAAGTCCTTAGCAAAGAAAATTCCGACACTGTTTCGTTTGTTTCAAAAATATATATATGATGCAACCGGAAAGCATTTTAAAAGAAGTCATTTATCAGAAATATGGCAATGTCTTCTTATGTTTGGCGAATATGAAAAATGAATTGGACAATGATTACCGCCGTTTGGAATAGAAAATCGATTTGTGTTTTTCATTAGGGAATGAATAATTTTTTTCTAGAGCATTTTATTGCATTGCTTGATTTCTACACTTTGTTTGGTAGGTGTGTTTTGGATTGATGCGTCTCCTATTCACACAAATAACTATTTTAGCTAGATCGTCGTGATCCTAAGTCAGATTTCCTTGTCTCGACCAAAGAAAAAAAGGTCAGATTTCCTTGAGAAATTTTCACAAGCAGTTGGTGGGCTTTGTTATTACTAGCATCACGGGTCCAATTTGACCTTCCAGCTCCGACCATATCCGTAGAACCAACAATAGACATCAAATAAACATACAAATCCATATATTTTGGCCTCAGCCAGAAATGGGTAACAGTAGAAGATATAATGGGGCTCAACAAAACCGTACAATGAGAGAGAGAGAATAAGAAGAAGAAGAAGACGCACTTCTGAGGCTGGAGCTAGATGAATGTTAGCGACAAAACTCTCGTGTGTTTAGGGAAAATTGATTTCCAATTTTAATTGGGGGAAGTCATTTTCCATGTAATTAAGCTAGAGTTGTTTTCTGTCAAGCAATATCATTGTCCTAGATTAACTTATTTCCCCCCAAACAAAGAAAGGAACAGGATGAAAAAATTTTCCCGTTAATCATTTACCTTAAAACAAACGCCGCCTAGTCTATTGAAAAGTGGAGCACCACATCTCCGGAACCAAAATCCAATTTCGTTACTCAGATATGAGAAGAGTCAATTTTTTCCTAATCTTAAATTGTGTTTGTTTTATGGGAAACTTCCGAAGGAAATGGTTTTAGACCAAAATATATATTCTAAGAAAGTGATTGATTTTCCCTTGTATAGTTGCGATCATAAAAATGGGAGGAAGTAGTTTTCCGCTGTTTGGTTATATGTTATGCTGTTAAAGTATATGAAGGATATTATACGTTGTAACATGAAAGATGAAGCTGTGAAGTTATCTTCTGTGCTCTCCAATTCAATGCCGTGAAATAAAGTTTTATGGCGAAAATCACATATCGAAAGTATCATTTCATGATGAATGAGAACATGACTAGTTGATTTATCAATAAGAAACAGAAGAAATGGATTCCGGAAGCTAGAGAGAGAGAGAGAGAGAAATTTGTTGAAGCTCTAAACATGATTGAAGTTTTATGATATCCCATGTCACAAAGGAACGAGAAACTTAGCTAACGGAAGCGTTTTCCTTTTATTGGAAAGCAAAATCGTCTTTTCCGATTAAAGTTCAAGTGCTTTCTTTGACTAAAAACGTTTTTCAGTTAACTTAGCATTTTCAATGTTCCAAATATCGAAAAATCTAAAAAATGATTCGACAAAGATTCTTTTTGGCGAAACAAATGCACCCTATAGTTTATGAGTTTGGAGCCTACTGCTAATATATTTTAAAGAAGTATCCCATGTGCACACCCTTATTTCTGAGATGCCCGACAATGTTTTCAAGTGGCTGTTCTAATTTTGACAGATTAACAAGCTGACTTTTGCATCCATTCTTCACCAGATAGAGGAGACTCTCGATTGCGATTGAATTATAGAGGAAAAAATTAGATGGGAAGCATCCATGAAATTGCTGATCAACATTACATTGGCTGTACATTGATGAAGAATGGAGAGTGTATACCGTGCATCGTTGACTTTGTCACGGTCATATAATGTTGCAATATCATATTGAAACGGTATCACCGGGTCTAGCAAACTAGCTTCTAATTAGTTTTCTCTGGCGATTATCTTTTCTGCTGCTCTGTTCAAGGATCTCTTCCAGAGCAGACTTTGAGGAGGCATCACCAAGATGGCGCTATACATAGATGATGCAGCTGCAAACAATGGAATATCAGATCCGGCTGTTTCATCGGGATTTGACTACGAGGTGTTCTTGAGCTTTAGAGGACCAGATACTCGAAAAGGTTTTATTGACTTCCTTTATATCAGCCTAATTGATGCGGGAATCCATGCATACAAAGATGACGAAGAGCTGCGCGTCGGGGAAGAGATTGGCCCGGAGCTTCTCCAAGCAATCAAGCAGTCAAGAATCTCCATACCCATCTTCTCAAAAAGTTATGCCTCTAGCAAATGGTGCCTAAAGGAGTTGGTCCAGATGGTGGTGTGCAAGACTAACATGGGACAAAAGATCATGCCCATTTTTTATGACGTGGAACCTTCCGAGGTTCGGTACCAAACTGGCAGGTATGGACAGGCCTTCCTTGAGCACGAAAGCAAGAAGCGATACGATGATGGAACTATTAGCGAGTGGAAAGCCGCTCTTAGTGAAGTCGGAGCGCTAAAGGGATGGGACCTACACAGCATGCCCAACAGGTTTTTACTTCTCAAATTAAGACTGCAGCAATAGCTTGTATTCTTAGAATGCTACTTAGTTCTGATTGAATCCTTGCTGAATTTGTGTTATTTTGAGCATTCGAAGTTGAATGTATTACTAGAAAAATTAGAAATTATTCAGAAATCATGCCAAAAGTTGTATGGTTCATTGGAATTGAACATTTTCTAAGCTTCACTGTATGTTATAAGTCCGTTTTAATCCTTTTCTTTTCAAATAACATTATTTAGTTCGTATAACTTTAATAAGGATTCTAAACAAAGGGGTTGTTTTTGGTTTCACCTGACCATTTGTTGTTCAACCCAATAGCAGGAACGAAGGTGACTTCGTGAAAACAGTTGTCAAGAAAATCTCCGGGGAGTTGAAAAAGGGATTTTTGGTATTATCGGATTGCTTGGTTGATGTCAACAGTCCCATGAGTGAGATCATGAGAATGATTGGCCCTCGGACACATCAAACGCGGATTGTAGGTATCCATGGAATGGGTGGTGCTGGAAAGACCACTCTTGCCAAAATCATCTACAATCAACTATTACCTGATTTTGAGGATTGTTGTTTCCTTTCGAATATTCGAGAAACTTCAGAGGTAAAGGGTATTGTGTACTTGCAGAATCAGCTGATCTCCAACATCTTCAAAGGTAAATGGAAAGATATAAGCACCACAGACGAAGGGATTGAGATGATTAAAGATAGGCTGTATGGTAAAAGGCTTCTCCTTCTCCTTGATGATGTTGACAAAAAGAGTCAACTGAATGCACTTATGCGCAAGCGCGATTGGTTCGGTATAGGAAGTAAGGTTATCATCACTAGTAGAAACAAAGAGGTTCTCAATGTTCCTGAAGTGGATTGGACCTATGAACTTAACTGCATGGATTTCGACAAATCTCTTCAACTTTTCAGTAAACATGCCTTCAAAAGTGATCGTCCCTTGGATGATGATCTCGCGTACTCAAGAAAGGCGGTAGGCATTGCTGGAGGTCTTCCTCTAGCTCTCGAGGTGATAGGTTCACTTTTATCATGCAGCAGGAAAGAAATGTGGGATGTCATATTGAAAAAGTTGGAAAAAGTTCCTCATGAGGAAGTCAGCAGTAAACTGAAGATAAGTTACGAGGTGTTAGATGATCGGCAAAAGCACATCTTTCTCGATATAGCTTGTTTTTTCATTGGATATGACAAAGAAACTGCAATCCACATGTGGGACGAGAATAAATTTTTTCCGGAAGAAGCTTTGGGAGTTCTGCAGAATATGTCCTTGATAAAGATCAAAGAAAATAATACGTTGTGGATGCATGATCTAATAAGGGACTTTGGGCAAGAAATCATCCGCCGAGATAGTAATATGGTAACAGAGAAGCAGACTAGGGTGTGGGATGCTGATGAAGCATTAGATTTGCTCATGACAAACCAGGTAAAAGCTCCCTGCTACCACTACAATTTGGCTACTTCCTCTTTTATGATGGCCTAAAACATGAAGCGTCAATAATGTGTTTCCTTTTTGGCAGGAAAAGGAAAATGTTGAAGCTCTCTGTCTCCAGTTTAGCCTTGCGACAGAACACCGTCTTGCAGATAAGGACTTCATGAGACTTCCAAATCTAAGGTTCCTTGCAGTTGATGGTAGGAATGAGGAGAATGGTCAGAGAAAAGACCTTGAATCCGTGTTTGAATTAGTGATGAGGAATTTACGGCAGAATTTTCATCTTCCGATCAACTTTTTCCGGAAGAAGTCACATCTATTTCCTAAGTTGCGATGGCTTTCTTGGTATTCTTATCCTCTGAACTTTGACATAGCCAAATTATCCATGCGGAATCTAGTCGTTCTGGATCTAGCACGGAGCGCCATTACCCATCGTTGGGACGGTTGGAGCCATATAAAGGTGTGACATATACTAGGAACGTTTATCTGTTAAATCCAGAACTTGATGGTTTCATGATTTTTTTTCCTTTTTGTTGTAGCAGATGGCGAAGACCTTAAAAGTTCTGAATCTGTCGGGTTGCAAGGAATTGGTTGAAACTCCTGACTTCTCAGGACTTGCAAATTTAGAACGACTGATCATGTTGGACTGCGTAAGCTTGGTCAAAGTCCATGAATCCATCGGTCAGTTACAGCGCTTGGTTTTCTTAGATGTCCGCTGCTGCTGGAAACTTCATCACTTGCCAAATGAGATTCGAGAGCGAAAATCTTTGAAAGTGCTCCATAATGAAATGCGGATTGTTAGTATCAATGGAATGGGTGGTATCGGAAAAACCACTCTTGCCAAAATCATCTACAATAAACTTTCAAATGATTTTGAGCATCGTTGTTTCCTTCCCAACATTCGAGAAACTTCAAAGGCAAAGGGTGTTAAGTACTTGCAGAATCGGCTGATCTTTGACATCCTTAAAAGGCAATGGAAAGATATAAGCAACACAGACGAAGGGATTGAGATGATTAAAGATAGGCTGTGTGGTAAAAGGTTTCTCCTTCTCCTTGATGATGTTGACAGAAAGAATCAATTGAATGCACTTATGGGCAAGCGTGATTGGTTTGGTGAAGGAAGTAAGGTTATCATCACTAGTAGAAACAAACAGGTTCTCAACCTTCCTGAAGTGGATTGGACTTATGAACTTAACTACATGGATTTCGATAAATCTCTTCGACTTTTCAGCAAACATACCTTCAGAAGAGATCGTCCCTTGGGTGATTATCTCACCCACTCCAGAAAGGCGGTAAGCATTGCTGGAGGTCTTCCTCTAGCTCTCGAGGTTATAGGCTCGCTTTTATCGTGCAACAGTAAAGAAAAGTGGGATGACATTCTGAAAAAGTTGGAAATAATTCCTCATGAGGAAGTGAGCAGTAAGCTGAAGATAAGTTATGAGGCATTAGATGATCAGCAAAAGCACATGTTTCTCGATATAGCTTGTTTTTTCAATGGATGTGACAAAGAAGTTGCAATCCACATGTGGGATGAGAATGAATTTTTTCCAGAAGAAGCTTTGGAAGTTCTGAAGCATATGTCCTTGATAAAGATCATAGAAAAAAATACGTTGTGGATGCATGATCTACTATGGGACCTGGGGCGAGAAATCATCCGCCAAGATAGTAATATGGTAACAGAGAAGCAGACTAGGGTGTGGGATGCTGATGAAGCGTTAGATTTGCTGATGACAAAACAGGTAAAAGCTCCGTGCTATCACTACAATTTGGCTACTTTCTCTTTTATGATGACACAAAACATGAGGGGAATGTGTTTTCTTTTTGGCAGGAAAAGGAAAAAGTTGAAGCTCTCTGTCTCCAGTTTAGCCATGCGACAGAACCCCATCTTGCAGATGAGGACTTCATGAGACTTCCAAATCTAAGGTTCCTTGCAGTTGATGGTAGGAATGAGGAGAATGGTCAGAGAAAAGACCTTGAATCCGTGTTTGGATTAGTGATGAGGAATTCACGGCAGAATTTTCATCTTCCGATCAACTTTTTCCGGAAGAAGTCGCATCTATTTCCTAAGTTGCGATGGCTTTTTTGGTATTCTTATCCTATGAATTTTGACATAGCCAAATTATCCATGCGGAATCTAGTCATTCTGGATCTAGCACGGAGCGCCATTACCCATCGTTGGGACAGTTGGAGCCATATAAAGGTGTGACATATGCTAGGAACGTTTATTTGTCAAATCCAGAACTTGATGGTTTCATGGTTTTTTTTTTCCTTTTTGTTGTTGCAGATGGCGAAGACCTTAAAAGTTCTGAATCTATTGGGTTGCCGGAAATTGGTTAAAACTCCCGACTTCGCAGGACTTGCAAATTTAGAACGACTGATCATGTTGGACTGTGTAAGCTTGGTCAAAGTTCATGAATCCATTGGTCAGTTACAGCGCTTGGTTTTCTTAGATGTCCGCCACTGCTGGAACCCTGATGACTTGCCAAATGAGATTCAAGAGCGAAAATCTTTGAAAGTGCTCCGTAGTTATGGCAGAAGAGTAAGGCTCAGTACAGTGCCATTCTTTACGTCCGTTGAACATAGGAGTGTCAACTGTTCGAGTCGAGCTTTCACGCTTCCCGAACCGAAAACTTGGCTAGGGCCGGTTCGGTTGGGGTTTTCATGTACCCAACCCACTGTGTGACTCTCTCTTCACTATCTCTCTCTCTCCCACCCTCGCTCCATCTCGCTCACTCTGCACTCTACCCTCAGTCAAACAATATTATTCGTCTTCCTCAATCTCTTCGTCTCTGCCCTCTCAAATCGACGAGGAAGCTCCGATGGTTGCTGCCGAGGCCTTGCCGGCTCCGTCGCTTTGGAGGAGCCATGTCCATCCGAGACCTTCATATACCGAGCTGCGGGTTTCTGCTCATCTTCTTGCCTACAGAGCTGCTCAGAATCTCGAGAGCACTGTCAACACTGAGTTTGGGAGACGATTGTGTTGAACTGCAGGCTCCAAGTTCGCATTTCTTTCTGGGAACATCGAGAGAAATCAAGGGTCGTGAGATGAAATCCTAGAACCAGATTTTGCACTTCTGTTTCGCTTGGGATACTGTATGCGTCCTGCACATTTTTCTCCTTGGTTGCTTCACTGGGGGGTTCGGACATTGGGACCCAAAAATGCTATTCTTCTTGGGACTACTGGTTAGTGACTGTTCATGGCAGCGAATTTGAAGCCATCCTGGCATGCCCATTTGTGTTTGTAAGTTGTTTATGTTACTCAGTCTGATTGTTCATAATTTTCCGGTTCCAGTATTTCAAATAGTCGGTGAATCTATTGTATACATTGGTCAGGCCTTTTATGCCACCACAATGCGGTATACAAAGTGGCTCCGGGCAAACATAAGAACCTCCAAGCACCTTAATAAGATGTCGTAGATAACTGTGTTCTAAACTGCAGAAATCTAGTTAATTCGCAATCGCTTTGATACCTGCGCTTATGTGCTTATAGACCACTAGCGATTGCTATGATTCCCTCGGTCTCACGAACTTTCTTGTCGAGTTGTTTGGAGGGTTTTCTTTTTGAATCGATCCCATTTTGGGTTCCAGTTCGTTTCTCTGTGCTTCATGTTTGGCCTGATCCTTGCTTGCCTCTTGCTTCATGGGTAGGCGGGAATCTATTTGTTTAAGATTTTTGGGTTTGGATTTTAGGGGTTTGGCTCCTTGAACAGTGGAAGTGTTGAGGGCTGAGGGAGAGGGAAATGAGACAGGGGAGTGCTCATGCCAAATTTGAGCTCACGAGCAACTTTGAAATGTTTCTAGTCCATCCTATTTAGAGATGTTGTTACGAATCAAGTTATGTTCGAATGGTGGGGGTGGAGTTTAATTAGAATTGTGAATTGCAACTCCCTTTCCTCTTCCAATGCTGGGTTTTCTGTTTTTGCTTTATTATAATCTATAAATGGTAGCATTTTGGCTTGAATCCATTCTCATTTTTTCATATCTCAGACTATCTGAATCCAGTTCCTATAGACTAATGGTCTTCACAATGTCTCCAAGTCCTTAGCAAAGAAAATTCCGAGATTGTTTCGTTTGTTTCAAAAATATAATATGATGTAATTAGAAAATATTTTCTAAGAAGTCATTTATCAGAAAAATGGCAATATCTTCTTATGTTTGTCGAATTTAAAAAATGAATTGGAAAATGATTTCCACCGTTTGGAATAGAAAACAGATTTGTGTTTTTCATTAGGGAATGAATAATTTTTTCTAGAGCATTTTATTGCATTGCTTGATTTCTACGCTTTGTTGGATAGGTGTGTGTTGGATTGGGGCCTCTCTAATTCACACGAATAACTATTTTAGCAACATCATAGTGATTCTAAGTCAGATTTCCTTGAGAAAATTTCACAAGCAGTTGGTGGGCTTTGTTCTTACTAGCAACACAGGTCTAATTTGATCTTCCAGCTCCAACCATATCCGTACAACCAAAAGTAGACATCAAATAAGTAAATGAATCCATATATCTTGTCCTCAGTCACAAACGGGTAACGGGAGAAGATATCGTGGGGCTCAACAAATCGGAAAATGTGAGAGAGACAGAGAGAAAGAGAGAGACAGAGAGAGAGAGAGGAAGACGCACTTCTGAGGCTGGAGCTGGATGAATGTTAGCGACAAAACTTCTTTTGTGTGTTTAGAGAAAATTGGTTTTCAGTTTTAATTGAAAGAAGTCATTTTCCATGTAACTAAGCTAAAGTTTTTTGTCGAGCAATTTCGTCGTCCTAGATTAACTTATTTCCCCCAAAGAAATAAAGGAACAGGATGAAAATTTTTTCCGTAAATCATTTACCTCGAAATGAACTCAGCCTGGTCTAATGGAAAGTGAGAGGCCACTTCTCCGGAACCAAAATCAAGAAAGAACCAATTTTCGTTTTTAGATACGAGAAGAGTCACTTTTTTCTTATCTTAAAATTTGTTTGTTTCATGAAAATCTTTATGTTGAAGGAAAGGATTTTACCCAAAATATGTGTACTAGGAAAGTGATTGATTTTCCCTTATTTAGTTGTGAGCATAAAAACGAGATGAAGTAGTTTTAGATGTTTGGTTATTACTTCAGAAAATAGGAGAAGTTATGCAATGCTATTAAACAATATGAAGGAAATTATAGATTGTAAAATGAAATATGAAGCTATGAAGTTATAATTGTTGGTACCGAGAAATGTTCGAGTGAACGATAAAAGCTGGACGAATTCCAAATATAGTACTTTTATAGAGTAAATATGGCAAAAAGAAGCTAAGGGCCCGTTTGGTAACGTGCCAAACAGTGAAAAATTCTGTTCTTTTGTTCCCAGAAATAGTTTGGGAACAGAAATGCGTTTGGTAAACTTTTTGTTCCCGAGCACATTTTTGCAAAAATTTGTGCCCAGAAACAGTTTTTGGAAGAGAAACAAGAAGTAAAAAAAAGTTGCTTCTTATTTCTCGGCACAATTTTGAGAATGAGTTCTTTTTTCTTCTTTTTCTTTTTTTTCTTTTCTTCTTTGTGTTGTTCTTCCCTGGGCTGTGGCCGGTCGTCGGTGACCGACCATAGCCCAGGGCCGACGAGGGCGTCACGGCCCTCGCCGGCGGAGGCGAGGGTGAGGGCTGGACCCTCGCCGTCGATCATGGCGAGGTCGGCCTCGCCCGAATCGGGCGAGGCCGAGCCTCACCGTCGCGACCAACGGCGAAGCCGACCTCGCCGTAGCGACCGACGGCGAGGCTCAGCCTCGCCTGATCTGGGCGAGGCCGACGGTGAGGCAGGCGGCCAGGGCGACGGCGAGGGCTCGACGCCCTGGCCTGTGGCCGGTCGCCGGCGCCGGCGACCGGTCATGGCCAAAGAAGGGAAGGGTAGAAAGAAAAAAAATATTAAACAATTTAAAATTTTATTAAAATATTATTAATAAAAAAAATTTGTGTAGTTACCAAACGTATTTCTGTTCTTTTCTATCCCAGGAATAGAAATTTTGGACAGTTACCAAACGCCTTCAAATGCTCAGAAATTGTTTCCGGGCTCAGAATAAAAAAGAATCATTTCTGAGTAGAAGTAGTTTTCGGGCACAGAATGATTGTCATACGCACCCTAAATAATTTAGTAGTCGTAGCCACAAAAATACATGAAAGTATTCAATTTCTTCCTTCTTTTTCTCCAGCTTCGATTTCAGTGTTGGAAAGAAGTGAAGTGGCAAGTACAATTAAATTTGACATTTTAACAAATATCTTCTACGCTCTCTACTCCAACGCCATGAAATAAAGTATTATGGGGAAAATCACATATTGAAAGCATTATTTCATGATAAATGAGAATTCCGGAAGCCAGAGAGAGAGAGCGCACTTCGTGGAAGCTGTAAACATGATTGAAGTTTTGTGATGTCCCGTGACACAAAAGAATGAAAAACTTAGCTAATGGAAGCGTTTTCCTTTTTTTAGAAACGAGATATCGTTTTTCTAAGTAAAGTTCAAGTGCTTTCTTTTACTAAAAATGCTTTTTTATTGACTTACCATTTTCAATATTCCAAATATCGGAAAATCTAGAAAATGATTATATAGAGATTCTTTTCAAAGAAACAAATGCACTTTATAGTCTATGAGTTTGGAGCCCGGTATTAATACATTTTTAAGAATCATTTCATATGGACATCTTTATTTCTGAGTCGCCTGATAATATAGGTGTGTCTGTCCTAATTTTGTTGAATTAATTATATAGGAAGCAGATTTTGTATCTATTTTTTCCCCAGATAGTGGGGACTCTCCGCCACCGCGTTCACATTATTGAAACAAAAGTCATATCCCAAGCGTCCATGAAATTGCTGACGAACCTTGTACTACGCATTAGATGCTGAAAAAGCACAAAACCACGCGTTATTGTTTGGCTGTACATTGGAAATGAATGGAGAGAGTGCACTTTTTCCTTTGACCTGTCAAATTACGTGGCAATATCATATGAAAACATCGTGTCTAGCAAACTAGCACACCCTTACGTGGCTCCTAAGTAGTACCGACACGTAACACGTGACATGCGATATGCGATACGTCATTTTTCAAAAAATAGAGAATTTCGACACATTGAGATACATTATATATTAAATATATATTTTTATATATAAATGATAAATTATCATTTTTAAATTTGATTCAAATAAGTAAATAAATAATAATAAAAAGCCTAGAATGAATTTATCCTAAAAAAATTGTACACATAAGTTTTCAAAAAATAATTATGTATAAATAAATATACTAGTTAAGAAACTAAAAGTGAATAATTAAATTTGAAAAGAAGGAAAGTACAAGATCAAAAAAAAAAAAAAAAGCAGCCCATTGTCTATTTTCACTTTACCTTTTGGGGACGTGGCCATCTTATCTTCTGCAGGTGGGGTAGATTAACTCTGCAAACCTTTTATCTTTATGTGGAAAAACAGGAAATTTCTTAATTGGCGTCACTTTATGTGTAAGCCTTCATTATGATTTGTACCCCAAAACGTTGCGTGACACTTGCCGCCCACTTTCACTTCAAAACCCTAATGTCTTCTTCTCTATCCCTCCGCCTCCTCCTCTCTCCAGCTTCCTCCTCCGCACGCCCCGCAGGCTCCTCCCACCTCTTCCTTCTCCTCCGTCACCAGCGAAGCGCGAGGCAAAGGAGATGACGGCGTGAAGGGCGTCGTCCTTGGCGCCGGAGAAGCGGGAGGCGAAGGAGGGCGTCGTCCTCGGCACCAGAGATCTGCACCTTGTTCCTCATCTCTCTCGGCTGCACCTTCTTCCTCATCTCTCTCGGTGACGAAGGGACACGCGTGTCGCCGGCGTGTCCGGCGCGTTGACCGCGTGTCGGCCGCGTGTCGGAGCGTCAGCGTGTCGGTGCTTCTTAGTGTGGCTCTCGTGCGGCGTATGTAGTCATCTCGGGGCTTCTGATCAGTCATCTCTGGCGTTCGTCTTTTCTGCTGTTCTGTTCAAGGATCTCTTCCAGAGAAGACTCTGAGGAGGCATCACTGAAGATGGCGCTATACATAGATGATGCAGCTGCAAACAATGGAATATCAGATCCGGCTGCTTGTACATACGCCTAGAAAAAAATTGAGGGGATGGCGCATTCATCAGGATTTGACTACGAGGTGTTCTTGAGTTTTAGAGGACCAGATACTCGAGCAGGTTTTACCGACTTCCTTTATAACAGCCTGATCGATGCGGGAATCCGTGCATACAGAGATGAGGAAGAGCTGCGCGTCGGGGAAGAGATTGGCCCGGAGCTTCTCCAAGCAATCAAGCAGTCAAGAATCTTCATACCCATCTTCTCAAAACGATATGCCTCTAGCAAATGGTGTCTCAAGGAGTTGGTCCAGATGGTGGAGTGCAAGAAAAGCATGGGCCAGAAGATCATGCCCATTTTCTATGACGTGGAACCTTCTGAGGTTCGGGACCAAACCAGACAGGCCTTCATCGAGCACGAAAGCAGGGGACGATACGGTGATGGAACTATTAGCGAGTGGAAGGCCGCTCTTAGTGAAGTTGGGGCACTAAAGGGATGGGACCTAAATTGCATGCGCAACAGGTGAGTATTTCTAAGATTAGGACTACAGCAATAGCTCGTATCCTTAGAATGCAACTTATTTCTGATCGAGTCCTTGCAGAATTTGTGTTATTTCGAGTATTGAAGTTGAATGCATTTCTTGAAAAATTAGAAATCATTCAGAAATCATGCCAATAGTGGGATGGTTCGCAGGAATTTTACTTTTTCTGAGTCTAGCTACATGTTATAAGTCCATTTCCATCCTTTTCTTTTCGAATAATATTATTTAGTTCATGCAATTTTAATAAGGAATCTATCCAAAAGGGGTGTTAGATTTTCTAATTTGGTACGGCCTGACCATTTGTTGTTCAACCCAATTTTCTAATTCCGTGTGTTTTCAACTCCAAAAATATCAGGCGCGAAGGTGACTTAGTGAAAACAGTCGTCAAGGAGGTTTTCAGTGAGTTGAAAAAAGGTTACTTGGTATTATCGGATTGCTTGGTTGAAGTCGACAATCACGTGAGTGAGATCATGAGAATGATTGACCCTCAGACACATGAAACACGGATTGTTGGTATCCGTGGAATGGGTGGCGCTGGAAAGACCACTCTTGCCAAAATTATCTACAATAAACTTTTACCTGATTTTGAGCATCGTTGTTTCCTTTCTAACATTCGAGAAACTTCAAAGGTAAAGGGTGTTGAGTACTTGCAGAATCAGTTGATCTCCGACGTCCTCAAAAGGAAAGGGAAAGATATAAGCATAAGCAACACGGACGAAGGGATTGAGACGATTAAAGATAGGCTGTGTGGTAAAAGGCTTCTCCTTGTCCTTGATGATGTTGACAGAAAGAATCAATTGAATGCACTTATGGGCAAGCGTGATTGGTTCGGTGAAGGAAGTAAGGTTATCATCACTAGTAGAAACAAAGAGGTTCTCAACCTTCCTGAAGTGGATTGGACTTATGAACTTAACTGCATGGATTTCGACAAATCTCTTCGACTTTTCAGCAAACATGCCTTCAGAAGAGATCGTCCCTTGGATGATTATCTCGCCCACTCCAGAAAGGCGGTAAGCATTGCTGGAGGTCTTCCTCTAGCTCTCGAGGTTATAGGCTCGCTTTTATCGTGCAACAGTAAAGAAAAGTGGGATGACATTCTGAAAAAGTTGGAAATAATTCCTCATGAGGAAGTGAGCAGTAAGCTGAAGATAAGTTATGAGGCATTAGATGATCGGCAAAAGCACATATTTCTCGATATAGCTTGTTTTTTCATTGGATGTGACAAAGAAGTTGCAATCCACATGTGGGATGAGACTGAATTTTTTCCAGAAGAAGCTTTGGAAGTTCTGCAGCATATGTCCCTGATAAAGATCGTCGAAAAAAATACGTTGTGGATGCATGATCTACTAAGGGACCTGGGGCGAGAAATCATCCGCCAAGATAGTAATATGGTAACAGAGAAGCAGACTAGGGTGTGGGATGCTGATGAAGCGTCAGATTTGCTGATGACAAAACAGGTAAAAGCTCCCTGCTACCACTACAATTTGGCTACTTTCTCTTTTATGATGACACAAAACATGAGGGGTCAATAGTGTGTTTTCTTTTTGGCAGGAAAAGGAAAGAGTTGAAGCTCTCTGTCTCCAGTTTAGCCGTGCGACAGAACACCATCTTGCAGATAAGCACTTCATGAGACTTCCAAATCTAAGGTTCCTTGCAGTTGATGGTAGGAATGAGGAGAATGGTCAGAGAAAAGACCCTGAACCCGTGTTTGGATTAGTGATGAGGAATTTACGGCAGAATTTTCATCTTCCGATCAACTTTTTCCGGAAGAAGTCGCATCAATTTCCTAAGTTGCGATGGCTTTCTTGGTATTCTTATCCTCTGAACTTTGACATAGGCAAATTATCCATGCAGAATCTAGTCGTTCTGGATCTAGCACGGAGCGCCATTACCCATCATTGGGACGGTTGGAGCCATATAAAGGTGTGACATATGCTAGGAATGTTTATCTGTTAAATCCAGAACTTGATGGTTTCATTATTTTTTTTTTCTACTTTTTTTGTTGTTGCAGATGGCGAAGACCTTAAAAGTTCTGAATCTGTCGGGTTGCGAGGAATTGGTTAAAACTCCCGACTTCTCAGGACTTGCAAATTTGGAACGACTGATCATGTTGGACTGTGTAAGATTGGTCAAAGTCCATAAATCCATTGGTCAATTACAGCGCTTGGTTTTCTTAGATGTCCGCCACTGCTGGGAACTTGATGACTTGCCAAATGAGATTCAAGAGCGAAAATCTTTGAAAGTGCTCCGTAGTTATGGCAGAAGAATGGTAGTGCTCGCTCTGTAGCTTGGAGGTAGACCTAGATGGGAGTGAATGGATGATCTAAAACTTTTGATCAATTTTTAAAGCGAAAACAAATGATCAAGATTAAAGTATGAAGGATATTTAAATTCTGAGCAGACTTTATAGACAATGTGCTAGTGTACGGTATAAAAAATAGAATAAGAGTTTAGGGATAGAAAAACTGCACACAAGAAATTATAGTGGTTCGGTTTAGATCAAATCTATGTCCACTCTCCCATGCTAACACCCTACCGGCTGATTTCTACTATGTAATAAAAAATGATTACAAGTTCTGAGTGATATCATTTTGTGAATGATAGAATTTTCTATCTCACACAATTACTCTTATAAAATGTCCCTCGAGATCTTAGTATTTGGCTTAGGAAAGACAAGTAGTAAAATCGGAGTATGCTCAAATTTTAGACTTGTTGATTCTTGACTTCGTTCGGTACCTTTTGCTGCTCGTTAATCTTCTTTTATACTCATCTACTTACAAATTAGCCATTGGACAGTTTTCAGATAATCATCTTCTAATCTTCAACTTGGATAGATTTGTATAAAATCGATTGAGTAACCGTTGATTGACAAAATCTGAATCCCGATGAATCTAGTTGCCCATATAATCAGAATCTTGGTTTCTATAAATAGAGCTTTATTCGTTCTGAGATATACTTGCCTTAATGTTTGATTGCAATCAATTATAGCCTTTTAAGATTGAGTCAATCAAAACTTTCCTACTGTAAAATCCACTTCAGATCACTAGCCGTTATGTTCGTTCTAAATAGTTTCAAAATCTGGATAACTTATGATTTTTGCTTCTTATCCAGAGCTTAAGTTAGTGTGGATCTTCAGTATGGTTCGAACCTTTTAAAAATAAAGTCTGAAGTTCTTCATTTTCTTAATATAAAGTCTGATTGACTTTCATAGTAAAGTTTGAACTTCTTTATCTGAATCTCGTAAAGTCTGAAGTCTTCTTTCTAGTCCTCGTAAAGTTTAAGTGTCCATAAAGCTTAGTTTTCTGGAAGTATTGGAATTGTCATTTCCATAATATATCTACCTAAATCAAAATACTTCAGACTATTCATCAGACTTACAAAATTCACATGAATAGTTTTGTCGATTTCAAATTCTATTAAGAGGTTTCCTTAACACTCTGTATTGCAGCGCAACCCATTGAACATAGGAGTGTCAACTATTGGAGTCCACGATTGTTGGAGTTGAGCTTTCACGCTTCCCGAACCGAAAACTTGGTTAGGGCCGATTCGGTTTGGGTTTTCATGTACCTAGGGGTGTTAATGGGTCGGATCGGGTCGGGTTTGCATGATACCCGACCCGACCCGAAATACTAGACAAGTGTGCTCAGCCCGACCCGAGACAAGACCCGAACAAGATATAGCCAAGTGATCAAGTCGGGTCGGGTTCCGTGTTTCAAACTCAGCCAAACGATTCTGTTCTTGCTTTCTTATCACCTCAAAAACCTGCCAAATTCATTCCACGCCCAAAAATGAATATCTCTGATTTCCAAATTCAAAATGACCACCATCAGAACCTCCCATGTCATATTCGCTCGCCATCAACCTGTCTCGGGTTCTTCCACAACCGAGCCAAAGACAACAATCAAACAACAAAAAAAAAGAAACACTAGAGGTCTGCTTTGCATGAGGAGAGCTGTTGATTTCGCGGAGGGCCTTTGCTCCCCTCTCCAACGCCTCCGAGTCAAACCCTGCACCTCGCGGCTCCTCGGGAGGCTCAGGCTTCGTCGGCGAGGCCGCGCCGAAACGGGCATCCTTGGCGTGCTGCGACGAAGGGGAAGGGAGCGTCGGCGTACGCGTAGGTTGAGAGTGTGGACGCTACCGCCGCGGCTGCCACAATCGCCGAGGACAGTCTGGAGGCCGCCATTTCCAGGCTTCAATCTGGACCCTCGATGGCTTTCGTAGGAAAAGGGGAAGAGATAACAGGCGGTGCGGATCGAGATTGGCGCGAGTCGAGCATAAATCCTTGCACCGTGGCGCCACCGGGGCTGGTCATGTCGCCGGTGCGGTTGCCGTCAGACTCGATCGGGAACTCGATGGTCTCGTCCTTGGCGAGGCTGCGGAAGCCCTGGATGGAGGACTCATAAATCACAGAAGAGATCGCAGAGGAAGCGAGAGAGTGAAAGAGACGTGGAAGAGAGATCTAAAGGGTTTCTTTGTTTGGGCTGGGCTTGAGTACCTGAGCCCAATAAATTCAAAACAATACCCGATTGTCTTTATGGTTACCTAAACAAGTTGAGGCCCAATCCGACCCAATACAAAAATTTTCGGATCCGGTCGATTCGAGTTGGGTTGTGTTTGATCGGGTTATTTTGACTGCCCTACATGTACCCAACCCACTGTGTGACTATCTCTTCACTCTCTCTCTCCCTCCCTCCCTCGCTCCATCGCGCTCACTCCGCACTCTATCCTCAATCGAACAATATTATTTGTCTTCCTCAATCTCTTCGTCTCTACCCTCTCAAATTGACAAGGAAGCTCCGATAGTTGCTGCCGAGGCCTTGCCGGCTCCGTCGCTTCGGAGGAGCCATGTCCGTCCGAGACGTTCATATACCGAGCTGCGGGTTTCTGCTCATCTTATTGGCCTACGTAGCTGCTCAGAATCTTGAGAGCACTGTGAACACTGAGTTTGGGAGACGATTGTGTTGAACTGCAGGCTCCATGTTCGCATTTCTTTCCGGGAAAATCGAGAGAAATCAAGGGTCGTGAGAGAAATCCTTGAACCAGATTTTGCACTTCTGTTTCACTTGGGATACCGTATGCGTCCTTCAAATTTTTCTCCTTGGTTGCTTCTCTGGGGGGTTCGGACATTGGGCCCCAAAAATGCTATTCTTCTTGGGACTACCGGTTACTGGCTGTTCATAGCAGCGAATTTGAAGCCATCCTGGTATGCCCTTTTGGGTTTGTAAGTTGTTTACATTACTCAGCCTGATTGCTCATAACTTTCCGGTTCCAGTATTTCAAAGAGTTGGTGAATCTATCGTATACATTGGTCAGGCCTTTTACGCCACCACAATGCTATATTCAAAGTGGCTCTGGGTAAACATAAGAACCTCCTAGCGCCTTAATGAGATGTCCCAGATCACTATGCTCTAAACCGTAGAAATCTAGATAGTTAGCAATGGCTTCGATACCTGCGCGCTGATGTGCATATAATGTTGAAAAACGTATGCGATACTATTTGTTGTGACCAGAAAATATATACAGAGATAATAGAGATAACAAATATAATAACGACCAAGCCAATGTTATATAATCTTAACAAATAAAGATGACTGAATTACAAATCAAATATAGACTGCTAGATTCTACAAAATCGAAAAAGAATTAAATAGGAGGTGAGAAATGGATTACCAAATCTCCTTAAGGCAATCTCACGAACTATATACAACAACTTGAACCCGTTTGTATTAACACTATACAAATAGGACTCCGTCGAACACTTTTCGAAACCGGCACGCCTAGAAAGCACGACATCACAAGAACTCAAGAGACACGTCTTCTTAAAGACAGAAAACCCCCTACTCGTGAATTCAAGAGACGTCTGCTAAAGCATGTCCAGCAGCAGAAAACTAAAAGGACATGAACTAAAAAGTCATGTCGGTTATGCTCACATTTGTTGAGCCACAAATCCACAATTGCAATAATTAATTCATAATTGCAACAATTAGGACATGAACAGAAGATACATAACTGCTGCACGTGAACTGAAGAGATGTCTCACTAATGTTGAGCGATTAATAACCTATAATTACAACATATAGTGCACTAGCGATTGCGATGATTCCCTCCATCTCACTGACTCTCTTGTCGAGTCGTTTGGAGGGTTTTCTTTCTAAATCAATCCCATTTCGGGTTCCAGTTCGTTTCTCTGTGCTTCATGTTTGGCCTGATCCTTGCTTGCCTTGTGCTTCATCGGTACGCAGGAATCTATATGTTTAAGATTCTGCGTCTGGATTTAGGGGTTTGGCTCCTTGAACAGTAGAAGTGTTGAGGGCTGAGGGAGAGGGAAATGAGGCAGGGGAGTGCTCACGCCGAATTCGAGCTCGCGAGCAACTTTGAAATGTTTCTAGTCTGTCCTATATAGAGATGTTGTTACGAATCAAGTTATGTTCGAATGGTGGGGGTGGAGTGTAATTATAATTGTGAATTGTAACTTCCTTTGCTCTTCCTATGATGGGTTTTCTGTTTTTGCTTAATTATAATCTATAAATGGTAGCATTTGGCTTAAATCCAATCTCATTTTTCATATCTCAAACTGTCTGACTCCAAATCCTATAGACTAATGGTCTTCACAATGTCTCCGAGTCCTTAGCAAAGAAAATTCCGATACTGTTTCGTTTGTTTCAAAAATATATATACGATGCAACCGAAAAGCATTTTATAAGAAGTCATTTATCAGAAAAATGGCAATGTCTTCTTATGTTTGGCGAATATGAAAAATGAATTGGAAAATGATTACCGCCGTTTGAAATAGAAAACCGATTTGTGTTTTTCATTGGGGAATGAATAATTTTTTTCTAGAGCATTTTATTGCATTGCTTGATTTCTACGCTTTGTTTGATAGGTGTATGTTGGATTGATGCGTCTCCTATTCACACAAATAACTATTTTAGCTAGATCGTCGTGATCCTAAGTCAGATTTCCTTGTCTCGACCAAAGAAAAAAAGGTCAGATTTCATTGAGAAATTTTCACAAGCAGTTGGTGGGCTCTGTTATTACTAGCATCACGGGTCCAATTTGACCTTCCAGCTCCGACCATATCCGTAGAACCAACAATAGACATCAAATAAACATACAAATCCATATATTTTGGCCTCAGCCAGAAATGGGTAACAGTAGAAGATATAATGGGGCTCAACAAAACCGTACAATGAGAGAGAGAGAATAAGAAGAAGAAGAAGAAGAAGAAGAAGACGCACTTCTGAGGCTGGAGCTAGATGAATGTTAGCGACAACACTCACTTGTGTGTTTAGGGAAAATTGATTTCCAATTTTAATTGGGGGAAGTCATTTTCCATGTAATTAAGCTAGGGTAGTTTTCTGTCAAGCAATATCATTGTCCTAGATTAACTTATTTCCCCCCAAACAAAGAAAGGAACAGGATGAAAAAATTTTCCTGTTAATCATTTACCTTAAAACAAACGCAGCCTAGTCTATTGAAAAGTGGAAGACCACATCTCCGGAACCAAAATCCAATTTCGTTACTCAGATATGAGAAAAGTCAATTTTTTCCTAATCTTAAATTGTGTTTGTTTTATGGAAAACTTCCGAAGGAAATGGTTTTAGACCAAAATATATATTCTAAGAAAGTGATTGATTTTCCCTTATTTAGTTGCGATCATAAAAATGGGAGGAAGTAGATTTCCGCTGTTTGGTTATCACTTCTGAAAATAGGATAGATTATGTAAGGCTATTAAATTATATGAAGGATATTATAGATTGTAGAATGAAATAAGAAGATATGAAGTTATCTTCTGTGCTCCCCACTTCAATGCCGTGAAATAAAGTTTTATGGTGAAAATCACATATCGAAAGTATCATTTCATCATAGATGAGAACATGACTAGTTGATTTATCAATAAGAAACAGAAGAAATGGATTCCGGAAGCTAGTGAGAGAGAGAGAGAGAGAGAGAGAGAAATTTGTTGAAGCTCTAAACATGGTTGAAGTTTTATGATATCCCATGTCACAAAGGAACGAGAAACTTAGCTAATGGAAGCGTTTTCCTTTTATTAGAAACGTTTTTCAGTTGACTTATCATTTTCAATGTTCCAAATATCGAAAAATCTAAAAAGTGATTCCACAAAGAATTTTTTTGGCGAAACAAACGCACCCTATAGTTTATGAGTTTGGAACCTAGTGCTAATATATTTTTAAGAAGTATCCCATGTGGACATCCTTATTTCTGAGATGCCCGACAATGTTGTCAAGTGGCTGTTCTAATTTTGACAGATTAACAAGCTGACTTTTGCATCCATTCTTCACCAGATAGAGGAGACTCTCGATTGCGATTAAATTATAGAGGAAAAAATTAGATGGGAAGCATCCATGAAATTGCGGATCAAGATTATATTGGCTGTACATTGATGAAGAATGGAGAGTGTATATTGTGCATCGTTGACTTTGTCACGGTCATATAATGTTGCAATATCATATTGAAACAGTATCACCGGGTCTAGCAAACTAGCTTCTAATTTGTTTTCTCTGGCGATTATCTTTTCTGCTGCTCTGTTCAAGGATTTCTTCCAGAGAAGACTTTGAGTAGGCATCACTGAAGATAGTGCTACAAATAAATGATGCAGCTGCAAACAATGGAATAGCAGACCCGGCTGCTTGTATACACATTTGAAAATAATTGAGGAAATGGCGGTTTCGTCAGGATTTGATTATGAGGTGTTCTTGAGCTTTAGAGGACCAGATACTCGAGCAGATTTTACTGACTTCCTTTATATCAGCTTGATTGATGCGGGAATCCGTGCGTGCAGAGATGACAAAGATCTGCGCGTCGGGGATGGGATTGGCCTGGAGCTTCTCCATGCAATCAAGCAGTCGAGAATATCCATACCCATCTTCTCAAAACAATATGCCTCTAGCACTTGGTGTCTCATGGAGTTAGTCCAGATGGTGGAGTGCAAGAAAAACATGGGACAGAGGATCATGCCCAATTTCTATGACGTGGACCCTTCCGAGGTTCAGTACCAAACCGGCGGGTATGGACAGGCCTTCCTTGAGCACGAAAGCAAGAGGCGATATGATAATGGAACTATTAGCGAACGGAAGGTTGCTCTTAGCGAAGTCGGAGCACTAAAGGGATGGGACCTCCAAAGCATACCCAACAGGTGATTACTTCTAAGATTGAGACTAGAGCAATAGCTTGTATCTTTTGAATGCAACTTAGTTCAGATCGTTTCTTGTTGAATTTGTGTTATTTCGAGTGTTTGTTATAAGTCCATTTTCATCCTTTTCTTTTCAAATAACATTATTAGTTCATATAATTTCATTAAGGAGTCCAAACAACCTGGGTGTTAATTTTCTAATTTGGTTTGATCTGACTATTTGTTGTTCAACCCAATTTGCTAATTCCATGTGTTTTCAACTCCAAAAATAGCAGGCACGAAGGTCACTCCGTGAAAACAGTCGTCAAGAAGGTTTTCAGTGAGTTGAAAAAGGGTTGTTTGGCATTATCAGATTGCTTGGTTGAAGTCAACAATCACGTGAGTGATATTATGAGAATGATTGGCCCTCAGACACATGAAACACGGATTGTTGGAATCCATGGAATGGGTGGTGCCGGAAAGACCACTCTTGCCAAAATCATCTACAATCAACTTTCACCTAATTTTGAGTATCGATGTTTCCTTTCTAACATTTGAGAAACTTCAAAGGTAAAGGGTGTTGTGTACTTGCAGAATCAGCTGATTTTCGACATCCTTAAAAGGAAATGGAAAGATATAAGCAACACAGACGAAGGGATTGAGATGATTGAAGAAAGGCTTTGTGGTAAGAGGCTTCTCCTTCTCCTTGATGATGTTGACGAAAAGAATCGATTGAATGCACTTATGGGGCACAATTGGTTCGGTGAAGGAAGTAAGGTTATCGTCACTAGTAGAAACAAACAGGTTCTCAACGTTTCTGAAGTGGATTGGACCTATGAACTTAAGTGCATGGATTTCGACAAATCTCTTCAACTTTTCAGCAAACATGCCTTCAGAAGAGATCGTCCTTTGGAAGATCATCTCACCCGCTCTAGAAAGGCAGTAGGCATTGCTGGAGGTCTTCCTCTAGCTCTTGAGATTATAGGCTCGCTCTTATCGTGCAACAGTACAGAAAAGTGGGATGCCATACTGACAAAGTTGGAAAAAGTTCCTCATGAGGAAGTCAGCAGTAAGCTGAAAATAAGTTACGAGGCCTTGGATGATCAGCAACAGCAAATCTTTCTTGACATAGCTTGTTTTTTCATTGGATATGACAAAGAAATCGCAATTCACATGTGGGATGAGACCAAAATTTTTCCAGAAGAAGCTTTGGAAGTTCTGCAGCATATGTCCTTGATAAAGATCAAAGAAAATAATACCTTGTGGATGCATGATCTAACAAGGGACCTGGGGCGAGAAATCATCCGCCAACATAGTAATATGGTAACAGAGAAGCAGACTGGGGTGTGGGATGCTGATGAAGCGTTAGATTTGCTAATGACAAACCGGGTAAAAGCTCCCTGCCGCCACTACAATTTGGCTACTTTCTCTTTTATGAGGTCACAAAACACGAGGGGTTAATAATGTGTTTCCATTTTGGCAGGAAAAGGAAAAAGTTGAAGCTCTCCATCTCGAGTTGCACCATCCGGCAGAACACCGTTTTGCAGATGAGGAACTCATGAGACTTCCAAATCTAAGGTTCCTTGTAGTTATTGGCGATAAATCTAAATGGTTTCGTGATCTTCTCGGTCCGGCAAATTTCTTTGAAAACATGTTTCGGATCAACTTTTTCTGGAAGAAGTCACATCTACTTCCGAAATTGCGATGGCTTTCTTAGGGTAATATTCCTCTAGACTTTGACATGGCCAAACTATCCATGAGGAAACTAGTCGTTCTCACTCTAGCATGGAGCCCCATTACCCATTGTTGGGACGGTTGGAGCCATATATAAAGGTGTGACACATGCTAGGAACATCTATCTGATAAATCCAGAACTTGATCGTTTCATGATTTTTTGTCTTTATGTTGTTGCAGATGGCAAAGAGCTTAAAAGTTCTGGATATGTCGGGTTGCTTCTTTTTGGTTAAAACTCCCGACTTCTCAGGACTTGCCAATTTAGAACGACTGATCATGGAGGGCTGTATACGCTTGGCCAGAGTCGATGAATCCGTCGGTCAGTTACAGCGCTTGGTTTTCTTAGATGTCAGGTATTGCGTGTGCCTTCGTGACTTGCCAAATGAGATTCACAAGCTAAAATCTTTGAAAGAGCTCCTTATTGAAGGCACGCAAATACAAGACAACATGAGTTCTAGCCGGTCCGAGTAACTATCTTTTAAGCTTTTATTAAAGATATTACAACTAGACTGAAGAAAATTAATGCTGTTGTAACATGTTTATTGCTCTCTGTGTTGCGTTCTTTCACAGTTTCTGGACGTTTGTAAAATTCCGCTAGCTGAATAAATTATAGATATGCATTCTTTTCTCTCTCTATTGGCAAATCCCCTCATCTCCCAAAAATTCTTCCCTCTTTTGAAGCTTTTCTGAAGCTGAGAACCTACTTAGGCTGCGCATGGCAACCATTATGTGCCCGGGAACAGATTCTGGTCAGAAATGATTCTTTTTTATTCTGTGCCCGGGAACTGATTCTGAGCATTTGAAGGCGTTTGGTAACGGCCCAAAATTTCTATTCCTGAAATAGTAAAAGAACAGAAATGCATTTGGTAACAGCATAAAATTTCTTTTTATTAATAATATTTTAAATATTTTAATATTTCTTTCTTTTCTTTTTTCTTCTCCTCCTTCTTGGCCATGACCCGTAAAATATTTTTTAATTAATAATACTTTTATTAAAAATAATTTTTTTTTTTTTGGCCATGGCCGGTAAAAAATTTCTTTATTAATAATACTTTTATTAAAAATAATTTTTTTTATTATTTTTGGCCATGGCCGGTAAAAATTTTTTTATTAATAATATTTTTTTTCTTTTTTTTGGCCATGGCCGGTAAAATATTAAAAATATTATTAATAAAAAAAGTATTTTTATTGAAAATATTTTTTTATTTATTTTTTGCCATGGCCTGGTCGCCGGCCATGGCCGGTAAAATATTTTTTTTATTAACATTTTTTTAATTAATAATATTTTTATTAAAAATGGTTTTTTTCCTTTTTTTTGCCATGGCCTGGTCGCTGGCCATGGCCGATAAAATATTTTTTTTATTAATAATATATTTTTTTTCATGGCCTAGTCGTTGGCCATGGTTGGTAAAATAATTTTTTTTTGTTCATGGCCAGTAAAATATTTTTTTATTAATAATATTTTTTATTAATAACATTTTTTTATTAAAATATTTAAATCTCGCCAGATACGGCGAGGGTGGCCCTCGCGCCGGACATTAGAAGCAACATTAAAAACCAAGAAAAAGAAGAAGAAAAAAAATTTATTCTCATTTTTTTTCCCAGAATCAAGAAGCTACTTTTTTTTTATTCTTGATTCTGCTCCAAAACTGATTCTGGGCACAAATTTGCAAGAATTTGTGCCCAAAATCAAAAAATTTAACAAACGGATTTCTGTTCTAAAACTGATTCTGGGAACAAAAGAACAGAAATTTTCACTATTTAGCCAGTTACCAAACATGCCCTTAGTCTTTGGTTTTCTTTTTCTTTGCTTTGATTGTCTTTTATTTTCTCTCCCGATTTGCTTTGGAAGTTTGTGTTTGTAAATAAATTTCCGTAGCTAATCTTGGGTGAACATGGAAACCGGCCGTTCATCCAGTTGACAACCACGGAGGAGGATGTTCGTAACGTGACTCCACAACCTCTTCGAGATTAGGTCGCTTTCCTCTCCCGATTTAGATTAGGTCTAGATCTACGGTTTTACTCTCCCGAACTAGATCTAGCTATTGATCTGGGAGTTCCTATAGATATTTGATTTGTGTTCTTTCAACATATTGATGTCGGTGTCTCTACATGGTAATGGTGATAGGGACGTTGAACCTAGACACAAATTGAGTGAGAGATCTCAACATGTGCTCATCACTGAATCTAGTAATCAGCTACCGAACGTTTACGGTGGCATATGTGTTCTTGAGGGATGAGAGTGTGCTTCTAGTTATAGATTGTGCTTTGTTATTTGCATTCTAGCATTTACTTAGTTCCGCAGTTATTTGGGATTTGCTAGGTTTGAAAGCCTTCTATGTACCTTTTGAGTATTATTCAGATAAATGAATGGAATTTTTCTTTCAACAAAAAAAACACAAAAATTCGCTTTGTGAATGGTAGATACGTAACATTAATGTAAATTCTACATCGTTGAAATTTGTCCGATCGGTATACTACAGATTAGGCTACTTACTGGTGGTAATTCACGAAGGACGTTAGGGATGTACGACCATCAATGTAATAGTAACTTATTAAGTTTTTCATAAATTCACTATTCATAATTAAATATTAGTGATGCAAATAGTAACTTACCAGTGAAATCAATCATATTCTACGAGGAACTTATAGGGATAAATGGTAAATTTACTAGTAAGATACCATAGTTAACCAATATTCACGTACTTTGATGCTATTTAGTATCGATGTTAGCGACTAGCGACCATCAATGTAATAGTAACTTATTAAGTTTTTCATAAACCTACTACCAAAAACTAAACTTTAGCGTGGTCAGCGATAAGTTACGAGTGAAATTTATAACATACCAACATGGGTTTGCTTTTTGAAATGGACTGAACCTAACAACCAAGAGATGAGTGAATTGGTTGCTGGAGGATTTTTAAAACTTTATTCATGCAAAACAAAGTGTATAGAGTGAGAAATAGTATTCGTAGATGAAATATGCTATGCAGAGCAAATATCTTCTGTAAACATAAATGTGAAGAGATAGAAGAGATCACAAAATAATTTATAGTGATGCGGTCTTTCCTTTTGGCTTACTCCACCCTCTCAACTCTAGAAGCTCAATAGCAAGACTGGAATCCACTAACAGAGTCTTTGAAACCTTTGGTAGCGTCAGATGAAGTTCCCCCTCCTCGAGGGACTGGAGCTTATTCTACAAGTACAGACCCTTCACGTTATGCTCATAGCACTCTTTTACAATGATTACAACAAGGTTCACTCAGAATATAATCAAAAAGGTAAAAATAACTTTGAGAAAGTTTTGATCCCCTCGGCTACCTTCAGCTACCACTTTGACACACACACATATATATAGTTCTCCAAACTTCCTCGACGCATTGGAGACTTCAAATAGGTCAAAATAATTGCTACAAAAGTTATTCTTCGCTCAAAACTTCTATCTAGAGCTAATTAATGAATTTTGCCCGAAAGAGACAAAATTGTCTCTGCAAACTTGCCCGACACTCCCTCTACTTAGCCAAAAATGGCAAATTCGGTCTAACTTCTATATGTGATTTTCAAGGCCCGAAGCACTAATTTATGTTCAAATCAAATCGATTAGGAGCTGGGTCTGCGTTTTCAAATACATGGAGTGCTGTCCACTCCGTCTATAGTGTGAACTTCCTCTCCAACGCATTCCATCTAGACTTGATGGTTTTAGCAAATCTTAAGCATCAAACTACGGTAGAACTGCTTTCTCTTCGAGAATTACAGCAAATGTTAGAATAATAATGATCAAAGTATAGATGCATCTTTGTACATACCAGTTTCTTGGTAAATTTTCGTCCATTGAAAAATTAGAAATAAGCTTTATACACGATCTTTCTTCCGCAATCATTTGAGCAACAAGACATGTATTTGCAACTTGCAAGCACATGCTCTTTCGTTGTAAGCACCGTTTTCCTCTGAAGTAAGAATCCCCTTAACCTCCTCAAGTTTAGTCAGAATCTGTTGCTGCAGAAGTTTGATTTCCTGACTCGCTTCAGTACGCATGGCTGGCTCCCGCTGCATTTTCCTTTCTTTTGCAGATGAAGAGGGCTGTTTTCTCTATGGAAAGAGCTTTTCTTCTTCTTACTAACTCCCAATGCCTCCTTCAACTTCTTCTGCAGGCCCCGTTTTTCTACTTCTCCTCCCCTCTATACTTCTCCTTCAACAGCTTCTTCACTCCCTCATCCGCGCTCTTGTCCATAGAGGTGACATTCCCTCCCTCCCTGCTTCCATCCATCAGCAGAAGGCTTGATTTGCATTCGATTCGGAGTCTCGTGCCCCCGCCACCCTTGGCAAGGACCTCGTCTTTCTTCAACTCCTCAGGAATTTCTATTCCTCTCTCCCACAGAATTCTCATAATAACATAGCCATAGGGTAGTCCACCAGAGTTTTTAAGAATTGTGCCATACGTGTGCGGAAAGACTGTGCGCGCGAGACTAAAAGGAATGCCGTATATGATGGCTCAAAGTAGTTTGGCCTCTTACTTTATCACGTTATTTGTGAAGGGTGCGTTCGTTTCTTGAAAAAACCCAAGATTTGGAGATTATTTTCTAAAAAATAATCACTTGTATCGTGTACAAAAAATAAATTAATGAAACATATTTTCATCACTCGCGAGAATAGTTAAGTGTAAATTATTATTGATAATGAAAATATTTTTCCGTTGACTAATTTTTCTAAGCGAAAAAAAAAACTGATATAAATTAAGTCACAAACCTTTTTGCAATCAAGTTCTTTTGTCTATGTTCTACTCAAGAATTACCTACATGACATCCTTAATTGCACCTTTTAACCATAAATTTAAGGATTTGGTTGTATTTTTTTGCCGAAAGTACATGATCTAATTGAACCAATTGAAAGATTTAGAACTCGATTGCACTTTTTGGTTAAGGTTTTAAGTCTCAATTGAAGCAATTAGTTTAGGACTCGACTGCACCGTACACAAGTTTAGGACTCTTACGATACAATTTCCCTACTTGAAAAGTTATCATTCATTTATTATATTGTTTAAGGATCGCCGATAAAACACTTCCCCTATGCAAGTAGTATGAGATTTAAAAAGCATGGGCTCTACCATCAAGAGATGGATCTCTACATGATTGAAAATGATTTGATATCCTATGTTTCATTTAAGAATTGGGCTCGCAACCCACTGAAACAATATTTTAGGAACATGTGGTAAAACTTTCAAATGCAAAAAAAATTGAAATGAAGATAAGGATCAGGGTGAGTATGACAAATGATGTGATATAATAGCCTTCATTGTGCTCATATCCATAATCGCATTTATCCTTACTGATATCGAGGACCGTTGCCATGCATGAGCCGAGTCCTATAAGTATGGAGAGAGAGGATCCCCTTTTATATCCCCCTCTTGGCTCGGACTAGTTAGTAGTTTCACCCTTCCAAATAACTTACACCGGGGAAGTCCAGGTACAAGTTGCCGTCACATAAACGAAATAAACGGGATACCTATCCAACGAAGATTTTCCACGATAAAGCTCGCCTCGAGCAATCATAAAGTTTTCTCTTTTTAACCCTTAACATTTATACATAAAAGCATATATGTTACTAGACAAGGATCATGGTCTCGATGATCTATACAGTGAGTTCGTATTCAGTCCTCTAATTGCTTGTGTAATTGGGTCCTCTGACATTAATTTCTTAATGCACTCTAGTCCTATTAAAAAACCCGAAACGTATAACTTTGATGACATTTAGGCTCTAACTATTTCGCGAAAAAATGAATGATTTAGAAAATATTTTCCAAAGAAATGATCGTTTTATGTTGCTCACAAAAATGAATCGACGATAAATATTTTTATCGTCCACGAAAATGTTTAGACATTACTTACTATCGGTAATCATTGGCTAATTATTTTAAGTAATGCAAGTAATTATCTTTTAAAAAATATTTTTTAAATTATTCATATTTCGCGAAACAAATGGAGCCTTATGCATTAAATTGACAAGAGATGGAAGAATTAAGGGTAACTTTTTTTATTGTTAACATTATAAAAAAGAGATAATATATAGATGAGAGAGGGGTATTTCGGTGAATTAACTAAAAAATAACTGCTTTTGTTGGGTGGAGATATCGGATTTTTACTTTTTTACCATATTCTTGATCGGGTAAATAAAAATGCTTCCTTTTGTCCCTCCGAGTACGAGCGGATTTTACTCTTTTCGGGCATCGTCGCCTCCTGGTCCTCGGTGCGTTGCTGCTCCTCCTCCGCGCGCCGCTACGGCGAGGTCCGTCCGGCGGCAGCGGCGCCGCCATCAGAAGCGGATCGCTCTCCGGTACGGTACGGTTTCCAAAGTCACTGGCATCATACGCGCCATCGAAGACGTCGGTACGGTCGTGTACGGCGGTGTCTCCTTCCCGCAAACATGGAGTACGAGAACAAGCACGTTCTCGCTCCCATGGTTCGAGTCGTGAGTTTCAAAAAACCTCCTTAAAACCCTTTTGATTGTCGCACGTCATCGTGCTTCGATGTATTGTTGAAAAATGTCGGGTCACGAATTTCGAGATTTTGGCAGGGGACGCTGCCTCTCAGGTTGCTTGCTGCTCAGTATGGTGCGGATATAACGTACGGGGAGGAGATCATTGACCACAAATTCCTCAAATGCGAGCGGAGAATGAACGGTACGGCGCCGCGCCCCTGCTTTTTAGAAGGGAAATATCTGGTAGAACTCTGTTGTTGTTGATGTGTTATGTGAATGGATTGTGGTTTGTTTCCATGTCTACCAGTGTGAACAGGGGAATCTGACATGAACTCAATTTGGTTTTAGTATGATAGTCCATGCAGTAATAGCCCATATGATGTTGGACAGGTTTTTTTGCGATACTGATGCTTTTTTGTTTCTTTAAATTCGCGCCCGACTGCGTTCGGGTTGCTGTCGGCCCATGCTACTGTTCTAGGAATTGCTGTTGGAGTGTTTCGATTGTTTTGTATTTTGATAAGTAAAGCGAAGAGAGAAGGTTAAAATTTTGGAAGCGGGCTTGCTGGCTGAAGCTGAGAGACTTTTTCAATCTTGTATCACATCTTTCACCTGAAAAAAAAAACGCAACTTTACATGAGCTGGCAAATTTGATCCAAGTCTCATTGTGAATTTTGAGAAAGAGAGGGAAATTCAAGACCCGTTACTTTATGCTTTTCCCATCCATTCCATCATCTTCTCCATCCTAGACAAGGGAATATAAAAATCTCCCATTTTCTTTTTCCTCGCTCTGCATTCTTTCAAACGAAGAGTGAGGCAATGGGATTTTCAGTTCCCTCATTTGCATTCTTGCGATATTGTTCTTGTGAAAATTTGGGATACAAGTATAATTGGTAAAACTTGCAGGTAGATGCTCAAATGGAGAATAACTGGATGTTTCTTTACATCACATTGATATTCCTTTTCAGCTACAAACATTTACTAGACCAGTAGCAGGTTCTATCTTATGATGGTAGTCAATCAATAAAATTTCCAGAGCAGATAGGTTTTGATATCTGGAATCCTCGAGTTTTACTTAGAAGCGAGTGACTTTCTACTCTGCTGATCATTGTTTGCATGCTAAAGCACTTTCACATGAGGTCTTCTATTTAGTACCTTAGAAAATAAGAACTTGATGCTTTGTGTTGATATATTACCAAGAAACATCGAGTGCAAAAGTCAATGTATATTGCTCAAGTTCATTAACATTTACTTATGCTCCAAGATGATATATGCTTGGCCTTAGAGATGACAATGACACATATTGGCAAGATTTTAGCAAAGCCAATTGTTCATTTAAGCCTTAATCTTAATTTTCTCGCTCTCCTTATATAAATGGAAAGGCATAAGGTGAGTTTGAAAATGCCTTGACTTTGGGACTCTGCCTTGACAAAAGGGCCCTTGACTGAAGCATTTATATTGAAAGTAAATGTTGCTTGGTATTTGGTATTTCAAGCTCTTATTGTGGAGAAACTTTAAAATGAAGCTAAAGGTAAAGAAAAAATAAGGAGAAGTGCAGAGAACTAGAGAATCGTCGAGGGCAGGGCCATGATATAAGGCCTTAATGAACTTTTAGCTGCTTAATAAGAATAAAATCCTAATAAGAAACATCAAGTTATATAGGAAATTTAATAAAATCCTAATGAGAATCGAATTCTTAAAGATTTAAGACTGGTAATATATGTATGAGATGAATCCTAATCCCTTAGGACTCTTATTTGATTTGTGAAGTTCATCTTCCACCAAAACTTCATAGGAACGTCAATATCTGAACAAATATCATCTTGCATGGTTTTGTTGGCTGCATCAGAATTCTTGTGGAGAAAATTTCTCTTCTCTGAAGTATTATTTTTCCTCTTTGATCAGAGCACATTGGTTCAACAGATTTTGTGGAGAAAGGAACAGAGAATGTTGTTTTTAGAACCTGCAAGCAAGAACAGGATCGGGTAGTCTTTCAAATGGGTACTTCTGATGCTGTGAGGGCTCTACGTGCTGCAGAAATGGTGTACGTGACATGTGATATTTTGCCTTGCAATACGATAGCGCGTTAGTTTAACATCTTGCTCTGACAATTGATTTGCATATCCAACATAGATTTGGGTTTTCCTCTGATACTTTGTTTTTCTTGAGTTGAGTGATTCACTTTAATGGCATTTGAAGATTCTTCTGGGAAGCTGTCAAGCAGTCATTTATGTTGCTCCGCACTTTTAGTTATGCTGTCACACCAATTGAGAGCTCTGAAATGCTGATTTGCTGCCGGTCATGAAGTACAAGTCACATAAGTAGGCTGGATGCTGGGGCAATCTTGGTACTTCATTAGTTTTAGTATCGTCACACTTCAACGAGAGTGAATAGTCAATGGAGCAGGATTTACTATAAAATAAGTTTTTGCAGTTTGTTTCTTGAAATAAACTAGATTGTCTCACAATGATTTCGTTTCATTTGATTTGCAGTAGGATGACCTGGGAATCGTACAGGCATTGCTGGAAATGCCCTTATATGTAAATTTCATGAAATGAAGCAATCGCTATCAATGGGATTGCGAAACTCATTTCTTTTGAATATGGCCTCAGAATGCTATCTCTGCTAGCATTTCTGAGATTCGTGGGGAAATATTATTAATTGAAAAGAATGACAGATTTTAATCCTAAGGAGGAATGGATGAATTAGGTGAGAGAATTTTAACCAAATAAATATAAGTAATACCTAAAGAGGATCAATTGGAAGTTTGTAAACGGTTGCAAGTGTATCCTTGCATTGAATTTTGCCTTTTGCTTTCACCTGTTCTTGTAGGGTTGGAATTTAACTTAATATTGAACACCTGAAACTGTTAAGACAGGCAAATGTGGATAGGTAAAGTCATTTGAAAACATATATCCATGGAGTTTGCTTTAGGGGTGAAGGAATGGACATGCATGTGTGAACTAGTTGCATGGCATAAGTTCGATTCTGCACAACATCGAACGCAACCAATCGCATGTTTGCCCCACCTATTCAAGGTTCATTTATGGGTTAGGGGTTTATCTACTTGAGATTGGTTTCTATTTAAGAGAATTTCTTATTACTTAGAAATTAAAATTAATTTTATGTTTTGTGGGAAAGCAAAACTTTGGAGAGAGAACAAACTAATTACTTAGCATAAGCTCTCCCAAACACAGCCTTAAGTTCGGCTATGGAGCTTTCTTGCAAAATTTCCTCGGACAAGTTGTGTATGTGACCTGTTTAAAGACACTACTCCTAGATTTTTAAAATTAACATGGCCTGGTAGAATTGGTGAAGGTGGACCATAAAAGGTAAGGAAAATATACATCACCTACCTGTAAAACAGTCCATTGTCCCATGACCTAGCTCACTTATTAAATGTATCAAATCAGCTATTTCAAACTGCATCTAGAAGAATTGTATTTTCAATTCAAAATTCACAAAACCTTTTAGATGTATTAGATGTCTATGGACAAATTTACGCAGTTGTGTTTCAGTTATATGTGAATTTTCCTGAATGTGTTTGATCTCTCTCTCTCTCTCTCTCTCTCTCTCCCCACCGAAGTCTTAAGCAAAATTACAGAAATTAAGAAAGATTGTTTAGTGTTGATGGAATTTAGCATCATATTCTTCCTCCCCCTATCTGTGCTGAGTGCTGGTGAATGATTGGCTAGAGGTAGGGAGGCTCTACTGTGAGAAAGGGAGAGCCATTGAATGAGAAATGGAGCCTGACTTTGTCAAGCAACCTGTGACAACAATTTTCTTTTAATTGGGACTACATTGGTTGGGCTTCCTGAGCTGGAAGTGGATCATGATTGATGTTCCTTACAAAACATAATTCTGAAGATTAGTTTTTTAGTTTAATGAGTGATCGATCACTTGTTTTATATTTTTCTTCACTCTTTTCCAATTGATGTTGGTCTAAAATTTGGAAGAAGCAGTGTCGTCGCCTACTTATTCTGACATGGTTTTTGTTCCCAGGTGTAAAGATGTTGCGGCGGTAGATATTAATATGGGATGCCCAAAGTCATTTTCTTTGAGTGGAGGCATGGGAGCTGCACTACTGAATAAACCAGAGCTCATTCATGATGTACACATCGCCCGATCTTTCGCTGGCTGTTACTGAAAACATCACTCTTGTTTTTCTACTTCAGATCACTAAAGAATCTAATACATTTTATAACTTTCTCATGTGCAATTCAGATTTTGACTACCTTGAAGAGGAATATGGACACACCAGTTACATGTAAGATTCGACTTCTCGAGCATTCTCCCGATACGGTAGAACTAGCAAGGAGAATTGAAAAAACAGGTGTCTCTGCGCTTGCTGTTCATGGAAGGTAATGATAAATGAAAACAACTTTAATGGTTATTCTGCTATCGGGTTTGGCACCCATCCTACTTTATTAACTTATTAGAGAATAAGATAACCATATTGAAAATACGTAAACTTGTCGAAGATTATTATTTGAGTACTATAGCTTTAAATTTCATTGACTTAAGTAGATCAACTATTGCATTTGACTCAATCAAGTACCTATAAGATAGTTAATGGGAATGCTGTTGAGAGCTTATTGACTTTCCCAATTCTTAATCTTGTTGAAGAAATCAAGTGTAAGTATGATGTTGGATGTGAATTTATTAAGAACAAGCACACTTGAAAAGAAATGAAAAAGCCTGTTACAGGTATGCCTCTTCCACAAATTCCGCAATATCTCTCGAAAACTTATTAATTATGGAAGACAAAAGGTTTTCTCTACTCTGTTATTGCATTTGTTTGTTTGTTACCATGTTATGATTATTACCTAAATCCGGCAAAAGTTTATATACGTAGCTATTACAACAACTTAGATTTGCACTTGTAAAGTTTGATATTATGGAATTCCTTGTTGTTCCAATCACTTTGTCCAGATATCGACCAATCCCCCAACTTTTTTCCTCTCTCTCTCTCTGAGTGTTCTAGAAAGGTTTCCTTTTTGAGAGATAAGTAGATCCAAGCGCCCGAACTTTGTGAGGATTTTTATTCAAGTACTTGGTCAAGCTTGACACTTCAATATGTTCAACTGTGGTTCCGTGAACATTTCATATTACCTACCCTCTGCCCTCACAGTTATCCTTTGATTTAAGTTTCCTTTGTAAGACGTGATTCATTTGATGACCTAAATAAGCAGATAATTGTTTTGGTTAGTCTGATTGGACTTGAGTGTGTAATTACGCAGCTAAAGGCAAGTTGCATTTCTGAGGGCCGATATGCAAAGTTAGGACAAAAGGTTGAATTTTGCTCCAAGAAATGCATTATGTCATTTGAAGTCAAATTAGAGTATATAAGACTCTGTCCAATTTATCTTGTCAAAAGGTCTATCTGCAAGGGCGACCGTTACTAGGTTGGGAAGTGGGCAGTGTGTTCTCCTTCAAAAAGTTTCCCAAACACTGTTATGTAGATGTGAAGGGGTGACATACTTAGTTTGATATCTTATGATTTTTATTAGCAGCTTTAAGATTCTTGATGTTTTTTTTCGAGAACCATTTGATGAGAACTGATAGTGCTAATGTAATTAGAAGGCACTTTGCATGTGTAACTCATTTACATGAAAAGTTTTTTGTGTGCTTGTCAGCGAACATTAGGTAGGGGCTATAAGATTAGAAATTTAATATTGGGACAATGGGACCATTCGAGATATCAGTATGAGGATGACTGTAAATAGTAAGCTTCCTAAGACTTATCCTGATTCATGAATATTTAAACTCTAATTTCTCTTGGAGGCAGATGGAAGGCTAAGGTTCCTACAAACACGACTTACTTTGCTTGGACAGCTTTTTTCGGTGAGATTTTGACTAGAGGAAACTTTAAGATCTATAGGTGTTATTATAGTGGATTGATGCTGTATGTGAGAATGTAAATCTGCAACAATGTGTGATTTTTGGCAATGTGATTCCTTGATGATTGTCTATCATTGGTTATGGCAGTTTTTTATTTTCAAAACTAAGTCTTTGGAGGTGAACTAATTGTCTGAAATTCTGAAGGTAGAATATTTTGGATGTCCAGCCCTTTCTGCTCCACGTAGAACAGTTTTTTTTTCTTTTCTTTGGTCGAACCATGTAGAACAGTTGATTGGAAAGAAATAGAAGAATATTTCAGAGTAAGAGAAATTTGCACATAACTCCCCTCTGCTGTGGTTAAGTTGCAAATTGCCACTAATCATTTCAATTTCTTGTGACTAATACCTCAATTTTTAACTAGGCTTAAGCTTAACCTTAAAATGCCATAAGTATACAATTCCTATGTACAGAGTATGTTCTTTCTAATAAGAAAATGATATCTTAGTCATTTAAAAAAAACAAAAAAAAAGATGAAGAAGAAGAGATGAGTTGCACCAAGTTGATAACAAAAGGAGACTGCAAAAATGGACCTTGTAAGTTTCGTCAAAATTAAAGTGAAACTACCAAATTAGTTAAATGATGTGCCCAGTACAATAAACAAAAGTCAGAGTGATAATTGCAAGATTTGAGTGAAAGGTGAAATGCAACTAATTGATAGCTGAGGGGAGTGTTTGCGTATAATGGTGTTTTTGCTGCAGTGGGATCAAGGGTTACGAAAAAAATAGCAATTTGAAGATGGAGCAGACAATTGATGCACTTTGGTTAGCTTTTGGTCTAGCCTTGACATGGCAGACACTTGGCATGACATGGAGCCCAGTTGAGTGCCATTTCACCCCAAAAAACTTTAAAAAATTCAAATCAAAAGGAGGGCAGAGGGCTTCGATCTTTGCCACCTTTGGTGGAGATCTCCGTTGCAGAGTGTGCGACGGTGGTAGGTGGTTGCGCAACCCTATGTGGGTGCTGGTAGAGGGTCGCAAGACCCTTTTCCGTTGCTTGCAAAGGGTACCATTGGTCTTGATTTTTTTTTTAGTTTTTGTATCAGGGCTGAGATGGGCCCATTTAGACGCCATGCAATTGCTACGTGTCCATCATGTCAGCATTTTTGGCTGGGAATTGGTCGGATTCCGTCCAGCAATTACAAAATGTCAAAAGTTCAGTTATTGGTTGATTGAAATGAAAGTCCAGTGACTTGACAAATACCACCTAATTTGAGTGACCACCTGTGGAATTTACCCAAACAAACGGTCATACGATGAATTGACATATGATAGGCAGATCACAATGGCGTTGCAAGTTTTGAGAAAGAGGGCACATAAAAAGGTTGTTTCTGTACAACTCCCTTGGAAGATATGCCGACTTCCGCACTTCCAGCAGATAGTTTATATGATTGATTTTATGATATCAACTGCCTATCAAAGAAGCAAATCATGAGTGAACTTGAAGATTTTATGTAGTAGAGACGTGAACTATTTACTGCATACTAAGCAAGTAATTTCTGGAATTTTGTGCCACCAATCTGTTGCACGTGACCATTGTTAATGCTAATTATTTGATATTTTATTTTTTATTCTATGAGAAATTGCAGAAGAGTATCAGATCGACCGAGAGATCCTGCTAAATGGGATGAGATTGCTGATATTGTTGCAGCCCTATCTATTCCAGTTATAGCAAATGGTGATGTCTTTGAGTATGATGATTTCCAGCATATCAAAGTTGCAACAGGTAAATCGAACGCATTCAATGACTTGAAAGATTTAATGCTGCTGAAAAAAATTTAATTTGTGTATTTGATCGCCTCCTACCTTTGTCCTATCATGTGTGTGATAAAAAGAGCCCATGGTGAATTCGTTGTTGTGTTACCTACACCACAATAAGAATGAGATTCTAGATTCTTTGTGTGAGGATAGGTGGTATGTCAGAGAAAAAAACAAAAAGGACAAACGAGGCAATTTCAACTAAATGGGGTGGCCTTCTGAAGTTTCTTGCCATTAAGATGTTCTTCCAACCTAGATAACGAAAGTTTATTTAATGTCTTATTTTGACTGCCATTTGAGTCTGTGACCTGTCCTTATTGCCTCAGAGCCTTACCATTTTGCTGAAAATGTGACAGCTACTTCTGTAGTGAGCTGCTGAAATCCGCAAAAACTTCGAGGCTTCTTTGATCATAGGCGTTTCTAGAGTTTTTCAACCAAGTGATATGAATCTAGAATAGCATGGTAAGGAATTGAACATGTCACTAGAGCTCCATAATGCATTCTCCATGGTTTGATCGTAGAATTTAAAGGTGGCTGAGGACATTTTCTGAAAGGAAGGAATTATGAGTGGGTTTGATTTGGTTGAGTTGGTGACTTGGTAGGTGGTGGGTGACGCTGGTGGCAAGAGGCCGTGATGGTGGCGGCACAGAGAGAGAGAGAGAGAGAGAGAGAGAGAGAGAGAGACAGAGACAGAGACAGAGACAGAGAGAGTACCATATACCTGGTTGGAGAAAAACATGGTCTATTGGAGAATATTCAAAATTCACCTGTTTCATATGTTTCAATTTTGATATATAAGTTCATAAAATTTTAGCAGTTGAAGAGAAATTCCATGGATTGATGATTGAATAATATTGGGTTGTTCATTTATTACTTGTCATGTGTTTTTAGTTGATATAGTGGGCATTAGTGATTGAAGAGGAGAGTTAAAAAATCGTCTCTAATTTTCTCCTTACCTACACTTCGCAACTTGAGGTTTTAAATCCTACGATTTGCAGAAAGTTTATTGAATCTAGACAGTGTAGAGTATAGGTTGGTTTGAAACATGAGGGGGCAATGTCTAGAGTCATGGAACTAATGACTGTAAAGTTGAAGGGGTGTAATTGTAGGTTTTGAAACTAAAAATGCCAAGTGTAAAGGTGACACTTGAGGATAGTTTTTGCAAATTCTCATAAATATGTTACCTTAGGTGCCTCGTCAGTGATGGTTGCACGGGGAGCTTTGTGGAATGCTTCTATTTTCTCTCCTGAAGGAAAAGTGCCATGGGAAGATGTCAAAAGGGAATATATTAGGAAGGTACTTCTTCAACCTCGACATCTGGCAAAATCAAGATTGTCAATCGATTCTTTTTGTTTGTTGATTATCTTCTCTTTATGCTGGAATACTAGTAATTCACCAGTTTCTGTTTTCGGATTCAGAGCATCTTGTGGGACAATGATGTTAAAAGCACAAAGCACACACTGAAGGAAATGATAATGCATTATTCATGCCTTGAGCTGCCCGAGGGGAAGGCTGTGATCAAGTCAGACACGCTGGCTGACTTAGCGTAAGTATCATCTTTTTTCGTCTTTCATCTTCTTGTTTCAGTAATGTTGACAAATTACAGTTGCAGTTTCTAAATGCAATTATCTATGTAGTCCTAAACATTTGAACTGAACTGCTTCTTCCCTACTTTAAAATTGTTCCATCTCTTCACCTGGTTTGATGCTACCACCAGTTCAAGCGGCTGGTGCACAGAAAGCAGTTCAATGCGAGCATGTTCATGGGACAAATCCTGCTAAGGGATCAAAACTTCAGAAAGTATAAAGTTTGCAAACTGAACAATCTACTTGGAACATTAGGGAATAGGGACGATAGTTGCACGAATCCTTGGAGATTGCCGAGGGAATTCATTAACTCAATCACATAAGTCATCGGAATGGCAATATTGTATAATTAGAGTTTTCGCAGTTAATGTACTTTTACCTTTTTCTTGCTGCACATTAAGGAAGAACCTATTTGGTCAAGTTAATGAAAAGATATAATCGAGATTTTGTGGTAAGCTGGGTGGCATGGATCTAACCTAAGGATATGTCATATACGATAACCTTTTTTTTTACTATGGTTAATCTATTCCAGCTATTTGAGATGTTATGGATGGATGCCATGATGTAAAGAAAGATTTGATTTTTTGTTAGAAATTTCATAATTAATGGTCTCCTCTTGATTTTATTTATCTCCCCCTGTATATCAACTTCTGAAGTATCATTTGAACTCAGAATTCGCTGTGTATCAAGGTTACCATCACACCACTTGTTATTTATTAGAAAGGATGTCGACACATATTTGCACAAACTTGATGCTAGTTGCAAGAGCAAGCTTGTGAAGTTGCAGATGATTTGTCTTCCTCCAAGGATTTGAGATGCTAAAAAGATATATTCAAACCGTTTGAATCTATGGTATCGACATGTTTGAGAATTGAGCTAATGTTAGCTAGGTCTTTTTCATGTGGACTTGAGGAAATATCTCGAGTCCTTACTTAGTTTTTCTATGTATAATGAGGTAGCCGCTGTAACATGAGCATGGTCTGGAAGACGCAGTTTCTCCATCAAGTGATTGACTGAGGTCAAAATTTAAACCTTTGACCTCAGGATGGGATGCAAAACTTGTTCTCCATGGAAGTCACTCATCTATCGTCTTACATAAACGTGGACAAACAGGATAGAAAATGAAAGTCCTTTGCCAATCCCTGTTAAATTAATTCTTTTATTGTCCAATCTGTTATGATCTTTTGCTGATTTTTTTTTTCATATTTTTCAGGCGACTCTATGGGGAGGAGGAGTACTACCAACACGTTAACAAAACCAGGTTCCAGGTTGAAGTTGACTAGTTCTTGTGGTCCGACATGCGGTCTTGCTCTTTTGCTCTAGTTCAATGTGAGGACTAGTTTTCTTCACTCTCTGCCCATTAGGCATACCTACCTTCAAAAGCTTCAAGATACTGAGAGTATCTTGGGTTAGTGCTTTGGCCCAAAAGAATATATAGTCTGATTTTATCCGAAGAAACCTTTAAAGGATTGGTGTGAGAGCAGCACTAAGGTCTCAGCAATATAGGATTATAAGACATCTGCTATAGCTTACCAAATGGAATTGGTTTGTAATATCGAATTGTTGACAATTAATGGTGTATGGTATAGTGTTTTGCTGTAGAAGTGTCCTTTTTCGAACCACTAGTGTACAGTTTTTTTTTTTTTTTGGTAACCCAGGGAATCCCCGCACGGCCGACAGCCGGGGGGTAAACCCTGGGGGCGACACGTGAACCACTTGTGTACAGTTCATTTTCTCGTGTCTTAACAATTTTCATGGAATTCTGTGTAGCCAATATTTGGGATGCCAAGCAACCATTAGCATTTTTCTGGATCGCACTGCAAAACGCTGGCTGAACACCATTCGGGAGACATGATTCATAGTGTTTGTTGATGCTGGTAAAAGGTTATTTCATTTGCAATTTGTGTGAGTATGACCCGATTGCTGTTTTGAAAATCAGCATGTAGTCAGAAAAATGGAGGATTGGCCCATAAAGCTTAGCAGCCAAATGGAAGCTCAATTGGTTCTTGTAGATAATGGCGATCAACACCAAAGGAACACAAATTAAAGTGAATTAACAGTTTCTTTGTTGTCCATGACTGCCAAACGATTATGCAGCTGAAGTTTGTGTGCTTCAAGTCGGTCACATGTTTTCGCATTGCAATTCTTGTTCGATGTAATTGGCAGCATCTACATTTTGTTGTTGTGTGTTCTTTTTCTCCAATTGCAGCATTGAAAGATGAGCGGTATCAGGGCCCAGAATCCTAGCTCGAGCTCTTGTTGCTGTGATCCACGGCATTTTCGCTCGACGGAGCTTGCGCTGCCGAGGAAGCACTTAGGATTGGCGTAGCAAGGGTTTCTCCAACCCTCCATCAATCATTAGCCAAAAATCTTGGGAGTTTGTCTATTGTCCCGCCCTGCTGGATGTGCCCTATGCCCTTTAGCCTTTTCTTCTCTTTGGTTTGCAATCGAATCATTTCTCTGTCGGGCATCGGCCTGGGCCTTTAATCTTTTAGCTTTCGAGTTTTTATATGCGCCTTTACCATTTGTACAAGTTCCATTATCATATAAATGCTACGTCCGGATCTATCCAGTGCGACTCCGTTTCGAAACATGCGACAAAACACCACGTAGGATAATTCGTTTCCGGCCTAACTCAGCATTTCGCCGAAACGGAACTTTCGCTTGCACGCAACTCGAACACAAAAAAGAAAATCATTTGACTTCATTTTGATGTTCCGCTCAAGCAAAGTAATACATAGTTGCTGATCTTGGGATTGTTAAGTCCCATTAACATGAATGACCACGCAACCTCAACACATTAATTTAATCGATAATCTAAAGTGATTCGAAATGTTCTAGTTGACTTGCTTCGAGGCTTGCGAGCGTTTCTTGCGTACTAACTTGCGGCCGTGTCCGCACAATAGACATAAGTGCAAGTAGAAGAGTGGAACCACACCGCGTTTGAGCGTCGCGATTTACAGCGAGCCGTGCGTACGTTTGAATCCTCGGAACACGTAACGGGTTTCCATATCTAGACCTGGTTCGGCCCGTGAACATCGGGATCGAGATCAACATCCCGGTGCCGAATCATATGCACTCCCATAGTCAAGCTCTCGTTTCTCAGAGAACTTCCCAGATTGCAGCATCAATTACCATCACAAGCTGTCATATTCTGCCAACGGAAAATAGCATTGATTGTTTCACTAACATTCTCAGCAAAGTAACATATTCTGTTCAGCCACGTTCCGAACTCCAGTACTAATCCAATAATCTTTAGTAACGGCATTCTAATCATCGGAGGACAAGCTCGTTGCCGGGCTCGTGAAATTCACGTCGGATCATCGCCACTTCAAGTCGGAAAACTCCATAGTTTTGTGCTCATGCTGCGAAGATGCCGACTACTCTTGAATACTCAGCATAACATCATTCCAGAAACCGGCTCCCTTACCATTGCTAAGAAGTTCCATCTCCGAATTGAACCGGCGAGCCGAAGGGTGTCGGAGTTCGGCGACAGAATCCACCAATCGGGCCTCCGAGTTTCTCCGCCGATGTACAGCACATGATGCAGTGCGGTCCGGTGAGCGGGACATCAAACCGTTTTACCGAACATTAGCGAACAGCTCCAGACGGGGAGGGGGGAGGGCAAAATTGGAAAAAAAGGCAAAAGCCTGACGGGGCAAATCTGTAATTTACGCGACAAAAGGACCGGGAAGAAGTAAAAAGGGAAGGGAGCGGGGGGCATTCCGGTAAATCCGCGCCAGATCTGTGTTCCACCTCCGGACTCCATCTCTCTCCCCCTCCCCCTTCTTCCTCAAAGAGCCACGGGCGGTTCTTGCTTCCTCGCGAGGTTTCGTCTCTCGCTCCGCCTCTCCCTCTCTCTGTCCCTCCCTGCGCGTCGATACGCGAGGTTGGTGAGCTCCTTCCTTTGGTTCCGTGTTAAAAGCTTTCGTGGGTTTGCAATCGTTTGTGGGTCGGACCCCGTTTCTCCTTGGTTTGTCGTCTGGATTTTCTTGTGTTTTTTTCTCTCTTCTTGGGTTTGGCTTTGCGAATTTTTCGTTTCCGGTGGAGAGTGTGTGTCTCGCTCTGTTGGGTTCTCTGCGAAATCGAAACTTGCCGTCGTGTTTGTCCTTGAGAGGGCTTGCCCGTGAATTGTGAAACCGGATTCCCTTCCCTAACGTATCCGCTCTGTCGTCTGACCTCAGCCTCACTCTCTTGTCTCTCTCACTTTCTCTCTTCCTCTCTCCTTGTCGCTCCGCGCGGCACGGTTGAGCTGTCGAGCTTGCAGCTCGCCGGCTCCGAGTCGTCGCCGCCGCCCAGCTCGCCGATTTCGCCTTCGGAACCGAGGTGGATCTCATTCCCCGTGTGTGTGTGTGTGTGTGTGTGTGTGTGAGCTTGTCGGATCGCAAGGAGCGGTGCTCGACGCAGGGAGAACGGTTGCCCCGCCCTGTTTCGGCAAATTTGTGTCTTGATTCCTTGAATTTGAAAGATAAAGTGTAACAGGTCGCGGGTCGTAGATATCTTTTTGTGTTTGCTCTTTTTAGTTTTTGAAATGGGGTTTGATGACTTCTTTGTATAAACTTTCGGGTGAATGAGTCTCTTCACTGTATAGATGCATTCGAATCTGGTAAAGCCCTCCTTTCTTTCTCTTTGATTACTAGAGTCAATTGGTTGCACTTTCCTTTATATGTAATGTTCTATGCATGGCAGTTATATAGTTTATGAGGATTTATGACTTCATATGACATTAGTTTTGAGAAGTTTGTTTTCATTTGAGTTTGAAAGAGAGCCCTGCCATCTTCTCTATGTGAGGTTTTAGCAATTTCTTGATGCCGGTGATGACACATTTTTTCACGGCATTTGATTTGTCATGTTTGGGATAATTGTGGTGATAATTTCTTGTTTTCTTTTTTGTTTCTCTTCATTAAGAAAGGGGTGCCAAGGTAACTGTGCAACCTTCGCAAGGAGGATAGGAAGAGACAGATCCTCATCACTTGCAATCTCGCAAGGATAGATGGTCTTAGGCAGAAAGAATTCCATTCCCTAAACAGAGTCAGTGTCAGTATAAAGCTCCAATACAGGAACCAACGTTGAAACAGCCAAGCCCTTTTCTAAATGGTCAGTGTCGTTCGGGAAATAACAGAAGTGGGGAGGATGAAAGGTTGGATGGAGAATGAAGAAAACTTCGAAATTTTGTGAGAAGGGAAGGAGGCAGATTTAGAGTTTTTAGCTACTTTCTTCCTAGTTTTTCTTCTCTCCTCTCATCCAACACAGCCTCTTGAGATCTGCACAATCCCATAATTGGTGAATTGTCTATTGAAATTCTATAATTAGTCTCTTGGCTGCATGTTGAGTCTTTGTAGATTTTTGGAAGGGTTGATTGAGTGACTTAACATGCCTATGCCCAGTTTACTCTCCTAGATCTTGAAGAGGATAAAGGTTGAATCTTGAAAGTTTTAAACAAAATATAGCACTCGAGCGATTTTTGCCTAATGAGGCTTCTATGAGTAAACAACGGATTGATATCTAGATCTGACGTGGCTCCAAATTGGTGAATTGCGAGTGACTTCCAATTTTCAGCCAGAATCTCAATAAAATTAACGTTTTTGAGTTTCCACAATATGTATCAGTTAGTTTTGTTGCAGTCTGAAAACTTTTGTTGTTACCTGATGGGGCTCCAAGCGGAAGGTTGATTAGTACTGTTTATGACAAAGACTAAGATACATTCTGTGAGTGAGTGAGTGAGTGAGTGAGTGAGTGAGTGAGAGAGAGAGACAGAGAGAGAGCGAGAGTAGAACCAGAAGGCAAAGAGGATACAGAAGGTATAAGATAAAGAGCGGGAGCATTTCAATTCAGTAGCTTGTTTTTGTTCATCTCCACCTCCTTCCTCGAGAACCAGAGGGTGTATGCTTCTTGATGAGGTTTCACCCAAACACCACTTTTTCCTATCACTTCCTGCTCTCTCTCTCTCTCTCTCTCTCTCTCTCTCTCTGATTAAATGAAAGATAGAGCAGTAGTCAGAGGTCAATTTGTCCAGCAAAGATAGACCTTGGATCATGAGATTCAAAAATCGATTTTAACAATTCTTTGTTTTAGGGACGGTATCTTCATTTCAAGTGTCTTGGTCTCATAAGGTGATGACTTTTTTATTTTATCAAATGTAGTCTTAAAAGACAGTCCACTTGATGTGGCTTAGGGTCCATTTGTCTAATGAGGTTGCCGATGGATAGATGTGTTGTTTGGAATTCGTTCATCCTCTAATTGTTCTTCTTCCTTTTCTTGACCAAATATATGTACTGCTGAACATTTGTAAGATAAGCTTTTAGAACTTGATGTGTCTTGACTCCTCTTGATCTGATGGGCATTTACTTGATCTTGTTATGGGTTTTGTTTATAACTAGTAATTTGTACATTTTTTTGTGATCTAGAGATTCCTTGAATTTTCCAATCAACTGTTAAAAGTATCCACAGCTGCAATTTTATTTTGAAGTGAATATTCATGGCGAATTGGTATTTTTCTTTTTTCTGTTAGATATTATTCTGGAAACCCCTAGTTTTGAGCTGGAGCGAGAGCTCTTGCGCAACTAGACATGGAAAAACTCAAACTGAGCTGAGTCAAGCTCAAATATGTCTACATTGTTCTTGACTGGAGCTCATTCTCAAATGTTGGTACTTGAAGGAGCTTGAGTCAAGTTCTGGACGTTAAGTTTAGGAGATGAGTTGAGCTCAAGCAAGTGACTTTGATGGCTTAACTTACCTCTATTATACTTTGAGGTTCCTGAAAGCATACGTTGAAAATCTATTCAAAATGAATAAATTATAGTAATTAGGAATGGGCCCAGTTTTCTTTTAAACTAATGAACTCTCAGAGACTTTGCGACCCAAGTCTGACTTGATTCGATTGCATCGATTGACTTCTTTTTTTTTTTTTTTGGTTGAGGATTGCATTGATTGACTTCAAGATTTGATGTGCTTGGTGATCCTGATTTTCTTATTCCTTTTGTGACGTATATTTGTCTTGCCAGTACATGTGGGGAAGGGATGGGATTTGATATATTAAAAGGATTAACTATATGGGAATGGATTGTTGATTGAATTGATGGACTTTCAGGGTTTTACTTTGGTGGGTTGAAGAAAATTTTACTGGTGACCCAGTACATGCTAGGCACAAAAGAAAATACAAAGTCAAGTTAGTACTAAAGAAAGAAATTCTCATGTGTGATTGGATGCTCTGACCTTTTGATTTCTATTATTGTAACTTCAACTACGATACTTTAGATATTGCTTTGTTTCTACATGTAGAAATGTCCTTGGGTGGGTCAGACTGCTCGCTGATTTCTTGAATTACCCTTGGTCATTAAAAATTTTATAGAACGCTTGTGAAAAGTATATCAATCCCTCTGGCTCTGGTCTGTTTTCAGAAAATTGCGAATTGGCTAAAGAGCTCATATGTAACTTTGGCTAACCTAGTAGTGTAGACTTTTTAGCTTCTTAGGGACTTTGATAAGAAAGCACGTTTTCGTAAGGGAAAATAGTCATTAAATACAAGATCTCCCTAGGTCTTTTTTCTATTAGCCTTTTTACTTTTTACCTAATTCTGAACTCTGTCTGATTCAGGCATGTGCAGAGAAAGGTATGTTTGAATTAGGAAATTTGAAATGGAAGGATTGCATTAGGAAAACCTCGTATGATAATGTCTAAAGATAATACAGTGGTGTAGACTTTTTATCTTCTAAGGGTCATTGATACGAAAACGTCATTAAATAAGGTATGATTGTCCTAGGGCTCTTTTTGTTAGCCTTTTTACTTATTACCTCGTGTCTGAACTCTGATTCAGTTACATGCAAAGAAAGGTCATAGTTGAATTAGAAAATTTAAATTGGAAGGATTGCATTGGGAATAACCTTATGTGATAATTTCTAAAGATGATATGGGGATGACCATTATTCCTCTGATAGGGTGATCTTGCACTTATATCTTCAAGCTTTTAACAAATATAGCAAAAAAATAAAGGGATTAATGTACTGGAAGTCTTAAAACTTGTCACGAAAGTGCAATTGAGTCCTAAAACTTGTCACGAAAGTGAAATCAAGTCCTAAAACTCTCAAAAAGTGCAATTGAGTCCTAAAACTTGTCAAGTTGGAGCAATCAAGTCTTCCATTAACTCCGTCCAACTCAAGTTTTAAGATTTGATTGCACCAACTTGACAAGTTTTAGGACTTGATTGCACTTTTTTAGAGTTATAGGACTCAATTGCACTTTCATGACAAGTTGTAGGACTTCCAGTGCACTTATTCCTAAAATAATCCTTTAGAACTAAAATCTTTTTTATTTGGTGCTTTTTAATGAATCAAAATACAATAGATTTGTATTCATCGAGATCAAGAAAATGATAGAATGGTGCTTTTTAGAATAGTTCACACCGATCAGAATTTTCCAGGTAGATGGCACCACGATGGCAGGGGTATGTTCTGTAAGTTAATTGAGTCAAAGGTTCTGTAGGTTCAAGTTATTTATAGGGACTTAGAATCCTTTTGGTGTGTTCTGATTAAATGCCGTTTTTCTTGTACTCATTTCTTGTTCGGTATATCTGAATACAACTTTCAGACTTTCCTCATATAATTATTGCATAGATGTCTTCAGCACTTAATTGTGTAGTTTAGCTTGTGTATAGCACTAGTTATAGAAACTTGGTTCATATAGTTTATTCATAGTTCTTTATCTGTAAAAGGATTTTTTAAATTGTGTTTTAGTTTGATATGGAAAGAGCCGAACATAAGAACCTCTGAAACTTTGCATATGTATGTAAATGCTCTGATTGCATGGTGGATTATTTGTCCTTTAACCGACCTCTTTTTGCATATGGCTCTGCACCCCCTTGGTGCTCTATAGCCATTATACATTCACCTTTCCCCCACACCCAAACCCAAAAACAAAGAAAATAAGAAGACGAAAGATGGTATAATTAAGGAAACTGAAAGTGAGGTGCCATAAATTTGTTAATGTGAGTGAGCTTTTTCCAGGTTATGATGTCCTCTTCTTAACTTTCGCTTTAGAGTTTTAACTCTAATCTTGCCTTCTTTACAAATGTGGCTAATCGTGATTTTTTTTCTAGTGCTGGTGATGAATTGCCCGCTTTCAGGGAATAGCGGTTTGCCTCCTATATTGTGTGCTCCCATAGAAGGTTTTCTGTCACGATCAATCAGAGTGTATTTCTCGAGATGGCTGTGGGGATAGGACTTAAGTTGTACTTTAAATTGTTTATTGTATTATTCTGCTCATCTTGAAATAAGATTTTATACGATTGTTTGCAGATTGAAGTATTTCTTACTGGAGTTTCATGTGTGTTTGTGTGTGTGTGTGTGTGTGTGTGTGTCCTACTCTTTGAACATTAATCAACCTTTCCTTCATCAAGACTTCGTCTCTGTCTTCCTTGATTGATGCGGTGAATAGTGCATTTCTTCGGATAGAATCTTATTTATGGTTGAGGAGCCTCTGCGACTGATGATTCAATAATCCCGTCGCCCATGGCTATGTGCTATTCCAGTTTTCCTTGACGCCTTACATGAGCTTTTGGCATCTGAGACTGTTGACAAAATTGAGTTGTGCCACTAAAAATTCGATGGTTGACAATGTACTTATATGAGCGTTATAATGCACAAAGTAGGACAACTCCCTATCTTTATGATTTCGCTTTGTTATATTTTGGCTTGGTAATTCTCAGGAGGTGCTATAATCCTCCAGTCTTAGTCCTCTTGCTTTTTGCTTGAGCTGCTCGCGTAGAGCGATTCTATATTTTCCTGCATAGCACTTGTCTCATTATAGATATCACTGAGTGAGCTTCCCTAAGTAGTCGCTCTGTAGTTTTTATTTACTTGAGCTGTTGTGATTGTTGTGTGTGAGATCTAGTCTCTCAATGGAAGTTAAGTATGCCCCTTCTTCTTTGTCTAGCAGGTGCTTGTTTCATTGTTGGCCGATCAAAGTTCACCATACTGTGAGCAAGACAGAAAAATGGATGTGAACTCTATTAGAGATGCATTTGATAGAGTTGCTAAAAAACAGAAGCTTTCATATTCCAAGACCCAAGAAGTGATTGATCAAATCACTCAAGAAATTTCAGGCTCAATAGAGAAAATTCAGAATGCTCATAATTCTGATTCTCGCTCAGACTACAAAGCTTTACTTGCTGATCTCAAGACCAAGATAAAAGAGATGGCTCCACTGACTCTCTTAGAAGGCACACAGAAGGATTTGAATGTTGCACTTAGCAAGTATTCAAAGCCTTTGGAGAAGTCCTTTAATCCAGATATATCCAAGGCTTACAGAAATGTTGACCTTGATACAGCCACAGTTAACTATGTAATTGCAAGCCATTTCTATAGACAGGGTCTTTTTGACATCGGCGATTGCTTTGTTACTGAGGCGATGGAGCCAGAATCTATTGCTTCAATAAGGTCGCCGTATGTAGAGATGTACCAGATACTTGAAGCAGTGAAGAGTCGAAATCTAGAACCAGCACTGAAGTGGGCTACTTCCAACTGTAGTAAACTTACAGCAAATGGGTCCGACCTCATAGTAAAACTTCATCAAATGCAGTTTGTGGAGATACTACAAAGGGGAAACAGAGACGAGGCCCTTAAATACGCGAGGATCCACTTGGCACCTTTTGCGTCTGACCACTTGGTTGAAATACAGAAGCTTATGGGTTGTCTCTTGTGGGCTGGAAGGCTCGAACAGTCCCCATACCCTGATTTAGTATCCCCTGCTAACTGGGACAAATTGGCGGAAGAACTAACTAGGCAGTTTTGCGGTTTTCTGGGACAATCCTTTGAGAGCCCTTTGGGCGTGACTGTAGCTGCTGGCTTCCAGGCTTTGCCACCACTTTTAAAGTTCATGAACGTGATGTGGGGAAAGAAGCAAGAGTGGCAGTCAATGAAGCAATTGCCGATTCCGGTTGAGTTGGATGATGAGTTTCAGTTTCACTCTGTATTTGTGTGTCCAGTGTCCAAGGAGCAAGCTACAGATGATAACCCGCCAATGCTAATGCCCTGCGGCCATGTTCTCTGCAAGCAGTCAATAGTGAAGATGTCAAAGAACCTCTCCAAGCCCTTTAAGTGCCCCTATTGTCCAACAGATATCGACTCAAATCTCTGCAAGCCACTCTGTTTCTGACTTGTGCCACTTGTATAACAGAGATGTACAAGTAACTCTCTCTCTCTCTCTCTCTCTCTCTCTCTCTCAGTTGGACCAAATTGCATGTGCATAAACTAGCTGTGTACCCACCAAATGTGGTGACAATCGTGGTCATTCGTTGCTTACTGTTGGCAGCATCTGTAAATAGACATTCTTTTGATATTCATGTGGGAATGGAAATGCAAGTTGGTGTCTTGACGTTACATGGTATGGTAGGCTTATCTTTTATGGGTTACACAGAAATTAAAGCTTTTCGTTGTCTAAGCTGGCCAGGTCTGCCTAATTAGCGGAGTCTGAAAGTCGTGTAGGCTGATGACAAGTGTTAGTTGTTCTATTGACTCTCCTAGTTTGTACTCACCGGCGTGTCAGTTCCTACCTAGTGATCTTAGATAGTCATAAAAGGAGATTATTATAGATCTTGACGTGTAACGGAAAGGCTAAAGAGATTATCATTTGGTCCATTTCGAACTCACAATAAATCAGAATTAAAACAGAAACAGAAGGGGCAATGGCCGGCGTCAACACTATGGACTGGGATTCTAGAGTATGAGCTGCATGCGCCACTCATTTCTTCTTGAGAGTCGAAATATCACCAGCATTTTGAGTTTTCATCGCGTGCTCTTTCCCTTTCATGTCTTAGTAGGGGAAGTTGGCTTTCATCACATGCTCTTCCCCTTGTCTCGCTTTTGCACTTTTTCTTTGTGGGGAAGCAAATTCCGGTTAGGCCTTTTCAAAGTTTGATGTGAAAAAATGTCGCAAAGTGTTACGCTTCTTGGTATAGTGGAAGCACATGGATGTAAAACGCATTGACTGACATTGGAGATGCTTTGTCTTGTAAGTGAGCACTTTTTAGGTGTCGTGAGCTCTTTCTTGGGTTTGCACCCCCTTTGTGCCCTATAGCTAATTCACTTGTACCTACAAAAAGAAAAACGCGATGTGTTCCTCCGAAGTTTTGTATCGTGTGAAGTGTAGCTTTCGCAGGAGGGAATCTTTTTGAGACGATAAACTGAGTAGCAGGAGGTCCGATGGTTGCCTGTGAGCCCTTTTGCGCGAAATAGTGAAGTGGGATTTCGAGCAGCGTGACTATGGTCTCGGCACGAGCATCATAACGTATGATAGTTTTCATGGGTTCCATTTTACGGCAAAGTGAAACTCCTCGACACGAAACCCGAGTGTTAAAGATAGGTGATGAAACACGAGCGTGAAAGAAAGGTGGTTACGGTGACGATGGAGCAGTCGGATACTCAATGACCCATCTGCCGTTTCTCTGTAGTTAGCCTGGAAGAATGAGCTTTGAGAGCTCCTCTCAAATACGGGTGAAAGGGTTGAAAAGTTGGTAGAGAAGGAAACGAGTACACAAGATTATTGATTGATAGATACCCAGTCTCTTCCATAATGAACTATTATTGCATAGCTATGTAGCTCTGTCTCAGAAGGAATAATTTCTAAGTTTGATCATAACCGTAGAATTAATGACTGCCTCGACCCGTGCTTATATGATGCCATTACACATTTACAATTTGGGAGAAAATGAAGTCTGCAAAGCGAAGAAAGTAGAAGAAGAGCCCTGCAATGAAATGGTAATTTATGTTCTAAAAGCTACAAAATCTTGAGGAAGCCTTCTAATTCCTCCCGTTTCAAGTCAATTTTTTCGAAAAGTTTTGAGTATCATCATAGAAGACATGAATCAAGAGTCATCTCGGAAAAACATAGTTACGGTGCATTTCCTCGCATCGATAAAATAGAGAATAATGCGTAATTTCACTGATAATTGAGCACCAATTGGAATGAAAAATCGATGGTGTCCATGCACCTAATTCATGTGTACAAAACCAGTCAAAAGAAAAAAAATCCATGAATCGACGCAACTTTGTACATGGAAAAAGGAAACATCTGACCATTTAAGTGCGTAAAAGCATATCAATGTAATGCAATTGTCAATATAATGCTGGAGGTTAACAATTTGAATATGGACACAGATCATTAGGGACTTAGTGAACAAACATGGTGGATTTTGGAAAGAATCGCAAAGGAACAAAGAAAACATTATGGACGAGGAGAAGCAAATAGGGGATCGGCCTTCGATTCCGCCATACATTCTATTTCTCCCATTTCTAGCAAATGGAAAATAGTGCTCCTCGTGCAAATCCTTTATACACATTAAAGGGAAAATAAAAATGCCGCAGCTCTTTTAACTGCTAGAACAAACTTGGACAAGAGCAAACAAAATGCAACATCAACTCTTTTAACTAACAGCACATCCTTCGACAAGAGCAAACAAAATGCAACATCATGCATGGGATATCGGAAGAAGTTGAAGGAAGACAAACTTGGAAAAGATAAATTGCAGGTCAGAAGATTAAGTAGGCAACAAGAAAATTAGGACTGAATTTTGATCCTCTGGGGACTCGGTATGCGTGAGTCTAGAGCACTTGATCCTAATAAGACCTCATCAATAATAATGGACTAGGTTTATACCTAGAGAGCGACAATTTCCAAGATACCTGAATTTCTTTTTTCTCCATAGGCAGCACCTTGTACCCCAATTGTTGACATGCATGCTCTTTGGTTACAGAAATAACTAGCCACTATTAGATGAACGGCGATGCAGATATCAATTAGTCAAGCTACACATTTCTGGTGATAATAGGGTAAATTAAAACGAGTGGATCCAACAGATCTCTTTCTGACAGGAACAATCTTATCACATACACACAGAGAACCAAGAATTCTACTGGGTCACTAAAATTCCAACAAGCACAAATTCTTCTAGCAACTTATGAAAGTACTTACAACAATCGTAGGGTTGAGACAGACTTCAGATTAACAACGACAACATTTTCAGGCAATAAACAAAGACTCATGATGGACATTAGCACCAAGCCGAGTAGTACTCTTTCCCATTAACAAACAAATATCTCCACATTTACCACTCCAGTAGACAGACAGACGTAACTAGGCAAGCATAGTAACCTGCGCTAGTTTCTTGCCTTCGACTTTTCCACCGCTCTAGGTGCTGCAATGTAGAATCATAAGAAACAAACAATTACTGAAAAGAACGAGTAGATAAGTAAAGACAGGGAAATTAGTAAAAACAACCCCAAGGCAGGAAATACATCAAGAATAATGACAACACAAGAGGTAATAAATAGTTTCCTGAGCAGTGGTGTTAGCATATGCAGGTTAGCTTTCCGGAACAGTGATAAGGCAGATGTATAACTAATGCCACATCATGCCATCAATTTCCAATAATAGCAACACTTAACTGGAGCATCCCTAAAGCATGCTGCTCTAACTGAACTCTACATTGTGCAAAACATTTAGAGCAACAGAAAACGGGGGTTGAACAACACGACATCAACCTCAGCGGGTTCTCCAACTCAAATAAATCAAAATGGACATTCCAACAATTGAGAAACCAACTCATAATTGGCTTCACTAATTTTTAATCAGTATACCACTCTAACAATTTGAGCAAGGACAAAGAATGAAAAAATTTAACCTCCTGAATGTGACAGCTTGGTACTCTCGTGTCTACTCTTCTATTTGTTCACTGCTACGACAATAGAGTGACAGAACTCATTCAAGAACATCACAAAGAGTCACTTATCTGTGACTTTTCTCCATCCTACAACACCCTCTATGCATTCTATAAAGCATAAGGATGCTAGGACAATATGAATAATACTTGGACAAAATTCATCCCAAGCAGTAAGAGAAATTGTGCGGTAAATGAGTTGAACAAGTAAACAGAAGATGAATGGAAAGCATCTTTTTGTAAAAGGTAAGATTAAAAATAGACTGATTCTTCTACAGATTAAATCAAATAATAAGACTAGGTTTGCATAGGCTCGCCCTGAAAAAGTATCATCAGTGGGAACATGAAAGATGAAAGAGTTGGTATGAACACAGAGATAAAAGTTTAATTAGCAGTACAAACCTAGTCCAATAGCATCAGCACCCTTCATAATCTTCAGCCGCTTGCATGAATCAATGAACATCCTATCACAGCAAATTAAATCAGGATGAATCAAGGAGAAACTTGGGGGAAAAGGTTCATAATTTGCATGAAAAGTAAAGTTTTTATTCTATCTTTTAGAGGCTAAGTGAACATAAAAAGGCAAAAGAGTCAAACGGACTCGATCCCAATAACATCTCGTCAATCATAACAAGAAAACGCTAGCTCTATTCATTTGCTGCATATCTTATTAGCTGTAGTAGTTTTAGATGAGGCAACGTAAGCCAGTCAAAGAGACCCCAAAAACAGGAAGAGAAGAGTTGGAAGGGTGATAGAGAAATTTTTTGAGTGATTTTTATTTCATATCAAAGAAAATATCTTTATGGTCAGCATTCTCAAGATACCATGCTATCAGTTTCCTTTTGAGGTACTCTAATACTATTGGAGCATTTGAGAATCATGTACTGATCATAGGAACTAAAATGACAAAGCAAAGATGTAGTCATACGAGGACAGTTTAAAAATCAAGTTATGTCAGTCATATACAACTGACTGACTAAAACACATTCATTTCATGCATCTGAAAAGCAAAATGCTAATAGTTTGATTGTTATACTTCCAACTAGATGGACATGTCAGCTAATTTTTAAATGACTTTATCCTTCCATAAGTCAATTATCATTCTAGGAAATGGTGAAAGCACTCAAAAGATTCTCCAATTTATGAAAAGAGTGATTCAATTCTCGTCAAATTTTCTAACCAGGAACAAGAAAGAGGAAACCATCCAAAGACAGACAAGCAGAAACTACACAGAAGAGGGACCAGTGTGCCTTGGTGTTGTATATCTGTAAATGCAACCTAACTACTGATTAAAACAAGAGGACTCCGTCCATTGTCAATCCTTTTATATAGTAGAATCTCCAAATACTAGAGTACATTGGTAAAGACTTTCCCCTAAGTGTTCTCTCTGCAAGGCTTTTTAGTGCTTCCTTATGGATATTTCTCAAAACAAAAAGAAAAACAAAACAGAGCTGTATGCTGAATATTTCAACAAACTTCCCAATGATGATCAATTTACATTTGACTTCTTATCTTAAAGGGAAATTGCCATATCATCCTGCTAAGCATACTGAAAAGGGCTATTTCTTACACAAGTAACGAATGCCCTTCTGTTGTAAAAAATTACAATTTAAGTTGTCCGAGGAGTTTCAACCAAAAAAAAAAGTTGTCCAAGGAGTTTTTCGGTCCATTGAGTCAATCTACCTAGAAGTGGCCATCGTGAAATTTCACAGATTCATAATTTATGCAGCTTCTGTTGAGCATGCAAAGTTAAGACCAAAAAAAGCTCGAAAGAAATAAATAAAGGTACAAAACTCTTGTCCAGTCCTTTTTATCGGACTCGAAACTTATAATTCATAATGAGAAAATAACCTATTAAGTTAACTATGTCTTGATTTGCCACATCTTATTTCAGTCGTATCGAATTTTCTAGTATTTTATGCTAACATTATACCCTTGAGTGCTCATCAGTAATCTACGGGAACTCCTGTTTTACCAAGCTTCTCTTTTTCCACTCTCAATCTTTGACAGCCAACATACAAATCTAACTGATGCTACCTTTTAGCAAATAATGAAAAAGAGGAATAACTTAATATAAGTATATAAATGAATCGGTAACATCAAATAAGCAAAAAGACAGCCTGTCTATCAAACTAAACTCTGTAAGTCTCAGCTTTTTTATCTTTTGAAAGCAACACAATGCTCAACTTGACCCTTTTTTTGAAATATCTAATACAATTACATTAAGCTCTTACCACTCAGGTATCCTCAGTTCTTATTTTACTTTAATTCAGATGGCAATATTTCACGAACAAAGTAGTAGCATCCTTTTTTTTCATCACCATATAGACTCTCGCAATATTTAATTTAATCTCATAAATTTTCGATATTTCACTGCACTTTCTTGACATGTGCATGAATATCTAAAATAGAGTAAAGCCTAGTTAATCCAACAAAATACATGTTAAATGGCTTATCTTGAGTTGTCGTGTATGGGCACTGTACATGGAAGCATTTGCCTTGGTACAGTCTCTTCAAGAAATCTAACTGCTAGATGATAAAAACAATTGCTTCTTTTGCCGAGGCATAGTAATCATCTCTCCCCTTTCTTGTTCAGTTCAGTCTTTGAGCGAGAAAAACAATATTCAAGAGCAAAAAGTTCACTTTGAAAGGCCTTAAATTTCTTGGCATGAGCATTTTTTGTTACTTTTTAAAGAATTAGCGGATATTTTTCAATAAAAAAAAAAGAATTAGCGGATATTTATGTAAGCACTCCAGCCTACCACAGTACATATTAAGCAGATCCTACGAATCTCCATGGGACTTTTAATAGGCTAAGAATTCTAGAAGCAGAAGCCTCATGGTATCTTACAAGTTGGGAGGATTCTCCAATTCTATTAAAAAAAGGAAAGTAAAAACAAACGAAAATTTCAATTTCCAAGTACTAGCAACTGTTAATTCATGTTTGTCTTCCTTTTCCTAATTCCTCCATACTCCTGCCTGATTTTACGATCGAATTTAGAAAGCTCTACAGTCTAAAACAGTACTATGTCTCAGTTATGAAGCATGTTACATGTAGCACGCATCCTGAAGGAAACTTAAAACTTACTCCCAGGGGACATCCCCGACAAGCATCCAGTCGCCATCCTTGTCCTCATAAGTAAGAACATACTCCGATCCATGCAGGAAATCTCGCAGTTTACTCTCGTTCAGCATTTCTCTTGCTGGAGTTCCATTAGATCCGCATTGACCTGAAAGCATAAAAAATGTAATTCAGTGGAAGTGTGCTAAGGTATTCAAATATTCACTGATGAAGATCCATCAAAATCAAAACAAGGATGACCGGGAATGGCAGACACAATGACATACCTATGGTGAATCCGCTGAACATCTTCTCCAGAGAAGAAGATAACTCCTGATATGCAGAGTAATTCCTCAGATCTACCTTCCTCAGATAAGGAGCACCATCCATGCTAACCTTCACAAAAAGAGCACCAGGACCTGGTTTGCCATCAACCTCGTCATTGTCCTTTGAAGTAGTAGCCAATGTATTCTTTCTGTATGATCTAATAGGAGGCCAACCAACGACCTGAGCCCTGTCATTAAAGATACCATCAACAGCCATTAGAAAGCCAAAACCTTGTTCGTTGTTCATGACCAGCTGTTGTCTTGCTTTCGGACATAAAGCCATCTGAACAGTGAGTCAAACTTACTTGGCAGCTGGAGCATTGTTTGAAGCTCTCGTCTGATTAACCCCCGTTCCATTAAGAGCACGAGGGCATTCTGATGCTGGTTTTGGGAGTGCCTCCTTCGGCATGGCCGATTGGGCCCCAGAAGTCCTTGATGGGAGCATTGCCTTCAGCCCTGCATTACCAGGAAACTTTCCTTGGCCTCCAGACTGTGCAGTTTCAGAAGCAGGTCCAGTTGCATGAAACATCCAGTTTCCCTCGGTGTATTTAGAGCTCTTCAGGTCTGAGAACTCATCTATGGTGTCAGAGAATCCTCTTTTGTTTCCTGAAGCAATATTCTTCGGAAGCGACAAGCAGATCCCATCCTTTGAAGGAAGCAAAGGAAACAATGGCTTCTCGTCAAGTTTTCCAGTGTTCAGCAAGCACAGTTTCGGTTCTCTTTCAGGAGATAGAGATCCAGGGAGACCAAGCCTCAACTCAGTAGCCTTTAGATTCAGATTGCTTTTACTCTCGTCAGACAAGCTTGAGACTGCAGAGCTATCAACTGAAGAACAGTCGGACAAACCCAGATAGTTTCGCTCCTTCAACCCCAAGCAGTCATGAGAAACGCCATCTATGGAGGGTGAGGTGGCTACTGTAGAGGTTTTGCCACCCCCTTCCTCCACACCCAGAAGTGGTGGAGACATCAGACTTGAAAGACAATCAATCTATTCTCTTGAACTGCACATCAGTGACGAGGATATAAGTACAACCAAGAGTTTGTATTTCTTTGAATTGAAGGCTCTCCAACTAAAATTGCACTCAGTGAAACTGTCAAAGCAGAACATGGGGAGAGAACAAAAATTATCAAGATTCAAATGCTACAACTGGCAACAACAAGATGAGCATTACGTGGACAGTTTAAGAACTTCACGAGATGATGATAGACAACAATCAAAGCTGAAGAATAATGACATATGCCAGCATTTTGCGAAGAATTCAGACAGTACTGATGCTTCAGTAGCTTTACACTTAAAGATCAAGGACGCTAAAATGGGGCATAGCAACACTGCAGCATCTATAGGAGAAGAAGAAGTCATTTGCATAATCACCACAAGCATCAATCTCAATATCCAAAGCCAAATTTTTCCCCTCTATAAGGATATACTCAAGTCACCGGTGGAAAGGAAAGACGGGAAAGAAGCAGAAGCACAAATAGATGCAGATGGAGAGAGCAGTTTCATTAAAAAGTTATACAATTACACAGAAGATGACTCACAGGAGAGACCAAATCAGAGTAGAATCATGTAAAAGAAACGCCTCTTAAACAAAAGAAAAAAATACCCACTAAAGGAATGTTCTACTAGGAAGGGAAAGAAGTTATGAAGCATAATATTCCTAAAACAGTGAAACCTAAAGAAAACAGAAAGAAAAAAAAGGACAAGAAGCCCGCAATACTACAGATATGGCAGGATGAAATGGAGCTACAATTTCTTCGCTGTAGAAGGAAAAACCCACAAAGTCAACTAACAAGCTAAAAAGAACATGCTAATTGCCATCAAATTAAGTAACTATAGAACCCCATATACCCCGTGATACGGTGAGCAAAGCCCGTTCAGGCATACAAAAGAGCCTTCCAAAAACGACATGCTACAGCATTTCCTCAGATCTAACACCACAACAAAACCACCATCTGATTTCCCAAAGACACCGGGACTTGCTCACTTTAACCAAAGCTCAGCAAGAGCAGACACCCAGAAGGCGAAAAAAAAAAAGAGAGAGAGAGGCTCAGCTCACAAAACCTGCACAAGCCAAGAAATTGACGGAAGATTCTCAAATCGACACAGAACATATTCCAACACCCAGCGGAGATACACACAAAGATCTCCACAACCGGGGCTCGCTCAAAACACCAACTTTCACACCAAGCATGTACCCAAAAAGAAACCCAAGAAGGGGGGAAGCCAAGAACGAGATGCTGGAGGGCAAAACACCTCGGAAAAATACCTTGTGAAATGGCCAAATACGAGCGAAGCCGAAGCACCCTTCTCGCCCAAAACAAAGAAAATGCACGAACCGCAGAGAGAGAGAGAGACAGAGCCAGAGACAGAGAGATTAAGGACCTTCCATTAATCAGGAAGCAACAAAAGCAAAAACGGGTGGGCAGTTTTCACCGGAGCACTCGAAAACTCAGCTTGAAAAACCAAAAAAGAGCGGAGAAGAAAGCAAGAAAGAAAGGAAAGGTACAGGCACGCCTCGAGAGAGAGAGCGGAGCCGCGGGGCCAAAACGGTAAATGCGCACGCGACAACAAGTGTGCTGTGGAGGTCACCAATATTTCGGACCGGAGGAGCAGGGCTAGTTCAGACCATTTCCCCATCTTCGGTCAAAAAGAATCAGACATTTTGCTTCTTTACACGCGCACACAAGGAAGAAAATTCATCAAAAAGTTGGGGGGAAGCGTTTTATCTTTACTTTCTGTCCATGCAATATTCACAAAAAAAAAAAGCGGCTAATCTTATCGTATAATTATTGAAGCGTAGTTTTGGCGCGTCTGGTCTTTCGAAATGTATAAGAATTCCATCGTTCTAAGTGTTCATACCCAAAATTCTAGGCTTAATTATGTTGAAGCATCTGTCCTTGCGAAAGGCAGAAGAGTGGGATGCTCTTTTTATGATTACAATCTTTTGGCCTTTTTTTCAAATGTGTGATATAAATAAAGGGGTTTTTCACTCTAGCAAATTTCTATGAATAAGAAAATTGATTTTGACCTTAGGGTAAAAATGGGGGCCCATGGCTTAAGTTCCCGCTTTCCGGTTGATCCGGTCTTGTTGGTTATATATTGGATTCGCCATCGAGTCATCGACAGTCCGGCATGCCCTTGAGTTAGAGGTGGCCCTGTCCAAGGATGAGCAACGATCTTGGATTCAATTCAGGATTCGGATAGCCGATTTGGTTGCGGGCCGATCAGTCAGCCCGAATCCAGGGATCGAGAGTCGAGATTATTATGATAATTAGATAATTCACTTTATCGGATTCGGTGATTGAGATAACCCGCCGATATTTTCAAAGCGCACCTAATAATTATTCAGGCATGGAACGCTACTCCCACCAAAGTAAAAACACAAAAGAAAAATAGAATCCTGCTGACTCTCCGACGATATCAAGATGTCTACTTGTCTAGGATAGTGTTCCATCTATTTTGTTCCTTTTTTTAATAAGAGCGTCAAAAATCTACGGAGGATATTTTCTAGAGGGCGCCAAATGACGATAATGACCTCGGGGGGAACTTAACCCCGGTGGCAGGAGCGTAAATAAAGTTGGGGGGGTGGGGGGGGGCCCCCGCTCTGCAAAATTCGCAGGTTCGCAGGAAGCTGTTGTTTCGTGGTGGCAGGAAACCATAAAAACCAGCAGCGGCAACAGCAGCAGCAGCAGGAGAGCGATCATGATGATGATGACGATGATAATGATAATAATAAACAAAGACAGATCGAAACCAGATTACCATGTCTCCCACGAACGCATCAAGAATTCAACGACTCCCACTCATTTGCTCTTTCCACACCCCCCCACCACCCCTCAGAATTTCTGTAATCCTCACCAAATTCCACCCCCCTCCCCCTCCCCCTTTTTCACTTGATTGGGCATTTTTTACTTTTAAATTTTGACCGTCGGATAGACCATTGTTTTATGTTTTTTCTATCACCCTTTTCTCTCGTTTCGACATGTCGGTACATGCTCGAGCGCGATCCGTTCGTGCTAAACGCGTTCTGTCGTATAAGCCGTTTGATGAACATGTCGTGTTTGAATTTTCGAGCTATGAAATGATTAATATCGTATGGTGTTTAGGCACGATTCGATATGGAAAAACATAGATGGTCGACCCCAGATGGAGATGTAGTTACGAGTGCACATTCACACTAAAACAGCTTGATTTTTGACCCCAAAAAAATGGCACTACAAAACTAAAACTTTTATTGCAGCTCGACACTTAAGTTTAAAAAGATTTCTCATGCGATTCGATCATGAAACTCCAATTTGACACGATCCTTACGTTACCTACCTTAGTTTAAGTGGAAGGAAATTTTAGATGGTAGCTTTTCTTTCATCATTTCTTTCGTTTTTAGCTGAATGTGGCGCACCACTTATGGGACATATCAGAAAAGGTGAAAAAATAATTAAAAAAGACACAGAGAGATCTCGGGTGATTGTGAGCCGCGCCCCCTTCGAGCACGGCGAGGGTTGTGGCCCTAGCCACGAGCAAGAGAGGTTTTGACGGCCTTGCCAATCGTCTCTCTATGGTCGCAAGCGATGGCGCCAACACTGCGAAAGCGAGAGCACGTAGGGCGAGCAAAAGGAGCTGCTTGGTTCTAGGCAATTCCCAGGGACACTGGTCCAATTTTCAATTCCATAAAATTAGAACCGGTGAATTTCGGTCCGGTCGAAATCTAAATCTCAGTTCCAGGTGTAAAACCGCCCACTTGGATCACCCAGACCAGACCGATTTTTTTTATTCTTTTTATATCTTACAAATCTTTAAAACAGAAACCCTAATCCATTCTTGAATCTTCACGAACCAAAGGAGGTCTTCGCTTAGCAAATGATGATCAGTGACTCGGTCTCATACTCACGCAAACCTGAACAGTGACTCACTCTGCCTATTCTACTCACAATACCCTAATCTATTATTGAATCTTCACAAATCGAAAGAGGTCTTCGCTTAGTGGCTATGGCGAGCGACTCACGACTCACAGTCTCGCCTCGACATCACCCTCTTGCCTGAGGCCCTAAGTCGCCTCCCTCCCTCTCTCTCTCTCGACTCTCCGTCAATTCTTTCGGTCACGCCCTCGTCAAGCAACGATCAGCAGATCAAAGAGAAGAAAATCAAGAAAAGAACAATATTCCAACTCGGATATGATGTCTTCACCAATCGCGAGGTGGGTCTTGTGGTGCCAGCAACTATTGATCTTCCCTTCGAGAGTCACCATAGATACTCTCCCCATACCTTGAAGAATCCTCTATCCACGTATGCACAAACAACCCAAGTCAAAAAGAAGGATAAAAAAAAACAGAACATGCCCACCATTCCTTTGACTCATCCGGAAACCAAATCGGACATGTCAGTCCAGTTTGAGGACCAGATGGGCCGTTCTTGATTCCAGAAACAGGAAACCGACCTACTCTGAAATCAATCATAGTGAAATGGCATCTTTTTTGTGCTTGAGGGAGCTCTATCGTCACATTAACGGTCTTTTATGATCTAAAAATGCCACGTTTTTTCATCCATTAAAAAAAATAAACAGACTTAATAGAGTCCTGAATATGTATAAAGTGTATATGTTTTAAGGATTTAAATGCACAAAAAAAGAAGAAGTTTTAGAGCTTAATTGTCAAGCCAACACGAGTCTAAAATCATGGTGTCATTGTCTCATTTGTAATTTGTCTAAATGATATCACGGGTTACCGGTATTGTTAGAATATTTTAAATATTAAATCAAACCTCGATTTAACAGTTTAAACTTTTTAGAATAGCCGACGGTGGCCTTTATTTAAAATAAAATCCACTTCACATCCTTATTTCGAAAAAAAAAAATAAGAATACTTCATGCCCTTATCTAAAATTTTCCTCAGAAAAATAAGCAAACATCGAAATTAAAGAGAAAATTTACCGTCCATGCCCCAATAACTACAGGGCCAAAAGGGGGAAATGCAAAAAAGCTTGGAACCCACCAAGAAGAAAAGAAAAGAACATTTTGGATGGAAAAACAGAAGAAGAAGAAGAGAAGAAGAAGGGGAAAGTCACCCAAAGAAAGGAAAGAAGCATTTGATGGTTGGGGAGAGGGGGAGAGGAAAAGACAAAAGTGGGTAAGAGAGAGAGAGAGAGAGAGAGAGAGAGAGATGAATAAGATAATAATAATGAAGGGGGGGGGGGTGGGGGGTTTTGGAGGAGAGGAAAACAGGGGGGGGGAGTTGAATTGTGCGATTGAATGGGGGGACAGGAAAGCGGCATTTTTAGATGCTTTGCCGGGCAGTGATCCCGACATCTCCCTCTCTCTCTCTCTCTCCCCATCATGCATCTCTTTCATACATCAATAAATATATATATATATATATATATATATTTGGTTTTGTTTAAATAGTGTCAAGAAGATGCTCGTTAATCGTATTCGGTGAAAAGAGTTTTTATTTTTATATATAATTCGAAAAACATAATACTTTGGAAACAATCGAGCATCCTTATTTGTGTTTTTCTTGTTTTGGTTAAAAAAATCGTTATTTGGGTATTTGACGGGTGCACCTACTATTGGGAAATATGTCTCCAGAGCGCTTATCATTCCTACTAAGAAGGAAATGCAACGATCTCGTTGTAAGCCTCGGGTCGATGTAGTAGCCTGGGACGTCGAACAATTTCCGAAGGAGGAAGTTGTACGTCCAAACTGTTGAGATTGATGTCTTGTATTCTGTTATTCAAGATATTTATGAGGCGGTTCCGAAAGGTCCCCTGACGACTGGACAGCACGGGGGTCCCGCTCCCTTGTGAGCTGGCGGAGGTCGGGTGGGCCGCCCCGGCAGGGGTCTCGGGGGCAGGGCCCCCGGAAGCTATTTTAGGCTATGTGGGCAATTTTGTAATTTGTGTCATGTAGGGTTTCGCTATATATATTTAGGGCGAAACGAGTCTCTAGAAAAGAGGCAGGAGGTGAGAAAGAGTGGCTGTACATTTTTTTACGATATTAGTGAAACGGATCTCTTCTCCCCGTGGACGTAGGTAGGCGGAACATCTCCCCTGCTGAACCACGTGAATTCTTGTGTTGTGCGAATTTCCATTACTTTCTTGCATCGTTGATAGGATCGAATTCAGATATTCGACACAAACCCCCACCAACTGCATGCAAACTGTTTTGATCCATGGCCGCCTGCCCGGGCTAAAAACACGGGCTCGACCAGTTTACAAAACTTGCAAGATGCTTCACCAGTCTCCATGGAGCCATGCCCTTAGTTATTAAAAAAAAAAGTAAGTGCATCAGAGCACTCGTCAACACACACCCATTTATGTATTAGTAGAGTTCACCGGCACATTGTAGTACGGCGACATATTGGAGATATGAAATGAGAGGATTAGAATAACGAAGGGCGAGATCTCGTGTTGGTTCGGACAGCACCATGAATTGCTACGAGTCGTCTAGCATGCTCGGGGCACATCCACTCGTGCGACGGGCTGGCCATCCCCGCCCCTATCGTCACCATCGGCTCACTCTCTACGTCACTTTCAAGCAGCAAAAAAAAAAAAAAAACATCGTAATCTCGGACCGTGCCATTGAATCAGCATCTAAACCCAGTTAATCGCACCTAGAACAATGCTAATCGTCCGAAACAAAGTAGTCCGTAAACTCGCGCGTAATTCCATCTTTTTTTTATGAGTTTCCTCAAAATCTTAAAAAGCATCTTGAATTTCGATTGGGAAAAAAAGAATAAAGAAAGCATGTTTTTCTTTTTTTTTTTTGCTGCTTAAAAGGGCCCGACGTGGACCGCTTTCTCGCAATCGGAGAATTTAGCAAGCAGGACTTAAATCCGCACGAAAACGGCCGTAAAAATCCGATGATCCCCCGTGAAAATTACCCAGGAAAAAAAAAAATAATATAAAATAAACTAAAGTGAAATATAATCTTTTTTATTTTCAAAAAAACGGGAGAATGTGCACGAGCAGGTCGAGAGCGACGGTGGTGGGGCGGGGGGGGGGGGGGGGCAAAAGAAAAGGGAAAAATTGAAAAAATAAATCGAATTAAATTAAAAATTAAAATCGGGGGAATAATTAATAAGGGGATAAACTTTGCTTTACGGCCACAGAAATTGCGGGCCTGTGCCACGACAGGGGGGCCCCAGTGCCGGAACGCCTCCGCCTTTGCCGGTCACCACCCCCACCCCTTTCCCTTTTAAAACCGCTAACCCTGGTTAATCGCTTCGCTAACCGCGGTTAACTAGCCCCCCACCCACACCCCTCGCTCCTCCGCGGCCCTTTTTAATTTAATTAGCCCTCGGCGCGTGGCGGTTCTCGGTTCCGGTGAGGCGAGGGCGCGGGGGACAGGATTGCCAATGGGAGGTCGACGCGTGGCTAGCCGGGGGTTTGAGGGTGAGAGGCTAGGGTGACAGGCAATAATGGCACGTGGGACCCGTGACTGACAGGGATGGAGTGCGAAAGAGAGTCAATGGAGGGGGGGTGATTTGGGGACCGGCCTAGCACGCTTTTTGATTGGTTGAGCAAGTTTGCCGTGCTGATGGAGAGAGGGCATAGTTCACGTGTGGGGGGTGTGGGAGACTTCGCGCTCTGTGTATCTCTAATTTTGTCTCCTACTCCTTAACTCATAAAATTTCCGAAAATAAAATATAAAATATAAAATATAAAATAAAATGAAATGAATGAGTCAATGAATGAATTCGCAAAGCCCCGAAAAAAAGAAATTTAAAGCATTTCAATTACCCTTTTTATGAGCGCGGGATAGGGAGCGCGGGCGAGCGACTGACCGCGCGCCTTCCTCGACGGGCCTGGCCGAGATGAGCAATTCCGCCTCTTTTTTGCGTGCTCACCGTTGACGCGATATCGGGATCTCGCGATTGAGGCGATTTGAGGATCTCCGGTATTCAATTATCGAGATGAATTGTGTGAAGACGGCGGTTGTAACGCAAGTGGCGGTCTAAATCTCCTGAAGCCCGAGGCGGTGAATCGAACTTTGCGCGACACATATAAGAGGCGGTATGATCTCCTAAAGTCCCGAGGTACTAAATTCTCTAGGTGAATTGTGATTAAAAGTTTCGACAATCCAACTTCCAACTCAAGCTAGTAAGCGTGCGTCAAGTGAGGCCAATTTGGGCTTTGAATGTGAAATCGAATGGGCTCAGGGGGCCGAACGTCCTAGCTTGGTGTTGTATCAGCGGGCTTACCAGAGTTTCTCGGGCCCAAAGAGACCGTCAGAAGCTAAAATCGATGCGTATTCGCATTTTTTTTTTTGTTGTTGAGGAAATTAAGTTGTGGAGAACATGAATAATGCCGATTGCTGAGGATACTTAAACTTGCTTGCACGTATATTAAATGATGTGACTATAAAGCTAAAATTTCGTCACGATCGGTTTGGACGACATGTAGTTGAGCATAAATGCGCGTGCATGGCTTAACATTTTCAACCCGTTTGATCATGATATCACATGTTTCATTAAGTATATTCACATGAGTCTATCACGTGTTTGTACGCGTCTCATCCACTAACGAATGTGTTGTGTTCGGACTAGAAATTTGACGTGGAATGACAATGACATAAATATTGCCAATCTCACACGACATCAGGAAAATCGGCATGTCTCTTTTTTTTTAATTAGGGTTGGTGATTTATGTCGGTTTTCTTTATAATTAGTGACTAGGGTTTCGATGTAAATCAATTTGCAAAACGAAATTATGGGCAACGGTTGGACATGTCTGATTGCGCACCCGATTTGTCTTAACCCTAATAGGGCTTAAACGGGTTGCGATTTAGGATTGCGAGACAGGGTTAGGATACCATTGGCAAATTCCTATAGGATTTAGGAATTGTCCCGGCTGGTAACCCGGGCACAAGCGCCGCTTTTTTTGGTTGAAAATGCATCCTTCCATTTCATTTAAGTAGATAAAGTAAAGGCACGACCCAAATGGGTTTCGGTATACAAAATATCCGAAAGGGATTGAGGGGGGCTGGAAACCTAGCACTGAGGAAGAGTCCCGCGAAGTTAGACTTTAACGACCCAATCTGATGCTTTATATTGGGTTCCAGAGCAGTAGGATAAACATAGAAAAGGCATACAAGAAAGCGAGGCCCGACAGTCTTTGATAAGTACTTCAACATCCCAAGGAAGTTGGTCTTCACACGTGACTGACTGAACTAAGGTAGAGTTGTCACACTCCACTTCCATGAAGACTTCTCTCCCCATGTTCTCTCTTCTCCATTCTTTCATAAAGCGCACACCTTCAAGCAATGCCAGGGCTTCCGCTTGAAGAGGCGATTGAGCCCGAATCAGAAAAGCAAATCCTCCCGTGAGCTTCCCTGAGGCATCACGGCACACACCAGCCACCGCACACGACGTAGAGCCAGCAACGAAGGCCGCGTCCACATTAAGCTTAAGAGCTCCTTTCTCCGGCGGCGTCCAGATCACAGGTGATATCCCTTCTCGTTCTGATTTTTTCTTTCGATTCGCACGGCAACTTTTGATATTTTCGTGCAAGGCTATCGCTTCATTAACTGTCGCTTGTGGGTTTGGTGATTTGCCTCTAAAAATCGCATTGTTTCTCGCCTTCCACAGGAACCAGAGTACTTTGGAAACGAGCTCGAGAGACGGCGAGGCTGGTAATGCGCCACAAGAGCCATTTCATTGATCACATTTTCACTGTCTTGCAAACTATAAGGGCACTTATGCAATTTCATGCATCTGAAAATAGAAATGTGTGTACTAGTTTCTATTCTTCTTCTACAGCACAACATCCACAATTTTTTGTCACTTCTCTAGATTGTTAGGATCTAGACAAGAATTTGAACTCGACTTTAGTGATTATGGATGTGTAATCCACATGTAATATTATATATTGGGTCCAAGATAATCTCTTAGTAAAAATCACGTAAAAAAAAAACAATTCAATGTAGGACCATCAAGAACCCTTTGAGAAGTATCTGATAACTTAAGCAGAACGGAATTGAGATTCCATCTACAAAATTTTATCAAGTTTGAGAAATAATTAGAAGTTTATGAAACGAGTTTGGAATGATATCAGCTACTATGATTAGGCTCACAAACATAACGATAGAGAGTAAAGGCAAGAAATAGACAAACAAACTTTTCTAATTCTTGAAGACGGGCAAATATTTACCTGCACATATGAAACATCAAGCTAAATAGAAAAAGAAAAGGCTAAAGTACTATTTTGCGGATAGTCATGGATGGATCTCAACTTGGGTCGATACGGGTGCATAGAATTTCGGGTCAGTGCCTACTTGACGTGCGCCCTACTGGGGTGAGATCGAATGCCATGTTGACGAGGAAATATTTAGTGGTTTGCGAGTGTTACGTCATTCGCTGATGTGGCATGCATTTTTCAGTCTGAACCAATAAGAGATCGACACGTATATACTAACGTGGATTTAGATAAACAAAACAAAAAGTACCCGTCCACCTCACTTTTCCTCCTCTATCTAGTGTTTCCACCGTTGGAGGTGCTGTCGGCGCTTCCTCCTCCTCCATTTGGTCCAAGCCGATTGCTTCCTCCTCCACCATCTAAGTCGAGCCGATTGCTTCCTCCTCTACTGTCCTCACCGGCGGAGTTGCCAGCAATGCGTCTAAGTCGACCACTATCGGGTGTCCGACCTTCTACCTCTCCATCGTATTTGTGGTTGGCGTTTAAGGGGACAGAGTCGTAGATTTGAAACCGACCACTATTGCTGGTAGGGGTGAGAATGGTTATGGTGGGCAGTTCCCACCATAGGATCAAGAACTGCCCATTAAGGTCCGGTTTCGAAAAATTGAAACCGGTAACCGTCTGTTGGTTTCATAGATCTACTGGGTAACTGGACCATCGGTCCGGTTCCCGGGTGAGTTCATGGAACTGGTTTCACCAAGCTTCATGCAAATGGAAATGACCGATAGCAACAGAGGGAGACGATGAACGGTCGGAGTCGCGGCCTTGAGCCAATGGGAGTTGAGAGTTGAGACTGTGAATCAATGGGCGTTGAGCGTGAAAGTCGAGACCATGAGTGAGAGATAGAGAGACGACTCAGAGAATGTGAGAATAAGGTGAGATGAACACTTAATTAATGGGCGTTGAGTTTCAGATTAGAGATTTTAGGGTTTTCATTTTTCTTAAAATGTTTTTTTTATTGGAAATTTTTCTTAAAAATTATATATACGTATACACACTACCGGTTTAGTCCGGATGAGCTGTTTCACGCCTAAAACTGGGAATCGAACCGGTACTCACCGGTTCTAGTAAATTGGAACCAGACAAGTCCCCATGGGAACTGCCGGTTCTGGACAGTCCATGCGGTCTTGATTTCTTTGCACACCCTTAGTCGCTAGCAGCCATGGACAAGCTGCTGTCACTGGAGCCATCGTTGCAAATCTGGAAGTTCCACTGCGGCCATGGATGAGCCGGTATGGCCAAATTAGAAGGGAAGTTTCCTTTCTCGTGCTCGGAGAAACGAATATAGAGAAAAAAAATCCACGACTGGAACTCGTGGTCGAACCTTCCCGGTGCCCATTGCTGTCATGGACGAACCTTTTCCATTTCTCTGTTTTTTGCTTGGCCAAACTTTCAGATCTGGAGCCATTGTGCTCACGGCCATGGTTTCCAATCTGGAACTCATGACCGCGAGCTCCCGATCTGGAGCCATGGCCGCGACCTCTTGATCTGGAGCCATGGCCACTAGTGACGACGGCTTGTTCGACGCCGATAGCCATGGACGAACCTCCATTGCCATCTGGATATGGACCGGCAACGAGTTGCTCCAAATTTGTCGATGGAGCTCTTCGTTGGGTAGACGAAGCCTAGCGATGGTGAGTTCCACGAGGCTAAAAGCAAGAAGACAGAGTTACCGGCAGTACTCCTAAATGAAGGATGAAGAAGAGAGAAGCCATGGCCGCGAGCGATGGCTCGTTCGGCGCCGGCCACCATGGACGATGGCCTGATCCGAAAGGAAAATGGATGGAGAAGAAAGAAAATGGAAACTAAATTTTTTTTATTCCAACTCAATGGACACGTGTAAATCTATTATTGGACCTCAGTAAAAAACGCACGCCACATCAGTAATTGACGTGGTGCTTTGGAACCACTGAATATTTTCTCTATGTTGACTCATGTCATCACACACACATAACAACACGGCATTGATGCAGCAAATGTCGACGGTGAAATCTTTCTCGCGGCACTTCTCGGAGAAAAGTACCGAGAAAGTCTTCAACCTATTGCTTTTACGCTAATACAGTTATAAACATTTCAATTATACCAATTGAGTCATGAACCTTTTGACTATTTGCTAATGTAGTTTATCCGGCCAATTTTGATTTGAAATCGCTGATATGGATGACAACCGTCTTATATGGCACGACCAGCATTTACGCGGACAAATTTTACGAAATTTTCTAATTATTTTTTTAATTATTATTTTCTTCTTTTTTGTTTCTTTGTTTTTTTCTTTACAACTCTGGGTTAGCGACCTTTGCTTGGTCTGGGCAAAGGTGGCGTGGCCTTCGCTTAGATCCAGGCTAGTTGAAATCACATTGCAAGCATCTTTCCAATCTCTCTCTCTCTCTTAAGAATTGCGTTTGGGCCTTTACTAGGGAAATAACACAAATATTCCTTAAACTTTGGTCCAATGTGCAATATTGTCCATGAACTTTTAATTTGTTTAACGTGGTTCATTTTTTTTTGTACATATTCAATGTAGTCCTTGGATTATATAAAAGTGTTTAATCTTTTCATTCCACAAATATAAATTAACGGAATTTATAATTTAGTTTCTAGTTCGGTACGTTTGAATGGTGAACAAAAAAAAAACTACATGTGGAGATATTCAATTCAAATTAGAATATAATAATCATTTTATTTGTTCAATTTGAAAAAATAATGATTATTTATGTTATTTGATGACGTAGATTATTATATCCTAATTCGAGTTCAATATCTCATGTGGATAATTCATGTGTAACGCTATTTTTTTTATCCAATGTTCAAACTTACCGAATCGGAAGCCAAATAAGTAAATTCCATTAACTTTTACCGAATTGGAAGTCAAATAAGTAAATTCTATTAACTTGAATTGATGGAATGATGACATTGAATATTTTTATTTAGTCTGAGAATTAGATTGAATATTTATCAAAAGTTTATGGATCACGTTATAAAAGTTCAGGGATGACATTACAGAATAGGTTAAAGTTCATAAACCACATTGAAATAATTAAAAGTTCATGAACGACATTACAAATAGGGCCAAAGCTCGGAGACAATTTATGTCATTATCTCTTTTTGCTAAAGCCGTGCTAGATCTACGTTAGCTCCATTTACCCATTGTCAATCATGTAAATCACCATCCGGAATTTTTAATGCTCGTCTCAAATTGAACTGTTATAGAAGGTATATTTTAGACTTATACAAGTTTGGGAGTCTTCTAAATTAATTGGGCTTATATTCTTATTTTATTAAATTTTTGACAATTCAATGATTGGTCAATTTTTCATCTATCTAGTTTGTCTCATTTTTGTTAAATTTGTTGTCTACTCATGATTGGTCAGAGTTGCTACTTGTCATTCAATTAAAGTGACCAACGTCATTGTATGGTGCAATCCTACCTATCTTCCACTTTTGGGGAAATGTAAGGGCATATCTCCAAAGTTTTTTATTTACTTAAGGTGTAGCAAATATGGTTTGAATAACTTACTTTTGATATATTTTGTAAAGCAACTTTGTAATGAAAAAATGAAAGAAAAAAAGAGAGGAACCATGTTATGACATGAGGATATGCTCTGGTCGCGCTCACCAGCCTTGGGTCGATTTTGGTCACGCTCGCCAGCCTAGGGTCGCGCAATGGTCAACTTCGCTTGCCTTGGGTTACGCTCGCAAGATCTAGCCTTTATTTTTTGCTTCATTTTTACTTCAAAATTAATTTACAAAATATATTAAAAGTCAGTATACAAACTCTATTTGCTTTGAGCAAATACATCTTGGGTTAAAAACTTTAGTAGAAATGTAATCCAAACGCAACCAGATGACAGTGTCACATCTGAAGCTCTCACAGTTGGACGAGGATGGTTTGAAGGATATTGCTGAATATTGAACAAAAAGCACATGATCTCTTGGTATTTTGTTAAATATCGATCTAGACATCGCTTCACGTAATCAATGTAAAAATTAGGAAAACCTAGAAATCTTTTTACATTATAAAACAAACCCTAAACAAGTTTCAACCAAAAACTTGTATGAAAAAAAAATTTCCTATTAAAGCCCATTCTTATTATGAGATTGATGACAAAAACTTATTTGTAAATAACCGACAAAAGAATAATTTAAAAGGATCCATATAATTATCACTGTATCTTATAAAACTCTAATAGATTATAGATTCACTTTAAATATTTCTAATATAACACCAATCCCATGATTTTCTTCCCTTAAAATCCTTCATTTTTAATCACAACAGCAAACACATACAAAGCAACAAAACACAGAATAAGTCCAAAAAAACCGTCCAAAATTATTTTTCATCCTTCCAATCACATGCTTTAACTAACAACCAATGATCAACACAACTCACCAACCAGTCTCCCATCACGGAATGGCCACAAACCAAACACCACCCACCATACATAACTCGGAACAGGGAAAATATAAATTAAGTTAATTTCAAATGCACTAAACCTAACTCATTCGATATTATCGTAATTGAATATCGAATGCGAGTCGCTTATATAAATATTCACTTATAAATTTATTACTATTTCTGCTACTATTGCTCAAAATTGAACAATAGAAAACGCCAAAAAATGTCTCGACATGACCACTCCAAAAAAAAAAACCAAAAAACTCTCACTCATCTTCCCCATCACAAAAAAAATGCCTCCGGACAGAACCCCTCTCGCCATCCTCAGCTTCATCATCATCTTCTTCTTCTTCTTCACCATCGCTGCAACTGTAACTGCAACTTCAGCTGCAGCTGCAGCTTCAGCTTCAGCTTCTACTCCATACCCGAAGTTCCCCTGCAAGCCGCCCAGGTTCCACGCCTACCCTTTCTGCAACACCTCCCTCCCCGC